TGTTTGACTTACTTCACTGAGCACAGTACCCTCCAAGGTCCATCCATGCTGTCACAAAGGGTAAGATTTCATTTTTTATGGCTGAGTAATGTTCCATCGTATACATATATGAACCACATCTTTATCCACTCGTCTGTCATTGGACACTTGGGCTGCTTCCATACCTTGGCTGTTGTAAATAATGCTGCAGTGAACACAGGGATGCATATATCTTTTTGAATTAGTGTTTTGGATTTCTTTGGATAAATCCAGAAGTAGGACTGCTGGGTCCTAAGGTAGTTCTACTTTTAATTTTTTAAAGAACCTCCAGACTGTTTTCCACAGTGGCTGGACAAATATGAGATCCCACCAGCAGTGCACAAGGGTTCCCTTTTCTCCACAACTTTGCCAGCACTTGTTTGTTGACCTACTTACTGAAGACAGCCACCCTGACAGGTGTGAGGTGGTGTCTTACTTTGCATTTCTCTGATGATTAGTGACACTGAGCATCTTTTCATGTCTATGGGCCATCAGTATGTCCTCTTCGTAGAAATGTCTATTCGGTCCTTTCCCCACTTTTTAATCAGAGTGTTTGGGGGTTTTCATGTGTGTTAAGTTCTATTAGTACTTTATGTATTTTGGATATTAACCCCTTATCAGATGTATCATTGGTGAATGTCCTCCAGTTCAGTAGATTATCTTTTCATTTTGTTGATGGCTTGCCTTGCTGTGCAAGAACTTTTTAGTTTGATATAGTCCCATTTGTTTATTTTTTTCCTTTTCCTTCCCTTGCTCAAGGAGACATGTCAAAAAAAAATACTACTAAGAGTGATGTCAAAGAGTTTACTGCCTAAATTTTCTTCTTGGAGTTTTATGGTATTATATTGAAGTCTCGAATCCATTTTGAGTTTATTCTTGTATATGGTATAAGAAAGTGGATTAGTTTCATTTTTTTTGCATGTCTCTGTCCAATTTTCCCAATACCATTTATTTAAGAGATTGTCTTTACCCTATTGTATATTCTTGTCTCCTTTGTCAAATATTAATTGACCATATAGGCATGGGTTTATTTTTGGGCTCTGGGTCTGTATTATAGAGTAGGAAATATAAAAATGAGGAAGGGCAAGACAAGCTGGAGGGCATTTTTCTAGGCCATCTTCCAACTTTAGAAGAATTAAAAGACATTTATTGTCTGTTATGATGAAGATACTCATCTTGGGGATTCAAATGTGAGTAAGACAAACTACTCTCTAAGAACTTACAAATCAGTATAGAGAGAGAGAAAGGAAACAAAAATCTGTAATGAGAGAGAAACTAAACAAGAGGGCTTCACTATGCATTTTTAACTCCAAGTAATAATTTAAAATGAGCACTGGCTGGTGTGGCTTAGTGCCAACACCTGTGCGGGCCTGTGAACCTAAGGGTTGCCCATTCAGTTCTTGGTCAGGGCACATGCCTGGGTTGTGGGCCAGGTCCCCAGTAGGGGTGCGCAAGAGACAAGGGATCAGTGTATCACACATTGATGTTTCCCTCTCTTTCTCTCTTCCTTCCCTTCTCTCTAAAAATAAATAAATAAAACCTTTTTAAAAAGAAATAATTTAAAATGGAGTTAATTTTAGAATAGCAAGATATTTACTGTAGCATTGCTTGTAACAAAACAAAAGCAAAAGAGGAAACCTCATAACTGAGTATCAGTGGGGCTCAACTGAATAATGGCGCACTCATGCTTGGGAGTCCGTACAGCTTGTGAACGACCTGTGTGCGCTGAGACAGAAAGATGTCAGAATCTCTTAGGTGCGGGGGAAGTTGCATAACAACATGATCCCTTTTGGGTGCAACACAAGTATTTTGTGTGTATGTATGTAAATGAATAGAAAATTTCTCAAATGTCAAAGAAAATAAATGATCTCCAGTGAGCAGTGATGAGAGCAGGGGTAGACAGGCTAACTTTTTCTCTTTTCCTCTTTGTATACAACTTTATTTTCTTAATCATATGAAATTACTTTGTAAGTTTAAAAATGAATTTTCGATTATATTTCCTTTTGTAATCATTAATTTGGAGGGGGCTTCTTTGTCTGTTAATACATCCATAACACGTTTTGCAGAAATATATCCCTTTTCAAAAAAAATCCAAGATGATTTGTCTTTTGCTCTTGTGTTATGGTATCCCGTATCACACAGAAGTTTTAATTTGGGGTCAAGCAATTCATGTTTTTTCTTTATGACTTCTAGGGTTTTTAATTTTCCTAAGTAGACCTTTCCCATCTTCAAATTGTGTTTTCTTAAAACTTTTTTTTACCATCACTTTTGTGCTGGTAAGCTAGAGTTCTCATTTTGTTTTACAAAAAGAGAGGCCATTGTTCTATTGGTAACTTGCCTGTTGACTTGGAATGTTACCTTATTATGAACTAAATTCCCATAAACATTCATCTTGTTCTGGACCCTCTTCTTCCAACAGATCTGTTTATCTAGTCCTATGCCTGTGGCATGGTTTTAATTATTGTAATGTTGTAATAAAATCTTTGATAGCTGGTTAGGGCAGCTCTCTCTTCTCCCCACTGTTCAGTCTAAAAAATTTTTACAGCAATTCTTGCTGCCTCCCCCTGGGACCTTATAGTCAGCTTGTTCAGTTTATAAACAACTTCTGTTGATGGTTTGATTGGAATGACATTGAATTTGGAATACTGAGTCTTGGAGCTAATGCAAAGATCTCCTCTCTGGTCAGGGAAAGATCTGAGGTTGCATCCAAGTGGTGGGTACTGTTTAGGAAGCTGTTTGCACCTGGTCTCTTTGCCCAACTTGTGCCAATCTAGGGCTCTAAGTAACTCTGTGCCTTGGAGATCTGTTCTTCCCCTCTCCCTTCCTTTCCTATGGTATGAAGTGAGGAATCTCCTCTTAGACCTTTATATTCCTCAGTTAGTTTGCTTAAAGTGAACTTTGGACTCAGAGTTATAAACTAGATAAAGTGAAGCAGAGCATCTAACCCCAGGTATATATTCAATTATAACCTTAAAGTAGCCCTAACTACCAAACTATAGACAGAGGAATGTTTAACTTTTAATTTTTATATTTCAGAGGAATTCTTCAGCTGGATAAAGTTAATGTTATACCTGTGGCAGCTGTCAACATATATGCAGATGGTTTTGAGAAAACAGCAGAAAACCTTGAATATAAAACATGTATTTGAAGTACCATCTCAATCATGGACTCGGAATTATTCTCTTGGCTCTAAATTTGCCACTTGAATGTTTCTTTAAATCATTAAGAATCAGTTTACACACTAGAAAAATCGCTCAACTCCTAAAACTGCCTAAAACTTGACTTTCAGAATTTCGAGTTTCTATAACAGGGCTGGCTATTCAGGTGATGGACTGTTAAGGAAAATTTGAACACAATGGAAGAGGAGATATCTGAAGAGACTTTGAAATTACCAAAAAGGGGAAAAAAAGACAACACAAAATGCCACGTGCCAATACTTTATAAGGTGCCTTGGTTAAGGAAATTATATCCACTTCACTAATATGTCAGACTTTATGAAAAGCACTTTATGAAATCCTAATTTAAAAGCTCAAGAACCTAACACTTATTTTTTTTATTCAGTAAAATGTGCCTTTATATTAAGTACGTGACTCAGTATAAAAATCACTGAAGTGTGTCAGGATTTGACTGTATCCTGTACCAAGACCACTTGCCTTGAATGCACCGGGATTTAAAAATGGTAGTAACATGTTCTTACTCTAAAATAAACTTTTTTTGAGGAAAAAAAATGATCCTTTTGGTATAAAAACTTTGTTCAAGTGAGAATTACTTCTCTATAATAGTTCCTTTCACATACATCGCTGAACCCAAGGTTCAGATCAGTTAATAGGACCACTGATATAATGGAATTAGAATGTACGTTTTCTTACGGTTCGAAGTATAGTGCTATTTATCCTACAGTAGTGTTTGGTCTTGCTTTGTTTTAGCCATTACCCATTTTGACTTCTATTTTACAGTGTGATCGAGTATATACAATACTTATCTTTATTCCACGTGATACTGTTGTTTTAGTAATAAAATTTATTATGCAATCCATCATTTTAAACATTGTCCAAGAAAGTTACGGCTGGTCTTTAAGACCACTTTATATTAAGGCTAAGTAGATACGGACATAGGGGGAAGGATGGTGGGGAGTAGAGTGAAGGGGTAATGTTTCATTTTGGGTAGCTGTTTTTAATAAGGAATAACAGTCCTGTGAAATGTACTATCTCCACAGTATAGCTTAAAAGCACAATTTACAATTTAGATCCTAAGTCACCCACCTAGTCACCCTTTTACTTCATGCTCTTGCTCACTCATTAAGTTACTAGAAATCACCAGTTCTAACTCCAAATGATGACGGGGTCTTTTTCATCAAGCATAAGCTTACAGATTCTGGCAAGGAGAGCAGTGCAGGAGGCTGCATGGCTGATTGGAGTGTACAGGCTTTGCAGTCAGCACATTCCGACCCTGCCTTTGCTCCATACCAGTGAGACTTTGGGAGTATTTACTAACTTTTACTTACACCAGCAGCTGTTAATTATGCCTCGTATCCATGAGGGAGTGAGTTTCATTAGACTACAGTGAGCGGCACAGGCTTAAAATACCCACTTGCCTATGGTGCAGCCACTTTCCTGTAGGCAGAAAAAAGTTGGGCAAGGTTGTATACAGATACACATTTTTTTCCTTTTCTAAAGGCACAGTAAAGGAAGGGTCTTTGAAGCCATTTCCAGGGAATGGAGGCAAGTAGGTGGGCACATTGCACGATTCATGTTTCAATTAGCTACTTGTGTAAAAATGTTCAGGAGTTTTCAGGTTTCCACTGGCACCCAGTCTTATTCCCTAGAAGGAAAGACAGCCACAGACAGTGGAAGATGCTATAACTACACAAATGCATATAAATACAAAGACTGTTTTCTAAACCAACAGCTTTTGTGTTGCAACGTCTGTGGTAAGTGAAAAGAAATCAGGTAATGCTGAAGTAAAACAAAGTGAATTGCCTGCAGCTTTAAAAAATGCCTTTAATAAGAATCATACTTTTTAAAATCTTACCATTATGAAAGTTTAAAAAAATATAGCACTCAGTGCAATGAAATGCTACATTTAATTATTATTCAAATACTTAAGGCAGGCATCTCACAGTTGTGAGAATTAGCATGATCCAAACTCTAATATCCACTTTTCATATCTTTCAATGTCTGCAGCAGACACAGACTTAGAAACCTTTTTTAGAGCCATTTCAAAATCCTCCATAGTAGTAGGCATGTGCATTTCTTCTCTTGAAAGATTTCGGATTTCTTCTGGGGTCAAACCTTCGATACGCCTTCTCATTGCCATCAAAGATGCATCCCTGGGTTTTAAATTAAAAAGCACCACAAAGTGATACTCTGATTGAATGAAAACCTTAGCTAGAAAATTATTTCCTACAGTGTAGGAAAAGCTAACTGATCCATTTAGGTGATTTCCCCTCCCCCCTGTATTTAGTACCTTTCTATTTTTTAAAAGGGGAATCTTGAGACTCAAGTAGCTCTGTTCCTTCACCAAGTTTCAGCCTATTTAGAAGCCACCATTTAAACAAAGATGGCAACATACGGCCGTTTGAGTATGTGCCCACATCATCACCAATTCCCACACTAGTCCTGCATGATACGCTTGCTTTTGAAACGAGGAAACTAACAGTCAAGCACCTTGCTAAGGCGTCTCAAGTAATACTGAGATTAGGACAAAATTTATGAGGCAGCTGGAATAGAAGCAGTCTTTCTTTTTACTGCTATTCCTATCACATTTAGGAGTAGAGACTGTACTCTACTTGGGTATGCCAAATCAATTTCAAAATGATACTTCCTACATAATGGTACATTGAACCTATGCACCAACATTAATAGTTCTAACCCAGGACAATTACTGATTTCCTATTTTACTCTAAAATTAGCTTCTTGAACTTGTTTTCAAATGAACAGACTTTCCACCGACATGTCAGATATACCAGTATCTTACCAGCACCTGCTAACACTAAATACCAGAACTTGTGTCTTTGACTGTTAACTATAATCTGGGCCTTTATTCTTTACCTATCTTAATTTACATTAAAAACCTCATGATATAAGTTTAGACCCACCCTTGCTTCCAAAATAATTCATACCTGCACACGTTGGTAATGTCTGCACCTGAATAACCTTCCATGTTTTCTGCTATACTCGCAAGGTCAACATCATCCGCCAATTCCAGCTCACGTAGACTTATTCGTAATAGCTCCTCCCTGCCTTTTGCTAATGTAGAAATAAATTCAGCAATGTAAGCTTTCAACATAAACACAGTGTGTTGTTTTTTTAAAGTCTACTTTGAGAAGTTGTTTACAATTCTTAGACCTCATTTGCTTAAAAATTAGGAGCCATCCTTCACTGAATTTTAAATTTCCTACTATCAAGGCTTTGAGGCTAGATATAGCCAACCCAGTAATATAAGGAAAAAACATCCTGCATTTGTCTCTTGAAAGTTTATACCAAATTTAAAAATTTCCAAGCAAAACTACTTAAGAGTTATGAGCTTTCTGACAAGATTCACATGAAGATACCTGATGGTAATGGAATATAGATTCTTTTTTCAAGACGTCGTCTTAAAGCCTCATCAATATCCCAGGGAAAATTAGTAGCTGCCAGAACCATAACCATTTTGGAAGGGTCATCATTTTCAGAAGCACCTCCAACGCCTGAAAGAAGGGTAAGGAAAGAGTAAAAAGATAGTAAGATATACAAAATAAAGCTCAACTACTTAAAGATCATCAAATAATATTTAGCACAACATTACAAGATAGCAAAACCATCAAGCCTTCTAAAACTAACTAGTATATATGTGATCTTTAGTCTAAGAAAAATGAGTTGTTGTAGTGTACAAAAACTATAACTCAAATAGATTAATCAAAAGACCAGGTCAGCTCAAATATATATAAATTATTTTAAATTTTCAAAAGCATACATATCCCCCTTGAAGGCCAATTTATCTGCATTATTTCAATTTCATGGCCAAAAACAAGAGATCAGCATATCTGCCCTGGGAAGAGCCACCATTTCTCGCCCGACACCACTGTGAGCGTGCCCAGTGTAATGCTGCCCAGCTCTGGGACCTACTCGCCAGCCCACTCGGGTCATCGGGGGCCGTGTGGGTTGGTGTGCACACACATGCCTACCATCCATCTGCACCAGCAGCTCAGCTTTCACCCTCCTGCTTGCCTCATGCTCTTCAGAAGTCCCTCTGCGGCTACAGATGGAATCAATCTCATCGATAAAGATGGTGGCTGGAGAATAAAATCGAGCCTAAAGGAAGAAACCATGAAACACCAGGTTTTTATTTCATTTAAAAATAATCTATAAAAACAACTAAGGCTTCGCTCCGCTTACTTAACGGCATGAATAGACCAAAAATGGCTCTAGGACAACTCAGAGCCCCAGAACCGATAGATCTAAGCGATGAAGAAATAGCCAGTCTTTCAGACGCACAGTTCAAAACACTGGTTATCAGGATCCTTACAGAACTGGTTGATTTTAGTCACAAATTAGAGAAACATATGGAGGCTAAACTAATTGAAATGAATGGTAATACAAAGGAAACCAATAGTAATGGAAAGGAAATTGGGACTCAAATCGAGGAAGTAGACCAGAAGGAAGAAAAAAATGATCAAACAGAAAAGAATGAAGAAATAAGAATTCAGAAAAATGAGGAGAAGCTTAGGAACCTCCAGGACATCTTTAAACGTTCCAACATCCGAATTATAGGGGTACCAGAAGGGGGAAAGGCACAGCCACCAGTGGAAAACTTATTTGAACAAATAATAAAGGAGAACTTCCCCAATCTGGCAAAGGAAATAGACTTCCAGGAAATCCAGGAAGCTCAGAGAGTCCCAAAGAAGTTGGACCCAAGAAGGTACACACCAAGGCACATCATCATTACATTAGCCAAGATTAAAATGAAGGAGAGAATCCTAGAAGCAGCAAGAGCTAAGGGGACAGTCACCTACCAAGGACTTCCCATCAGACTGTCAGCTGATTTCTCAAAAGAGACCTTACAGGCAAGAAGGGGCTGGAAAGAGGTATTCCAAGTCATGAAAACCAAAGACCTACAACCAAGATTGCTCTACCCAGCAAAGTTTTCATTTAGAATGGAAGGACAGATAAAGTGCTTCTCAGATAAGACCAAATTCAAGGAGTTCATCATCACCAAGCCCTTATTATATGAAATGTTAAAGGGACTTACCTAAGAAAAAGAACATAAAAAAGATGAACAGTGAAAGGACAGCAAACTCACAGTTAGTAACAACCACACCTAAAACAAAAGCAAACTAAGAGGACAGCTAGATCAGGAGCAGAACCATAGAAATGAAGATCACATGGAGGGTTAGCAACAGGGGAGTGGGAGGAGGAGAAGGGGGGAGAAGGTACAGAAAATAAGTAGCATAGACAGTAGATAGAAAATAGATAGGGGGGAGGGTAAGAATAGTAGGGGGAAATACAGAATCTAAAGAATTTGAGACACGTGTTCATGAACTAAAGGGGGAAATGGTGGGGGAGGGGTATGCAGGGTGGAGGGGAATGGAGGGGGGGAATAGAACAAATGTAATGGCATAATCAATAAAAAAGTTTAAAAAAATATATATATATATATAAATAATCTATAGTTTATCAACCAGAAAATTGCTGAGGAACCTGCCACACTGTGCTTCTCTCCCTCTTGTCCTAATACTGGGGGGAGAGGGTAGAACTGGAACAAGTAAAATACAGTTTCTAATACAGACTTATGCACTTAAATATTATGTAGCAATTTTTTTGCTATTCAATACAACAACTGAATATGTATTTACATATGAGTGATAGAAATACAGGATTATCCTGTGTACTACAAAAAATATAAACTAATGGGAAAACATTTACAAATACTGGTTAAATGTTCTAAATTTCCAGAAAAAAATTTGGTTAAAATTTTAAATAGAAGTACATAGATTCCCTCTTAAGAAATTCTAATTAAAATGCCATTTTTCATTTGACAAATACAAGTACTTTTTTTTTTATCCTCTTAAGTAGTCAACTAGAAGAGTGAATTTATATGGCCCAAGTTTTTCTTTTTTAGATAAACTCACAAAGTAATTCTCAGTTTCAACCAGGTTAATCGTACAATTCAGCATTTAGTCTATTCACAATGTTGTGCAGCCATCAAATTCCAGACTATCTTCATTGCCCCGAAAAGATAACTCCTATTTCTCTTCCTCTAACCCCTGGCAATCACTAATTTACTTTCTGTCTCTATGCTATGGATTTGCCTATTTGGATGTTTCAAATAAATGGGATCATACAATATGTCGCCTTTGTGTCTGGCTTCTTTCACTGAACACAGTGCTTTCAATGTTCATCAGTACTGTAGCGTGTATAGTACTTCCTTTTTATGTTTCAGTAGTATCTCCCAAGTTTATTTTTGTACCTTTAATGTATTTCTTCTTCAAACCAAAGAACAGGAAAGACTGATTCATTAAATAACAGATCTAGTCAGGTATTAATCTAGTAAGTAGCTCTATAAGACTCAATAGTATCATCCTTCTCTTAAGGAGTCTGAAGGAACAATTTATTACAGTAACTACAGAAGTTTATTGTTAATCATTTTTAAATGAAATATCCAAACTTACAGAATCACCGCCCAAGAAAGAACCTAAATGCTCACAAAGATTTCTCAAAACAGCCTGCATGAACAAACAGCAATTTAAAGGTTTTTCTAAAAATAAATGTCTACAATGGCAGGTGATTATTACAACCTTGAACATGCAACTGTACTGAGTCTGTCAATTCGTTTGGACCATAGGATATAACACAATAGCTGTCAAGAGGCATTTAGCTGTTGAAAGTACTATGCCTCTGAAATATGGATTTAGTTTTAGTCTGTTCACTTGAAAAATCCTAATATTTAAATCTTTCCTTTCTAATTGAAAATTTGAATCCTGAGTCATCTATTCTCTCCAAAGGGGTAATGTCATTTTTAATAAATCACCCTTACTTGGGTTTTGGGTGCTATATACAAACATTTTTGTACCACCCCCCCCAAGGATTGGACAGAGGGAAAGAAAAAAAAAGGAAGAAAAATTTCACTTGAGATTCTAGCTAGAAATCATCTACCAACAGAAACCATCTACCTACATGGAAAAAATTAAATTTTAGTCTGCACCACACCACATAAAAAGTAGACTGACTGTTCCCAAATTCTGAGGGTGTGCAGAATAACCTGATTTTTAAAAAAATTTTTTATTGATTATGCTGTTACAGTTGTTCTATTCCCCCCCTTCATTCCCCTCTACCCTGCACCCCCCCGTCCCCACCATTACCCCCTTTAGTTTATGACCATGTGTCTCAAGTCCTTTAGATTCTATATTTCCCATGCTATTCTTGCCCCCCCATCTATTTTCTATCTACTGTCTATGCTACTTATTTTCTGTACCTTCTCCCCCCTTCTCCTCCTCCCACTCCCCTGTTGCTAACCCTCCTTGAGATCTTCATTTCTATGTTTCCACTCCTGATCTAGCTGTCCTTTTAGTTTGCTTTTGTAATAACCTGATTTAAAGCAAAGGCTATGTGGCACATCGGCCTGGATGACCTGGGAAAGTACCGTAGAGAGACCTTAGTGGACACCCATTGTTTGCCTTCTGGTAGAAGAAACTCTTTTTCACTCACAAATCATTCCTTTTTCATTCTTATTCCACTACTTAAGAAGAGGCTGACTCTTTTCGAGACTCAGGCTATGATTCATTGGCCACTCAGATCACTCAAAGTCTGTGACTCCAGTGATGGGTTCCATCAGGCACAGGCCCCAAAGCAGGACAAACATTAATCCCCGGAATGCTGGTGGAGCAACTGGGAGGTGAGGGGTAGTCTGGGATCACCATAAAGACAAGAGTCAACCCGCAGCCCTCCGTCCTCATTGCCTCGGTTGCTCACTAGGTCCAACCCTGCACCTGGATTCCGTGCGCCTGAGTCCGTCTGACCGAGCACTCCTGTGCAACCCCGCTCCACCAGCTGCTTGTTTCGTCCCTTACCGGTCAGACTGAAAAATTTGTTATTAACAGACTTCCGAAAAGTTCAATTTTCTGTGTTCTGGCTGTGTTTTCTGTTGCTAATATTTAGTTGTCTCTAAACTTGGTTGTGTGAGAAGGCACGGATATCCACCTATGCCTCCATCTTGGCTGGAAAGAGGTATTCCAAGTCATGAAAACCAAAGACCTACAACCAAGATTGCTCTATCCAGCAAAACTTTCATTTAGAATGGAAGGGCAGATAAAGTGCTTCTCAGATAAGATCAAATTCAAGGAGTTCATCATCACCAAGCCCTTATTATATGAAATGTTAAAGGGACTTACCTAAGAAAAAGAACATAAAAAAGATGAACAGTGAAAGGACAGCAAACTCACAGTTATTAACAACCACACCTAAAACAAAAGCAAACTAAGAGGACAGCTAGATCAGGAGCAGAACCATAGAAATGATCACATGGAGGGTTAGCAACAGGGGAGTGGGAGGAGGAGAAGGGGGGAGAAGGTACAGAAAATAAGTAGCATAGACAGTAGATAGAAAATAGATGGGGGGGCAAGAATAGTAGGGGAAATATAGAATCTAAAGGACTTGAGACACATGGTCATAAACTAAAGGGGGGGCAATAGGGATGGGGAGGTAGGGTGGAGGGGAATGAAGGGGGGAATAGAACAACTGTAACAGCATAATCAATTAAAAAAAAAAAGACAGAAGAGAAAGACAAGGCTAAGCCTCTGATGGCTATCTTCGCCACATGGGGACCTGCCTGTAACAGAGGTAAATGGGCAAAAATCAAGAAACATTTCTGAATACATCTGAATTACAGGATCCTGCTAGGCCTAGATATCTAAAAGGTTAACTTCTGAAAAATCCAAGTTAACTGACTCAATGTATTATTTTGGTTTAAATTCATTTGATTAGGCTTCTGACACTTGAGAATTCTTGAAAATACAACAAAAATTATACCGTTAAATCAAGTTTTTGTATGTATTTGTTACCATGTCATATAAAAAATCCTGGATGTTTTAAAATAATATGTAAGTGGCCTTATTTAAAGTACATGGATGGAACTAGAAAGCATTATGCTGAGTGAAATAAGCCAGGTGGTGAAAGACCAATACCATATGATCTCACCTTTAACAGGAACCTAAACAACAAAACAAACAAACAAGCAAAATATAACCAAAGACACTGAAATAGAGAACAAGCTGACAGTGACCAGAGGGGAGAGGGGAGGAAATTTCAGGGGAAAAGGGAAGGATTTACAGAAACAAATATAAAGGACACATGGTCAAAAACTAGGGGAGGTGAAAATGGGAGGGAAGTGGGGAGAGATGGGTGGGTGGGTGGGCTGGGAATAAAAGACAGGAAACTGTACTTGAACAGCAATTAAAATAAAAGTAAAAAAACAAAAAATAAAAAATACAGGCCCCTTGAGTTTTGTCACTGAGAGGTTCTGGGCAGTGCAGAGTGAGCACTCAAGAGGCAGGTGAAGTCATCTGTAAAGCAGTCAAACCGAAGACATGAAAGGCAGTACAATCTGACTCCTTGAGAAAGTCTGGGATGGACAGAATATCAAGCTGGTTTCAAACATGAGTGCTAATCAAAAGTCACAAAGGCGGAAGCTCCAAACTGCAGACACTGGTTTGTGATTGAAGCACTCGACAAGTGGACAACTCAAAGCAGCATACTCGGATAAGCAGGGTTGATTTTAACAATGGCAATACCAGGAAGGCCAGTGCAAATTAGCTGTTGGATAGGCCTTGATAAACCTCACTATAAAAAGTAATGCAAATCAGCACTTTGTAAGAGGCTTCCCACATAGGAGAAAATGGTCAGTTTTCTTGAATATAAAACCCTACATTAGGTGGCAATTACTGGGAGAAGAGGGGTACAAGGGGACTAAATGGTAATGGAAAAAATATAATAAAGATTATATATTTAAAAAATAAAAATAAAAAGCTTTGGCTGGTGTGGCTCAGTGGATTGAGCGCCAGACTGTGAACCAAAGCGTTGCCAGTTCAATTCCCAGTCAGGGCACATGACTGGGTTGCAGGCCAGTTTCCTGGTGGGGGACACTCAAGAGGAAACCACACACCGATGTTCCTCTCCCTCTCTTTCTCCCTCCCATCCCTCTCTAATAATAAATAAAATCTTTAAAAAACTAAAAAATGAAAATAAAAAATGTAAAAAAAACCCTACATTAGAAAATATCTCAAATAATTCATGAAAACTAACAGCTAACTAGTATCCGTGAGCCTTCACACTCCAGGCTCCGTAGTAAGCAATCAGTGCACTAGCTCCTTTCACGCACTCAGCATGACAGAGGTAGGTCCTGTATGACTGGCCTCTTTGCACAGATAAAGCGAGGAGGATCAGGAAAGCAATCTGCCACCTAGGTAAGTGACAGCGGTGGGATCTGACTCAGGCTGCCAGACTCTCAACAACACCACACTTAGCTGCTCCCTATTTTTAGAGTACATTTTTATATGGCCTGGTTGTTCTGAAACACTGACAACGTAACTTTTTTCCCCTGAAGCAAAGGAAAAACTAATTCTCAAAATGATCTCAGAGGCTCATTAGAGTCCTACTGTGGTATGGACTACTAATAAGCCATTAATAGGACATGTCAGAATCCGCATCCTGCCTAATGAATTTTCAAAGTTAAAGGAGAAATAAAATGGAAATTGAAACTGGGAGAAACCTTTATAAGAAAATAAATAACCTGAAATTGTGAGGCTGTTTCTTTGCTTGTTCTGTTGTATTCTGAACCTAGGAAGGAAGACCTGGTATATTAGTATGGTGTACGGTTCTGTCCACTAAGAGTCCAAGTCTCTGTCACTGTCTACAAATAAACGTATGTCCTAACACTTATAAATACATGATTTCTTAAATGAGACGAGACTGAAATAATCAGTAAAGCTTAGCAAAGTCTATTGGATTCAATCCAAATATTCTACCAGAACCTGTTAGATTATGTTTTTGCTACTGATACTCAGATTAGTGGGAGTGAAAGGATACAAAAGGAAGGAGCAAACAATGTAAGCCAGAGACTGGATCACTGAACTTGGGTACTCGGTACAGCACACAGATTGGAGGTGCTCTAAGTTCCACAACTACTTATGATTTTCTGCATTATTGTTAAACATACTGCATTTACCATATTATAACTAAGCCTACTGATTTTAAAAACATAATTTCAAATGCCTACAGCAGATTAATAAGGTAGATCTCACAACGTAAGCACACCCATAAAGTAACAGAGATGGCCTTTTCTACAGAGGAAAGGGGACAAAGAGCAACTCAAGTTACTGATCTGAGTAACAGACTCTGCCTTCAAGGGCACTGGAATCATACTCTGGGAACAGTGTCATTCTGCCTACAGCCGTTCCACGCACTGGAGATAGTTACAACTCACTTTCACCCCTGTCAGAGATAAAGAATCATGAGAGTTGTCTCAAACATTCACCATTTCGAACAGAAGACGAACAAGCTTCTCGGACTCTCCTCTGTACTTAGAAGTCAGCGTTGATGAAGAGACGTTGAAGAATGTCGTCTTGCATTCTGTAGCTACTGCTTTAGCAAGGAGAGTCTTGCCCGTGCCAGGTGGGCCAACCATCAACACTCCCTGTTAGGAATACAGCAGCGTAAGTGAGGGATTTATCAGCCATTGTTCTAATTCACAAGAACTCCACTACTAAGGATCAATTTTCAACCACCTTACGCATAATATTAAGACAAATAAATAGAAAGGTACACAGAAGCATACTTTATCACAAACTTATCCATTACAAAAGTATAATAACAACATCACTAAAAATTTAAAACACAGATGAGAAAAAATACAATCAATATTCTAATACTGATATTACAATATCATACCCTAATACGAGTATCATTAGTATCTGGATATATTCCCACTTATATTTATTTGAGTCTTTTTGCTTAAATAAATTAGTTATTTTTTTTACATAGTTATACTCAAAGAATTTCTATAATTTTGTATCTTGCTTATCACTTAATATTTATAGACTTTTCTATATTTATAGAAAATATATTTCTATATTTAATATTTATAGAATTTCTATAATTTTGTATCTTGCTTATCACTGAATATTTATAGACTTTTACAATTAAAAAGTGCAGGCAGCCATTAGCATATTTTCCAAATCCAACAAAGAGTTTTTTGACAGTCTTTTCCCATTAGCCCAACCTTAAAAAGTCCTCATTAGGTACAGGTATGTCTCATTTCTTAAGAAAAAGAACCAGATACCAGTTGGCAAAATGACAGAAAATGGAGTGTTTTGCATTAGGCAACTTGTTCACATTTGTAAATACAAGCTCATTCTAGATCTGCTATATGTCCAACTTTCCAAGATCATAGTGTGCTTATTTCGTATTCTGGGAACCTTTAAAAAGCTTTTGGTCTAAACAAAATTCTTATTAACACAACATACATTTTTTAGTTTCAATTTTCTGTACCTACTCTACTACTTTCTCCCCTCTAACACAGATAAATATTGGCTTTCTACAGCCATGTACTTGCCATTCACTTCGACAATCCCATAATAGCAATAAACTTACTTTCCACGGTCTCCTAATGCCCTTAAAGAATTCTGGCATCCACATTGGTAACACCACTGCTTCCTTAAGCAACTTTTTAGCTTCTACCAAATCAGCAATATCATCCCTGAAACAGAAGATATTGTATCAGTAACCTCCTAGACTGTATTTTTAACTCTACGTAGTCATTCTTGAGAGCCACTGGGGACCCACGATCTGATGTTGCTGAGTGCTAAGGTTCCGCCTCCCAAGCACTAATGAACTGAGACACTGCGATGAGGCCATGCCAACCAGTACATAGACAGCACACTCAGTACTGTCGGTGTGTGTCAGTGATGATCCTCAGCTTGGCAAATGAAAACACAGATCTACAGGCCCACTCAAGTATTATTATGCCATCTCAATTTAAAACAAATTCCCACTTGTATTAATAATGCTCATTCCATAAACTCCATGATTTAAAAATGATGAGCCCTTTAAAAAAACAACCATACATACAGAATAAAAAGCGTATAAAGCAGAGACAGACTGCAATACCGCTGCTTTGTCCCCAACCCCAGTAAGAAGTAGATGCCAAGGTTAAAGAGTATCCTAGAGATTGCTACAAAGCCTTCTCCAACACAAGATTACCACTACCACTACCATCACTACTGTACATGTGATATTTTAAATGAAAATACACACTGTATAGATATCAAACAGCAAAAAATATATTTAAATCATTCCCAAAACCATACCTAAAAATAATACAAGGTTTTAACAAAATGCTTAACTTCATGGGAAAAGGAACTTTTATAACTCATTGTGATAAATTACAGTTCTTTAATTAGATATAATGCTAATGAAGTCAAGAATCATTGCTCTAAATGACAGGACATAAAGCAGCATGCACTGGATGAAGGTATAGGTAACAAGCAACACACATGCATAGGAATCACTGCCCCTGCACCATTAGAGGATGTCTCACAAAGAAGATAAAATTTCTATGACTCTCATTCCCACTCTGTATCAATTTTTTATAAAAGTTATTATTATTTATTTTATTAAATTAAGGAGTCTCAAACAGCCGTGGCTGGTGTGGCTCAGAGGGTTGGGCACTGTCCTGCAGATCGAAAGGTTGCTGGCTCAATTCCCAGTCAGGGCACATGCCTGGGTTGTGGGCCAGGTCCCCAGCTGGGGGGCATGTGAGAGACAACCATACATTGATGTTTCTCTCCCTTTCTGCCTCTTTTCCTCTCTCTCTAAAAATAAATATCTTTAAAAAAAAAAAGTCTGACAAAAAATTAGTACAGCCTGAACAGAAGTGAACTTTCTCACTGTATGTCATACTCTCATTGCATGTACCCCAAGGGCTGATTTTCAGCACATGCCCACATTTGCTCCACTCTCAAGTTCAAAAAGCATCTACAGCACCTAAGTATTATAACTTACCATCGAACATTAGGATTCTGAGAAATTATATCTCTTTCCAAAGCTTCTACTAAGTCCTTATCATATCCAGTACTATCAAATTTATTTGTCTCTGGTTCTGTAACTGCGGCAGGTGATTTGTTCTACATCAGGAGAAAGAAACAAGAGCTTTTGATTGACTCAAAACTTAGATTTTGTTTCTGTGAATCAGAAACAAAGACTGGACTCAAGTCATATTTTTTAAAAAGCTAATATAATAGAACAAGTAACAATGACAGAATCAAAGACTGCAAATCATCCTTTTACATATACATCAGAATTTCATACTCAATTTTTACTTTTACATAAAAAGTGTGGCAAAGGTGTTAAAAATAGAAATATGCATATGGCCTGATGAGAATCAAAAAATTAATACTGAACTGTGGTCCTTAGTGACCACCAGATATGCATGGCACTTACCTCAAAGTTTTAGAGAAGATGAGATTAAGGACAGGTGGGTTACTTAAGCTAATGAGTCCACATCAAAGCTCCTAAAACATTCCTTTTCACTATTCCCGCCCTCCCTCCAAAAGAGGGACTCATCTCAGTCCTTAGGTGAGACCCTCTCCTACCCTCTCTGGTGACAGTCATTAGAGCCACAGGTCCCAAACTACACACTAACATATTCCAGGGCACAACAGCAAACTCACAGAAAACTGATGCATATTTTAAATGTTTAGGAAAGCATGGCACTACCTGTTGAATACTGGATGAACTGCAGCCTCAAAGCAGTTCAGTCTCTATGATACATGGAGACCACTTTATTCCTTTCAGAAATGCCATATTTTGGGAAGTTAGACTTTGGTAGTTGCTGTGATAAGAGACATGGTGGGAAAAGTCAATGCAGAAGAGAAGAGCAGAATGTCTGACTCTAAGGTCTGAGAAACTCTGTAGTGCCTGACAGGTGTTGTTAGAACATGAACAAAGTTCTTTAAACCTAACTTCTTCATAAATAGATAGGTGTTCTTTTTGTCCTAGAGGTGCTGTGAAAAAATTACTGAGATACGCATGCATTTTATGAGCCAAAAAAATTTATGAAGCTCTGCATTAGTATAAATAATCATTTACTTGATCTTGTGCCAGGATTGTTACCCCATCTCCATATTTCTTGTCCATAACTTATGATTTATCATGGTGCTGCCTAAAATCAGTAGTAATGTCTAGAGTTAACCAGTATTTATGATATTCAAAGTCTTACACTAGATGACCAAATAAGTATCTGTCCCACAATTTACAGACTATTCAGTATCCAACACCAACATCAAAGGTACAAGGAAGGTACTGTTTAACATTTAAAAGAAGAGAAGGTTATCTTTTCTTCCAATTATTTATGAAGCTGTTATTCATTCACAGATAGTTACCAAGGATCTATTCTGTGCTAGCAGCTATGAGGGTAGAAAGAAGACCCTGTTTCTCACTACTGGAAATGTACACTGTAAGCCTAGGAAGACACAAATAGAAGGAACTTTCTAGTTCTCGCCTTCTTTGATCCCACAGAATACAGTGTTGAGCGAATATCTGCAGACAAAGCAAAACATATTTAAGCTAGGCAGAGAGAAGAAACAATTCTATAACAGGCCAGGAAAGAGAAGTTATGGAATTTCAAAGGCTGACATTTTTAACAGGAGTTCACTGAATTAGCTGAACTAGTACAATTTCCTGTTAAGTACACATGGATGGAATAATTTGCTCTACATGAAAATATTGATAGCGTGAAAGAAAGCAGCAGAGAGGTCAAGAAGAATGTAGACTCCTTGTAGATGCACAAAATGAAGTTGAAGATGGACTGATTAACCAAGAGGTAAGTCCCCAGATTTATAACCAATTATTTTAAAAGCTGGCACCATTACAAACACAAAATCCGATGGAAAGAGTTACTTAATCAGGTGAGGGCCTGGAAGCTCAGTGCCCCTTCCCATGTACCTTGCCCTCTGCATCTCTTCCATCCGGCTGTTCCTGAGCTATAGCCTTTGTAGTAAACCAGTAATCCAGTAAGTAAACTGTTGTCCTGAGTTCTGTGACCTGTTCTAGTGAATTATCAGGCCCAAACAGAGTCATGATAATCTCCACTTTACGCCAGTTGGTCGGAAGCACAGGTGAAAATTAGACTCCCAACTGGCATCTGCCATGGGGGCAGTCTTATGGGACTGGGGCCTTAACCTGTGGAATCTGATGCTAACTCCAGGTAGGTAAGTGTCAAAATTGAGGTAAATTGTGGGACACCCAGCTGTTGCCACAGAAGTTGCCTGGTGTGGGAAAAACTCCTGCACACTTGGAGTGCTAGTGAGTAGACGGAAAAGAGAGCTCTCCTTTACAAGGAGTAACTGTGTGACGGGCGCAGAGTTCCAATGCGGGGAAATGCAATGTGTCCACGGGTGGGTGGCGGGGCCAGTCCCACAGCAGTGTGCACGTGCTCAACCGCACGGAACTGCACCCTTACATGACTCAAGTGGTAAGTTGTATGTTACATATATTTTAATGGTAATTTTAAAAATAACTTTTAAACAGTTCATTGTATTTTTATACACTGGCAATAAGTATGTGGACAGTGAAGTTAAAAATACAATACCATTCACAATCACTTACAAAATAAAATAGGTATAAAATCTAACAAAACATATGTGAGACCTGTATTCTGAAAACTACGTAATACTGATGAAAGAATTCAAAGACCTAAATAAACGGAGAAAAAAATGGAGATAAATAAATGGAGACTCAACACAATAAAGATGCTGATTTTCCATAAACTAGCATAAAGGTTTAATGAAATTTCTATCAAGATTCTTTTTAGATGTAGAAAAACTGATTCTAAAATTTATAAGGAAAAAAAGAAAGAAACAAGAATAGCTAAAACAATTTTGAAAAGGAAAAGTAAAATGGAATGAATCATTCTACCCCCGCCCCCCACCTTTTTATAGCTTTAGCGAAGTCCTTCTTGCTGAGCTCTGACCAGCCAAAAACAGCACTGTTATCCCAGGGCCGAGTTCGTAGGTGCAAAGTTGTTCTGCTCCACTCAGACACTGTACCTGGCAGATCCTGCAAATTATGCACCAAGCACACAACTAGCAGGACTGTGGTTGGTATCTGAATGTAGAGACACTAAAACCAGGGTTGTTCTATAGCCCAAACCAGCAAATAATATCTAAGAACATTTTTTCAATTTTTATTAATACCTATATAGGTAGCTCCTCTGGGATTGTTTCCAAGTAAGGCCCTTAAGAAAAGTAATTTCCATCCTGGCCAGTGTGTCTCAGTTGGTTGAAGCATCATCCCGTAAACCAAAAGGTCATGGGTTTGATTCTCAATCAGGGCACATGCCCGGGTTACAGGTTCAGTCCCAAATGTACAAGAAGCAACAGGTAGATGTTCTTCTCACACTGATGCTTCTCTCCCTCTCTCTCCCTTTCTTCCCCTCTCTCTAAGATGCAAGATAAATAAATTAAATTAAATTAAAAATTAAAAAATTTCACCATCCACTCCCTGTTATGTAACATTCCTGTACTGCCAGTGTTTTAGACATGAGTGTTATGTGGCTTTAAAAACAGTTAAACTCAAATTATTTTTCTTTTGAGGAGGTCAAAGGACTCGAGTAGTGGTCCTCAAACTTTTTTGATGAAATACTGGCATTAATAAAACTTAAGTCTGTATTCTCAATATACAGATAATAATTTGTAAATTATATACATGTATATTACAACACACACACAAAATACTAATAGTAGATCTCTGTAAAACTAAATTATAAATAGAAACTCTGGTATGACCTTCTGGCAGGTAGCCCACTTTGAGTATTGTGGCTTTGTTTATCAACCAGAATTGTTGATTGATGGCTCATTCAAAAGCTTTCCTAAGCAAGAAAGGTCCCTTCTTTGGACAAGTTGTTATTTCTTTTGATGATAGAATTTAAACTGAAAACAGCATAGATTTTTGAGACTTATTCACTCCTTTATCCCCAAGACCATAGTGTCTTGACATATAACAACAAATATTCAACGTGCACATCATGCATGTTGAATACATCATTTTTCACGTCATCTAATATAACACTTTTCTAAGTGGTATTTCTGACTCTAGTTGTATGTCTCTTTAATCTATTTAGTGATTCTCACTCCAAGCTGCATAATAATACCATCTGGGAAACTTGGTAAAATATCTCATTCTTAAGAATCCTGATTTAATTGGTTTGGACTGGAGACCAGGGTTGAAAGAGGTAGAAGTGACATAGAGGGGATAAACAGTGATGGAAAGAAACATGACTTGGGCTAGAAAACATACAATACAATATACAGATGATATATTACAGAACTGTCCACCTGAAACCTACACAATTTAGTCAACCAATGTCACCCCAATAAAGTCAACAAAAAAATAAAAAGAAAAAAATATATTTTAAAATGCTGATCCCCAGACTCCAGTCTACCCAGTTTTTTAAAAGATTTTATTTATTTCTAGAGAGAGGGGGAGGGAAGGAGAAAGAGAGGGAGAGAAATACTGATGTAAGAGGTAAACGTTGATGAGCCACTGCCCATATGTGCTCCCACCAAGGACCAAATCTGCAACCTAGGAATATGTCCTGACCAGGAGTCAAACCAGCGACCCCTCGCTTTGCAGGAAGATACCCAACCAAAGGAGCCACACTGGCCAGGACTGGTCTATCCAATTTTTAAGACTTATTATGTAAGAATGGTAAACAAACCTGTGTGGTATTGGTAGAAAAAACAGACACATATATCAATGAAACAAAATAGAGAACCCAGAAATAGACCTACACAAATATGTCCAACTATTTTAGACAAAGGGACAAGAGCAATTCAATGGAGGAAAAAACTGCCTTTTCAACAAATGATGCAAAAACAATTGAATATGTATATGCAAAAAATGAACCCTGAGTGCCGATCTGTGAATCCAAAGGTTGCTGGTTTGATTCCCAATCAGGGTACATGCCTGGGTTGTGGGCCAGGTCTCCAGTTGGGAGTGTGCAAGAGGTAACCACATATTGAGGTCTCTCTCCCCCTCTTTCTCTCTCCCTTCCCATCTTTCTAAAAATAAATAAATATTTTTAAAAAATGAACCTTGGCCTAAGTCTTACATCATAAACAAATATTAGCTCAAAATTTATCATGGACTCTCATGTAAAATGTAAACTTTTAGAAAAAAATAGAAAATTTGGAGGATGTAGGAATAGGCAGAGAGTTAAGAACTGAACATCAAAAAGAAATAGCAGAGCTGGTGCTTAAACATGGGTCACCTGAATCCACTGCTCATACACATAATCACCATGCTGTATTTGTGAGATTATATTTTCCTGTCTTATTATGCAGGTATTAATTTCTCTTGGACAACTGATTTCTTGATTATACTACTTCAGGATCTATACGGCATTTCTCAGGGTATAAGAGCATAGATATATTGGGTTGGCCAAAAAGTTTGTTTGTTTTTTTTCCATAAGATGGCTCTAGTAGCATTTAGTTGTCTTTTACTTCATTAGAAACAATTTTGTTAGATTGTATTGTGACGGCTGTCACATCAGCATGCATTTAAAAAACACTTATCAAAATTGGTGAATTTTTGTATACCCATTTTAATGTTGAAATAGAGGAAAATATGAATATTTTCAGCATATTATGCTTTACTATTTCATAAAAGGTAAAAACACAACTGAAATGCCAAAAAAAGATTTGTGCAGTATCTGGAGAAAGTGCTGTGACTGATGGAACATGTCGAAAGTAGTTTGCAAAGTTTTGCACTGGAGATTTCTCACTGGACAATGCTCCATGGTTGGGTGGACCAACTGAAGTTAACAGCAATCAAATCAAGAAATTAACTAAGGAAAACTATAAAGGACACATGACAAAGCCAATGGAAGGTGAGATCAGCAGAGGTGGGGATATAGTGGGGGGAAAATGCAGACAACTGTATTTGATCAATAATTAAAAAAAAAAAAAGACATTAACTGAGAACAATGAACATTATACCATGGGGGAGATAGCCAACATACTCAAAATACCCAAATCAATAGAGTTACTGGTGAAAATGAAAAATGTGTCTTTTATTTTATGGAAAAAAATAACCAGATTTTTGGGTCAACCTGACAAAATGAAAAAGGTATAAGACATGGAGCTGAGCCCTACAAACCACATGGTTCTAAGGCTTATAATCCAACCCCTAGAGGAAAGGCCAGGGAAACTCGAGTACTGATAATATTCCATAAGGCCTGATTCATCAGCTACCTTCCTCACATCCTTCCTTGTTTCAGGAACTAAAACGGGACTGCTTCTGCTGAAAGTGCAGGGATGCAGGGATGCAGGACTGCAGAACTATCTGGCAAAAGGAACATAAGGAAACTGCCCAGATGTACAAGAACATCTGACCTCCAGAAATGGGGAGGAGGGGGAATAAGGCAGAGGGCACAAAATCAGGAGCTAAATGAACATCTGTACCTTTATCAACAAGGAAGGCTGTGTTTAAAGGTATGGCTTTGCTGGGTATTGGATGAGGTTCTCATGTAGAATTACAAAGTTAGATTGTACATCTAGGAGAAAGAATGAAGTCGAAGCTGATGTGAGGTTTTGAAAGGAGTAGAAGGGCCGAACTAAAACGTTGCTATACACACGTTTTCACTTTGCCCAAGCGGTGTGGAAGAGTCCTTTGGGCCCACCTGACCAAAAAGTTACCCTGTACTTTATTGTATCACAGTTACCGGATACATACCTTGGACAAGGAAGGTGGAATTAGAGAGAACAGAAACTAAGCTCTGAGATTCCCATATGCTTCTTAATACAAGACAGTATAAGTCCTCAAAAATATTAATTGGCACTTAAATCTGGGTTTCTGAATCCCGTTCTTTACCAACAGAAACCGTGGAGGACATAGAAGATGAGCCTGGAGCATTCTATTGTGTCAGAAAATGAGGAAGTGCTCAGAGAACAATGAATACGTGCCCAAAACACATAAGACCCAGCTTCGAGGATCTCCCACTCCTCAAATATTAGACAATTTAAGCATTGAATAATGACAGTAACATTATAATTCACTGAATAAACTAAGAATACATGAGTCCATATGATATAATTAAATAAAGGGTAAGAAGAACAAAGCTGTTCCTCACAGTGAAGTACCAGTTAATTAATGTAGAAGAAATAATGGCATTAGAAAACCATGATTTTGTAATCATCACAGGAATAATTGATTCAGGCAAGAATCACTGGATACTAGAACAAGTAGATGAAATTTTAATAAGAAATAGAATATTTGCATAATCTCAAAGTATTTCTCCACAAATTATTATAAGGAGACAAAAGGAACTTTGAAATGGAGAGATCTGGCAGATACCACCTAACAAGTGATCCAATTTACAACGAGTAATAGGACAAATAAACATCCTGGGCCTCTTTATATGATACACTGAGAAGATTAAAACTTCACTTCTTGGGTATTCCTGCCAAAATTGCATAACCTTGAGCTAATCACAAGGAAACCTCAAACAAACCCAAATTGAGAGACATTCTACAAAATAACTGGCCAGTACTCTTTAAAAATGTCAGGCCAAAAAAGACAAAGGCTGAGAAAACGTTCCCATTAAAACAGATTAAAGAAACACGAGAACTAAATGCAGTGTATGATTCTATATTGGATCCTGGCATGAGGCAGAAAAAGCTATGAATGACATTATATAACTGCCTAAATTTTATGTGGGTTAGATAACAGCACTGTAGCAATGTAAAATTCACAGCTTTCGATAACGATACTGAGTTTAAGTAAAAGAATGTCCTAGTGCTTAGGACATACTCTTTAAAGTATTTAAGGTTAAAAAGCCATAATATCTACAACTCACTCTCAATGCTTCAGGAAATAAACAAGGTATACAGGGAGTAAATGATAAAGCAAAAGGGGTACAATATTAATAATTAGTAAAAATGAGTAAAGAATATATGGAAGTCCTTTATGTCATTCCTGCAACTTACTGCAAGTCTAAAATTATATCAAAATATAAAGTTACAAAAACCAACCAAAAATACTGGGCAAATAGTGAGTGGGAAAAATCCCAGCCTACGGGAGGATGACTAAGGCTTCATTATAGTATGGCAGTCTAATGATTAAAAATTATTAAAATCTACAGCCTTCATTTTCAAAGTTAATAAATAACGTTTTCACTTGTGAAAGTCAGTAGCATTTACCTTTTCCTCTCTTCCTTTATTCTGCTCTTTCTTTTCCCGACATCGAACAGCTTTCCCTCTGTCATTGTGAAGGTTGTGTGCCGATGGCCGGTGAACTCTGACGGCTGTACTGGGACGGTTACTGTGTGGCTTAGGGTCGCTGTTTTGAGAAGACTGGCGTTTTCTAGGACCTGGTGAGGGTCTAATCAAACACAACATCATTAAAATCATAACTAACCCCTGGAGTTGGTCCAAATATAGATGAACACAAGTAGTGTCTAAGAGACTATGAACTAAAGAAGCCAAGGCAATAACCCAAGAAAGAAATAAATAAACTTAAGGTCACTGAAACCTAAGATCTAACATTTAATTTGACATAGCTGTGTGTGATGACTTAAGAAAGGAATGAAATGCAGTATGGTTATATGGTAGAGATAATGAAAGGCAACTGATTATCACTTTTCCTTTGAAAGGAAATCAGCAGTGGTACACCAAGAAGGAATTGAGAAATCAGTCTGATTCTTGGTAACTTAAAACAGAGCAATTACCAGACAAGAGAGTATTTAGCAGAATATAGTGCAGATGAAGAAGTCCCACTTACCCACTAGTATATATGCAATTTGGTACCAGTTCTCATGTTTTAATTCACAAAATGTAATCATTTTCCCACTATAAAACTGATATAAGCACTAGCTATGGACATGGTGCTGTACATTTACATATATCACCTCATTTCATTTTTATTTTTGTGGCAGGACTCAGACCTCTCAAATACCTTTTAGGTTCTCACTGTGCTCCTAGACTTCGCTGGGGCCATAAAAATGAGCAGTAAAAAAGGAATAGGAGTCCTATCCTCAAACACCTCAAGCACAGTTAAGAAAGAAGAGGGCAAGTGTACTAGAAGGCATAAAACAGCCGTGGTGCTATGGTGATGGCCTCATGAAGACAAAACACACTGGGCCTGGAAACACAAGAGTTGACAACCACGAAAATAAACAATGCACAGAAGAACAGCAGATGCACTAGAATGACTATGATTTCCTTTCTATTTTTATGAATTTTCCTACTTTTCTTTAATGAGCTTATATCTGTACTTATTTGTTTTTCATGAATTTTAAATACAACAAAGTATTATATAAAAGTGCTTATGAGTGGGGAAGGGGAAATTCAGTAAATATTAGAAAGATAGTAACAAAATACTACTACTTTTATCTGGGGCTGAAGAAAGAAAGATGACTAAAAAACAATAATGCCACTAGCTGGTCTTAGGCTGGAGAGGGAACACTTTGGTAAGGTAATTCCTTGAAGTGTGATGCGCAGACCACCTGTATCAGAATCACCTGCCAATTCTCCAGGCTCTACCTCGTACCTATTGTATCAGACTCTCTGAGAGTGAAACCCCAGAATCCACAGTTTTAATGAGTGTCCCCAAGAGATCTCTATGTGTGCTAGAGCCTGAGAATGACTGGTATGACAGAGAATGCCAGCTTTGTAGTCAAATATCCAAGCTCCACCAGTTATCGGTTTTGTGATAATGGAGAAAACTTAGATAACCTCACTGTACCTCACCTATCATATCTGAAATACAGGGAAAATATAACTTATTTGGAAGGCTTACTTCCAAAGTAAGTGTAAGAAATAAATAACATGTACAGTCTGCGACTGTGCTAAGGGCACTCGGAGTACTCACAATGATAGAATGTTAAACTGAAAAACTCTTAACAGCAAGGTCTTAACAGAAGGTTCTCAAACTGGTAAGGGGACAAAAAAACCTACAAGTCATAAATGTTCTTTGTAGAATGCTGTGACACATTCATATATTTAAACCCATAATACAAAATAGGAAATCTATTGTGTGAGTGAACTGGATAAGTGACGTCCACCAGCACACTTGTCATTTAAAAAATATGCAGTGAAACCAAGCACAATAGACTCTTCACAGCATTTTAATAAATATCACTTTCACTGTTTATTTTCTGGCACCATGTAATAGGAAGATGGGAAAAAAATACAAGAAAAACCTAAAATTGAGAACATTTTATCTTTTCCTGATTTCTGTGAATTAAAAAGCCCATTTTTTAAAACTTAGCAGCAGTACAGCATGATGAATAGCAGTATTCTGTAATAACTTGTTTGAGAACCAGTTTTGATCTTACTCCCCCACTTTACATTAGAAAAATCTGAGGCCTAGAAAGGTTACATGATTTTCCCAAAATAATGGTTATCTCTGCTACTTAAACTCACCTCACAAAAGCATATTTTGGCTTATTTCCACCAAAATTTAATTTGTTGAAATGGTTCACAGTTACATAATACACAATTTAACAGTTATAAAAGCCATTCAGTAACAAACCCTCTCCCATTCCCGTCTCTCAGGCACCCAGCTCCTCTCCTAGATGGAACCAACGCGACCAGCTCCTGCGCTGGCCTGTCTCTCAAAGGCTCTCCACTTACCTTCGTTCGACAGGTACAGGCAAGGACCAGACTTCTCCCTCAGAAGCTGGAAGCTCATGCTGTGCAGCTTTCAGTGGAGTGCTGTCTAATTTAAAGCTCTCTAGTGTTTTCATGATATCTTTAACATGTTTTGCTTCCACATTTATTTCCTGCCAAACCTGGTTTCAAAGGGGAATATAACTCTTTAAGTTTTTATAACTAATAAACAACTACCAAGATTAAACTACGGCCATTTTTTAGATGTTAGAAACCTCCATTTTGGTATCAGATATCTAGTAAATCACACCAAGATACTGTGTTGAAAATTTTTTTTTAAAGATTTTATTTATTTGTCTTCAGAGGGGAAGGGAAGAAGAGAGGAAGAGAAATATCATTGTGTGGTTGCTTCTTGTGTGTCCCCTGCTGGGAACCAGCCTGCAACCCAGGCATGTGCCCTGACTGGGAATCGAACCGCAATCCTCAGGGTCACAGGCCCACACTCAATCCACTGAGCTACACCAGCCAGGGCTGTGTTGAAATTTTAATAATGGTTCATTATTTCTTTGCTTTCAATTATACAATTAATTCTGATAAAATTAATTAAATATTCTAGCTAATTAAACCATGTTACTTACTTATGATTCTTATTCAAATTGCATAACCAATTGAAAAGGTAGCTGCAACCTCAAAGTTTGATAAAAATAATACTTTTGCAAGTTGCCCTTTGATGGTTTTTTAATGCTATTTTCCTACTGACTTTTAAAATGCAAATCAGAATCCATGACTTTCATAACCCATTAGTGGATTGCAATTTGAAAATATGCTTCAGAAGACAAATGGCTTGATTCACATATAACCAAGATATTTTAAAAATGCAATCTTGATTCAATTAGAAAACTACACACACACATACAGACACACACACACACACATATGCACACATGAAATACCGAAATGCCATTGGTAATGTTTTGTCTTAAAACTAAATGACTTAAGACCCTGGCTGGGTAGCTCAGTTGGTTAGAGAGTCGTCCTGATAAGCCAAGGTTCAACACTTGGTCGGGGCACATACGACAATCCACCAATGAATGCATAAATAGGCGGAACAACAAACAGGTGTTTCTCTTTCTCTCTCTCCTTTCCTTGTTCTCTAAAATCAATAAGTAAAACTTTAAAAAGAAAAAGACTAAATGACTTAACTATCTTTACCAAAGAGCTTAGACTTTTGAAGAGTTACTAGCCTAAGAATAAAAGGTCTTAAAAGTCTTTCAATGACAAATAAGACTCCTTATGAAATGAAATATTTTCCCCTTTCAGTAATATCAAAGATATGCAGAGGCAAATTTAGGGAAAGAGGTTAAATTTAAAGAGGTAGGATATTTTCTCTCTAAGAAATTAAGGACAAATATGGAATATTATCAAAAAAACAGTTCAGTAGGATCTGAGGGATAATATTCTACCTGGAAAATCAGCTCAAAAAGACTTCATTTCTGTAATGTTTCTTTCCTCTGTGACATAGTTGAACCTTGTTATAAATGCCACCTTAAACTGGACCTCTAAGTTCTACTACAGTTTCCACCTGTAATTTCTACTGGTCCTCAGTGACTCACGTTCCTCAGATGGGATTCAAATATGGTCTGACTTACAATGTTCTATAGAAAATATGGTTCCCATGAAATTCAGATGTTATCTGTACTTTCAAAAATGGCTTAATAAAGTCAACTCTAATTCCACCAGATAAAAAATGTGATCTAGAAAAAAAAATTGAAAACAATTACTTTAAAAAAATCTATTAGATTCCAACAGTTAGAATAACTGAACAGAATTTAGAGTACTGATGATGGTGAATAGACTATTACTAATACAATTAATCAAGTTTCAAGTAACATTATATACAAATCCATTCAAAAAGTGACAACACTCAATATATAACAGAAAAAAAACAGTGATAATCTACTGAAATCTTCTGAGTACTTAAACCACTTAAAAAGTACATAGCTCATGCTTCTTACCTGTTGCCATTTCTGCTGGAGGTACGTATCTTTCACGGAGTACAGATACTTGTTCATTTGGTCAAGGACTCCCTGATAATAGACCATCGCGGAGTCGTAGTTTCCCAGCAACGCATATTCACGAGCCAATTTTACATTCTCATTAATCATAAGAAGACTCATGCTAAACTGTAAGCTAAAAAAAAGAAAAAGAAAGAAACATTTCATATGGCATGTCTCTTAAAAATAAGTACTACAGAGTTTTTTTTAATTATACTTTCTAGGGCTCCCTCCATACATAAGCCCACAAGCACACACACATTGCACTTTCCATCTCTACATATTTGCTTGTGCTATTTCCATTCCTTCAAACACATTTCTTAGTTCCCAAAGCCAAACCCTACCAATGTGTCAAAGCTCAGCTCAGGTGGCAGTTATCCCAGTGTATCTACCTCTGAACTTTTAGTCAAAATAAATTCGAGAGTCCCCTGGAACTTTACTGGGACCTTCTATCTCAAGGCACTTAGTTACTGATACAGGTTTTATCTTTACTAAATTATCTGAGAGTAGGATTTGCGTCTAAAAGGTGTGAGACTGGTCTAGCTGGTGTAAGGTGTCAGTGATGGAGCAACAGCCTGCTAGCCAGTTGATTCCCAGTCCGGGAACATGCCTGGATTGTGGGCTAGATCCCCAGTTGTGGACATGCAAGAGACAACCCATTGATATTTCTCTCCTTCTTTCTCCCTCCCTTCTCCTCTCTCTAAAAGTAAATAAAATCTTTAAAAAATTTTTAAAGGTGTGAAATTATATGCTCAGTGTATGGTCATAAGTCTTACTGAATATCTGCAGAACAAATGTAGAATGTTAGATACAGTTTTGGAAGGCAATGTGAATAGCAGGAAGCATTTGCATTTTGAAGGTAGAAAAATCTTGGTTTGGGGTATAATTCTGTCACTTTGGTCAAGTCCATTAATTTTCTAAGATTTGGTTTTTAAATTTGAAAAACTGAAATAGTAACTACTTTTAAGAGTTGCAATATAAAGAATGACTATTTCAAGTACCTAACATACTATTTGGCAAAGAACAGGTCTTCAATAAGTACTAAATTTATCTTCTTGATACTTTCTATAAAAGAGAACCAAGCAGTCTTTATACTTAGTAGGATGTGGATATAAATAATCAGAAATAGGCATTTGATAACTGTCAGTTTTGTTGATGTTGATGATTATTATCTATTAACTGTGCACAACACTGTATACTTCAAAGTCAGGAAGCTCTGAGTGCTTTTGAGAGGACAATGATTTAGATAAGGGCTGTGGCTTCGGAAATAAAAAGAAAATTGAAACATGGTGAAAGAACTGCTGAGAATACTTATGAATTTGTGTGATCTTAAAAATGAATGAAGTTTCAAGTAAGGGAACTAAAAAATGAAAGACTCACAAAAGATAATAGGAAACTGAGCAGATAGATGAAGAAAATCATTATTTTTTTACTCCTTTTGTGTGTCTGCGGGATATCTAAATAGATGTGTCTCATGGCTGAACAGAGGTGATTTCTAAATGGGGACCTCTCTACCTAGCTTAATAGATCTTGCCAGAGGCATTTCCTAAAATTGTGCTTCCTCCCCAACACCACCTACAGTTAAGGGAAGATGATGCAACAGAACTTAAGTCTAAGAGAGATCACGATGGCTCTTACAAGTTGTACATTTAAATTCTTTATGATTATATCCTAAGAACCCTGAAACACCAATCCAAAAGAACCTATGCACCCCAATATTTATAGCAGCACAATTTACAATAGCCAAGAGTTGGAAGCAACCTAGGTGCCCATCCGTAAATGAATGAACCAAAAAACTATGGTACATACACACAGTGGAATTCTATGCAGCAGAAAGAAAGAAGGAGCTCCTACCCTTTGCAACAACATTGATGGAACTAGAAAGCATTATGCTGAGTGAAATAAACCAGGTGGTGAAAGACAAATACAATATGATCTCACTTTAACGGGAACCTAAACAACAAAACAATCAAACAAGCAAAATATAACCAAAGACACTGAAATAAAGAACAGGTGGACAGTGACCAGAGGGGAGAGGGGAGGGAATTTCAGGGGAAAAGGGGAAGGATTTACAGGAACTAGTATAAAGGACACATGGACATAAACTAAGGGGGGTGGAAATGGGAGGGAGGTGGGGAGCACTGGGAGGGGGTGGGCTGGGATGGGAGTAAAAGACAGAAAACTGTACTTGAACAAGAATTAAATAAAAAAATTTTTAAATTCTTTACTCTGGGATGCGGTTTTCTGTAAAAAAAGATGCCAAGCAAATTTCCTGGGTTTAACTTATTGTAGAAGGTTTAGCTGATGGACAGGTCAAAGAGGACGACAGCAGACCAACCAGGAATATCAATCAGATTCACTACATGTTAGGTATAGGACCAAAGAGATGTTCTGTCAAAGAGACAGGAGAAAATAATCATATCCATACAGCCCAGAATCAGAGGAGTATAGGAAGCAAAATGAATAGGAAATCTTGGTTGCTGGAAGGGCTAAAAATCAGCAATGCTATACTAGAGCAGAAGAAGGTGGTTGCTATGCTCCTTAGGACGGAGAATAAAGTGAGATGGATCAATAAACCCATGTGTCTAGGGCCGATTTATATTTGACAAAGGGGGTATGAACATACAATGGAGTGAAAACAGCTTCTTCAATAAATGGTGTTGGGAGAACTAGTACATGTGAAAAAAATGAAACTAGACCACCAACTTATACCATACATCAGAATAAACTCAAAATGGATAAAAGACTTGAATATAAGTTAAGATACCATAAAAGTCCTAGAGGAAAACATAGGCAGTAAAATTTCAGATATCCCATGTAGCAATATATCTTACAATATTATATCTCCTAGGGCAAGGGAAATAAAGGAAAAAATAAACAAATGGGACTACATCAAATTAAAAAGCTTCTGCATGGCCAAAGAAACCATCATCAAAATGAAAAAGGAAATGACTATATGGGAGTATATATTTGCCAATGACACATGGGACAAGAGTTTAATCTCCAAAATATATAAATAACATACATGACTCAACACCAGGTAGACAAACAATCTAACCAAAAAATGGGCAGAGGACCTGAACAGACACCTCTCCAAGGAGGTCATACAGATGGTCCATAGACATAAGAAAAAATGCTCAACATCACTAGCCATCAGAGAGATGAAAATTAAAAACACATTGAGGGCGGAAAGGGGAGGGAGGTGGGGGGCACGGGGGGGTGGGCTGGGAAGGGAATAAAAGAATGAATACTGCAGTTAAAAAATAATTTAAAAAATAAATTAATTAATTAAAAATTAAAAAATAAAATAAAAACACATTGAGATATCGACTCACACTTGTCAGAATGGCTAGCATTAATAAATCAGCAAACAACAAGTGCTGGTGAGGATGTGGAGAAAAGGGAACCCTAGTGCACTGTTGGTGGGAATGCAGACTGGTGCAGCCACTGTGGAAAACAGTATGGAATTTCCTCAAAAAAATTAAAAATTGAACTGCCTTATGACCCAGCAATTCCACTGCTGAGAACATACCCTAAGAATCCTGAAACACCAAATCAAAAAAACTTATGCACTCCGATGTTTATGGCAGTGCTATTTATAATAGCCAAGTGTTGGAAACAGCCTAAGTGCCCATCAGTAGATGAACAGATTGAAAAACTGTGGTACATTTACACAGTGGAATACTATGCGGCAGAAAGAAAGAAGGAACTCCTTTGCAACAGCGTGGATGGAACCAGAGACTATTACGCTGAGTGAAATAAGCCAGTCGGTGAAATACCATGTCAAATACCATATGATATCACTTATAAGAGGAACCCATTGGACAAAATAAACTAATGAACAAAACAGAACCAGAGACATGGAAATGGGGCCTCAGAGCCTGGAAGCAGATCTTCCCTCGGGTGAGCCCTGAGATGACTGCAGCCCTGATTCCCTGATGACAGGCTGTGAAAGACTCTATCTCACAAGTACCCAGCTAAGCCAGGCCCAGAGCGCAACCAAAGAAACCAAGGTATAAATGTTTGTTGCTTTAAATCACTAAGTTTTAGTGTAATTTGCTATAAAGCAATACAGCTATAAAATGAGGTATACAAGTAACTCACGACTGGGTATCTCAAATCAAAAGAAAAAAATCACTCAACCTAAATCATAACTCTCTGGAGTCAGTTTGATAATATTCTATCGTAATAAAAGCTCCATGACTAAGAATTATGGCTCTCTGTTACTTACTGATAAATCTTTAGCACCCAGAACCATGCCTGGCGCACAGCAGATATTCAGTCTTTCTTCTTTTCTTTTAGATTTTAATCATTTACTTTTAGGGAGAGGGGAAGGGAGGGGAAAAAAAGAGGAAAACATCAATGTGTGGTTGCCTCCTGAGCGCCCCCTACTGGGGGCCTGGCCCGCAACGCAGGCCACTGCCCTGACTGGGAATTGGACCAGCAACCCTTTGTTTCGCCAGCTGGCACTGAATCCACTGAGCCACACCAGCCAGGGCACATACTCAATCTTTAAACTGAGGATACTCAGACACTCAAGGAACATATACCGCCAAATTTTTGTCTTAACCACTAAGGCTTTGTACCTTTGTCCAGCTCCTAACCCTCAGCACTCACGTTCCTTGATCCCCAATCATCCTACCAGAGCTGTGTGACTGCCTCGACCCTGAAAGTACACATGCCCTGTGGTGGCACCAGCCTGGGCAGCAGAGTTAGAAGAGGATCGCCACAGCCGGCTGCACAGTACACAGGAGTCCTGGATCAGCTCGGACGGCAGGCCTCTTGTGTCTTTTCTCTCTCTCCCTCTTTTCCTTAGTAGACTTTCTCCTGATCTTTCTTACCTTTCCCCTCTTCAAAAAAAAAAAAGGTCTAAATTAAGTTCTTATTCAATGGCCTAAAACTCAGAGAAGTCAACTGCAGGCCTTCTTTGAAGGTTCTCCATGTTATGAATACTTCTTTCTAGTCAGATAAAATTCCTTAGGAGCCAATGAATAACTGACTTCTAACAAACAAAAGTGTAAAGTCAATCCAAGGTCGCATTAACAAATGACCTGAGAAATTCTTGGTTATCAAAGAAATGTGTTTACTGAAAGCAGTATCAAAATACCCTTAGTTGACTAAATGTCAGACAAAAATAATTTTTCCTATTCTTTTAGTAGTCTTTAAGGCAAAGACATCATTCTTCTTCAATGTCAACACTGGAAATTTGTAAGATTCTCCAACTTTGATGAAAAATATAGTCTTATCGTTGCTAAAATTACACTGCAGAACAGAAACTGGTCTACCCAGTACAATATCTGGCAATAGTTTAAAAAGTTGATGTATTTCAAGAAAAGCCTATAGACCAAATTTGAACCACCATGAACTGTAATCACAACCTACTGGTTCAATCAGTAAAACATTTATAAAAATGAGATTATCCAAAACTTCAGACTGTTGTTTTATAGAGGTTAATTACAGAGAAAAATAATGGTAAATCAGGGGCCACATCAACATCACGGTTGCCTTCAAAGGGCCAAATGTAATTTCAACTCCTTAACAGTTAAGAAGTAGTTATATTTATACAGTCCTACAATTATTTTGGCCCTTTGAAGACAACCGTGAGGCTCATGCGGCCCCTGTTGAAAATGAGTTTGACACCCCTGCCTTAAGAGGTGATGACTGCTTTATCCAACAGCCAATTTTTCCTTTACATGACTCTATCAAAACCACCCTTTTGTTTACATGGCTTGAGTATTTGACTTAGCTAATGACTACATTCATTTATTTTTAAACTAAGTAAGATGTACCATGAACCACACCCCCACCCCTCCACCAAGGAATGGTGGCCCAAGGAATTTATCTGGTCAGACCAGGGGACAGGGAAGCCCATGTTGGGGCTCTTGGTGAAGCTTGGCTTTTGCTGGCGACAAAGGGCCAAATGGGGCAGCGAGAACTTGATCTTGGAGTTGTGGAACTGCTTGACTGCCAGTGAGCAGCACTTGCCGGCTGCGATCTTTTCCACCTCCATGAGCTGGGTGGAGTGGACGTGGGCACAGTGCTGGGCTCCATGTCTCAGCAGCACAGGGTGAGGGCACCCGCAGTGGTCAGGTCTCAGTACTCCTGGTGTATGTGGGTGTCACTGCAGGAGTCACATCAGAGCCAGAGGTCAAAATTCTTCCCCCAAAGGAGAGATTTTTTAAAGATCTGTCCACAATAGACAATTTCTTCTGCAGCTTTCTTCATCTTCTTCAATTGAGACACAGAGTACCATAAGCAGAACTTGACCACATGGTTAGGTGCAAAGATGCGCAGGTGGCAAGGGGCAGTGTGCGACACTGGGAGTAGACAGCCAGTGCCCTACCACCTGTGCTCTCCCAGAGTGCCCGAGGCCTTCAAAGCGTTCTCTAGGCGTTCGCCACTCTACCCGTAAAAGGCCCGTGAAGTTTAAATACAAGTAAATGAGTCAAATCTTTAAAAATTATACACTAAAAACTCAATATTACTAATTTCTAGCAAACAATATTTAATGTGGTATTTCTACAAAGAGACTTAAAGTGTCTTTTTCTCCTTTAAGATTAGGGAAGAGATTAAAAACACTGAAAAAGAACAGGCAACAGATCGAAGTACTTGAATTCTAAGATTCTTCTCTTACAAAACAAAAAATCCAGGGCCTTCCCTATTTCACATCTGAAAAAATACCTTACTCAATTTTTAAAGGAATCGTAGACAGGGTTCCCCTTATATTACAGTTTTCACCATAATGTGTATAGATCATTCATTTAAGACATATTTACAGAGCACCTCCTGAGTTACAAGGAATTGCACTAAAGACAAAAATCAGATAGATTGAGTCCTTGAAACCCTTGTAGTTTAGTGAAAGGCATATCCTTTTATTTAAGTGTATTTTTCTTTGCTTAGTAACAGGAAATAAGCATAGATTATTAAGCACAGGTTAAAATATCAGCAACAGTGTTAAAAATATCTGCAAATGGACGTCCGAAAATAAAAACAGATGAATCTCAATCATGAATTTTCTTAAAGCACTTCAGTAAAACAAATGTTTTATAACTTTATTTACAAAACAAATGTTTTATAAATGTGTGTAACTTTAAAAGTGACAATACAATGTTAAGCAATTTTCAGAATGTTCATGTCTAGGATATGAGAGCAACCATAATGCTAATTTACAGTCATTTACTGGTGATTATGGATAAGCAATAATGACCATGACCAATAATGAACCATGACCAATTATAGCATGGCATGCATTTTTCTTACCCTTATAATCATCATATGATACTCAAGAAGCAGAAGAAAGTTCTTTTTTATGAAAAGAGCACCAAAAACCTGCACAGAAAAAAAGTACATATATTAGACATGTATTTAATAAACTTTCTTGACGTTTAACCTGAACACAAAGATAAATTAGTGAACAGAACAATCGAAATGTAACTTAAAAGCCATATTAATAGACACCACAAACAAAATCTACTTGGCATATTATCAACATTGACTATTTTGATCTGATGCACACTTTTTATTTTTTTATTACTTTTAAAAATATATTCATTTTTTAAAGATTTTATTTATTTATCTTTAGAGAGAGGGGTGGGGCATTCCCCTCCCCTCTCTCTAAAGAGGGAGAGAAACATCAATGTGTGGTTGCCTCTGGCACACCCCGTACTAGGGACCTGGCCTGCAATCCAGGCCTGTGCCCGGACTAGGAATCGAACCGGCGACCCCTTGGCTTGCAGGCCCATGCTCAACCACTGCGCTACACCAGCCAGGACTGACGCACACTTTTTCACCAGTCAACTAGCTAAGGGTGAAAAAATAACATTGCTGTAAACAGAAATCCAACAATGTTAACCCAGTCAATTCCACAATTCCTGAGTCAGAGTCATGATCCCAGTTTCCAAACAAGATGCAGAAGCTTTTGGAGACTACACAGTATATCTAGCACAGAATCTCTAAAAAGTAAACATTTCTTGAATAACCAATGCCATAAAGGAACTTTATATGGCTTTTCATAATCTAGGAAGGTTGGAAAGTTGATGGGCACTGCCTTTTTTAAAAGGCATAATACAGGCTACAATTATTAATACTAACACAAGAAAAAGATTTTTGCCATTTCTGTGTCAGAGCTTTCTGATGACAAAGAAAACAGGGCCGCACACTGGCACATTTAAGCCAGAACGAACATTCCACGAATCTTCCTTGCCATCTTAGCGCTTTACCTCAGCGGCTGTGTGGCAGAGAGCTATTGCACGTTCTAAAACATTTAGGAATGTTTTCAGCAGCGACCCCAGGACTGATCATAAATGCGTGCGTTCACGAGAGCAGGGTGCAACACTGTGCCGCTGTATATTAGTAACTGATGTAAAAGCGGCTCTTGGCAGTTAAAAGAAGAAACTACTCTAGATTAAGTGAAGGCTTGAGGATATCCACGGGAAGGCGTTTACAGATCCACGTTTATCTCCAACTTCGTCACTACATACTATATGGAACAAATGTTTCGAGGGACAAATTTTATAAAGGATACCAACTCTAAACAAAAACGGCCATGAGTTTCTCCGGCTCCGGAATAAACTAATTAAGAGACAGCATGCTCAACAATATCATAGCTATTCGGAGTTTTTCCGAGGTGAGAGTTTCGGGAGCGGCAGCGTGGATCGCTTCGGGTGAGGATCCGAAAAAGAGAAGGGATAAAAAACATGTTCCCTTGGCCGGAAACTTCTCTAATGACACAGGCCTAATGATGGGATCCGCAGGAGCCCCCCAACCCCCAAAGTCCTCGGCTAGACAGGACTCCTCAGGTAAGGGGACCGTCACCTAAGGCACGAAAGTCAACGACAAAACAAGGACCTACAACCTCCGCGCTGGCACTGGCTGCGCACGGCAGGATGCGCAGCGGTCTCAACCCGCGGGCCCCGGAGACCCACCCCGACCCCGCCAAGGGGGTCAGGGATCCCCACAGCACCAGGCGAGCGAACACTCACCTGTGGAGGCCGTGGCTCCTCGGAAACCGCCCACCGCCAGGTGGAGGAGCAGGGTGGAGCAGAAATCCGGGCGAGGAAGGAGGGTCCTGCAGAGCCCCAACCACCCTGTTCTATGCTCACCAGCCTTGCAGTGCTGAAGCCAACCGTCACCAGCCCCCTGAGAAACTCAGGCTAAGCAAGAATTTGAAGGCAAACTCGCCAGAGTCACTTCCGGCGCCTGGACGGCCCCCGCAACTCGGGCGCACGCGGGGCGACGCCCCGGGAGCGAGGACGCCAGGCGGCGTGCGCGTGCCGGGCGAGGAATGGGCGGGGCCTACGGAGGGGCGAGCGGGGCAGGTGTACGCCTGCGCAGTCCGCGTTGTGCCCTCTAATCGGGGCGGGTGCCTAGTTTGGGTGTGATGGTTTATGCAGGTGTTGAATGGCACCATCTCATGTACTTTACGATCATTTTCAAAGTGCTCACTCTTCGTCCCATTTGCTTTTCACCACATTCCTCAGAAGTAAGGAAGTCAGTGTTTTCCGTTTTACGGGTGTCAAGGGTCAAACCATTTATGACAAATTCTGTTTTAGAACCAAATACTCAGAATTTGAGGTGCTTGTCACGACATAACATGGATAAAATAGGGAGTCGGTAAACCAAGATATTCAGACAAGCTGCTGATGGAATTTTATTGTCTTGACTTTGTCAACATTTTTATACAACCAGACAACAAATATTGATGAAATTATGATGTTTCACGGTTTACTACATACTCGACAGACCTGTGCTTCCTCCAGTCAGTCTCCACCCTGTACCTTCACCTATAGAAGGAATAAAGGCATTTCAGACATGTTTTCCTTTAGGAATGCATGGTAATTAAAATTTTAATTTTAAAACATCCCAGTGATTTAAAAGATTTAAAGGCAATTCAGTCTCCAAATATATATTGAGCAACTGATATTGTTGCAGGCACTGCGTATACTATAGTGGTCAACAAAATACAGTATTCTGTGGAGCTTAGTCTCGTAAAATTCTCAGCTAAGTAGAAAAATAATAGTTTTGCTCTGGCGGATACGATCTCTATTGTAATAGAGCACAGTACATTAAAATTAGTGTATCTTTTTGAAATAAAAAAGCAATTCAGGTAGGTACAGATAAGTAACAGTGGGAACGAAAATGATGAACTAGAGAAAAATATATAAGGTAAAATAACTGAATTTCATGATTGATTGCATGGGAGATAGTCAAAGTAAAAAATAACCTCCTTAAATTGTTTTGCAAATTCGATTAATCGTTGATACAAATTCTACACTGTATTAGTTAGGGTATAGGTTCAGTGGGACTAATAAATGGACATATCGTATTTGCTTGATCAGTCCAGGCTGGACAGACAGCTCCGCTTCATACAACCTTTCAGGTATTTAGGTTCTATTCCTTTTGTTTATCTACCTCCACTAGATTGTTTTCCTAGTTTTTAATGGTCAGCATCAAGTCACCACTCTGTTCTTATTCCATCCTGTAGGAAAGGGGAGAGCAAGCGATGTTAAGTGTATGAAGTGAAATTTGCACATACCATGTCTGATGCTCATAAGCCAATAGTCAAAATCTTGTCACGTGGCCACACCTTAGTACAAGGGACTGTGAGAAACATGGGCTCTAGCAGGGCAGTCAAAACTTGGGACGGGGTGAGGGCCCTATTACTGAAGGGAAGAATGAAAGGATGGATGCTAGGGAACAAGAGCACCATTGTCATCAGTCAACCCCCACCCTGGGAGTTAAATACTCATGGGAACCCCCTCTTCCACCAAATTTAACCCCTCTCCAGGGGAAACAAATCAAAGTCCTAACCAGGTTCTGAATCCAGTAATGTTCCAGATCTTTAGGTGACTGTAAGGAAGGCAGGAGGAAAGACTGGATACTAGGGAAGACTGTAACTGCTTGTTTCAAACACTAGTCATACACATAAGCAGAGACATTGTTTTGCTTGGGCATAACAAGCATAGCTACAACTTTTAAGCACGCTAAACTTGGGTCCCCACTATAGTAAAATGAGTCATAAAAATAATGCAATTTGCATCAGCTATACAATGCTCACATGTAGACCAAATATAATTTTACAAGGGAGTGCAAACAAAAGAATAAGAGTGATGGTAATGTTTGAAGATGGAAAAAGAAAAAAAACCCTAAATATTTGCTCCTCTGTGTAAAGTTGATTTAAGATATAACATCAACATATATATTTCATCTGGTAGGCAGTTCATATAATAAAGGATTATAAAAACAGATTAGCCAACTTCACATTTTAAAAACTGTAAACTATTCAAATGATACTAAATACAGAGATTAATAATTTAAAAGGCTTAAATTACTGTGTGGATCAAAAGGAAGCCTTTAGCATGGAATGTTTATTACACTTATGTTGCACAAGATGAAAATACTTTATTGGGTTATACTAACCCTGTAGTTCGCCTTAATCTAACTAGGTATTCTTATTTGTTAAACATATTTTTTTAGCCCTGGCTGATGTAGCTCAGTGGATTGAACATGGGCCTGCGAACTAAGGGATTGTGGTCCCATTCCCAGTCAGGGCACATGCCTGGGTTGCAGGCCAGTTCCCAGTAGGGGACACACAAGAGGCAACCACAGATTGATATTTCTCTCCCTCTCTCCCTCCCTTCCCCTCTAAAGATGAATGAATAAAATCTTTAAAAGAAACATATTTTTAATTCCAAAGCATCAAATTTTTAATATTTTTCTGAAAATAAAAAGATTAAAATAAATTTTTGAAAAATATCAACATGCTTAGTGGCTTAAAAGTCAGCTTTCCACACATAATTGAAAGATTTGAATTTTGCTTTTTTATTATACCAGAAAATGTTACACTAGATAAAATGATTGGGAAAATACAAATAGATTCATTAAAAATACAGGCTGATTATTCATATTTACTACATTCGAACATATGCAAAACAATTTAGTTATATTGCAAAGCTGTAATTCCTTTTCCTACCAAAACATTACTTTATAAAATTATAGTGTTGTACTGATTAAATTTTAATACAAAATACTTATTTACACAATACAAAAGTAAACTGTTGTATAGTGCCTTCCACAAAGGGATATATTAAGGCGCTTTACAAATATAACAATATGTTGACCCAAATTACTTTTTGTTTTAGATTAAAACAAACAGGCTATTGTTTCATTTTAAATACCAAAGGGATTTTTATTTTTGTTTATTAAAGAAAATTTCTAAAGTACCTTAGGTAACAGCAGCAGCAATATCTAAAAATCCTCCCACTGTATTTTCTAATTTCTAAGATATTATTAAGTCAAAATAAACATTTCCACTCACAGTTTTGCACTTTGCAACAGCAGAAGGTAATCACTTTTTTAAAAAGTCAATTTCAAAGTGACTTCTTAGTCATACATTCTAGTTTCTATTACAAATAAAGTAGAAAAGATACAGCAATAGGTCCTGCCTTAGGATGTCACTGAACATACATAACAGTATCTACAATTACATAATTATAGAACACATTTTATAAATACTATTAATATGCATAAAAGGGGCAAGTATTACAAAGACAGTAAGTTTTTGATGAGTGCGAATTTCTTTTTAAAGAAAACATGAATAACCAATGTTTTCACTCTATTTCAATTGAAAGTGTATCAACTTTTGATGTTGTTCTTATCTTTTTGGTCAGGAAGCACCAGATTCTGTACTGGAAGAACTGGATATAGTTTGGGAATAAGATAGCTAAAAACTATTAAAACTACAGATACTCAAGGCTTATACACAGCTTCAGATAAAAACAAAAAGCTTATACTGTCAGAGGAAATTTCAAAAGAATACAAAATTTGTAGTGTGTTACATTTGAGAAATAAGGGCAACGGATTATGTGAAGAGGGAAGGGGAGTTGACATAACCTTAGTTTTCCTACAACATAGATGTAAAGAGTTGGTTTTATATTCACTGAAGTGCAGAAATAAACAACTAAATGGAAATTTTAATGACTCAGGAAGCTCAAGAGCAAGAGGGATGTCTTGAAAATTTTGAGTACCAAGCTAAAAATTCTTGAACTAATTTGTTTTGCATAGAATTTTATAGAACTAATCAAATGTTCCATGAAGACTGCCATCTCATAAGGCATTTTCTTACAGTTCTGATTAGAAGCCTTTTAGAAATATTTCTTAATCAAGCCAAACATGTCAGTGCCCCCAAAGGGTGTGTTTAAAATGTCTTGATGCTGTACCAGCAAGAAAGGCATTCACAGGGATATCTCATCACATGGTACAGGCCTTTCCCATAACAAATGATCACTGTTTATACAAGATGTGTTCATATGAACGCTGAGCAGTAAATTTAAAGCAACGTTCTTAGTTTAATATTATCAGTGTACCTATAGGACAGAATCGAGGGTTTATGATAGACTTCAACATATCCAGAACCCCTAAAACTGTACACATTTTATGTGTAAGTGTTGATGTCCATTTTTCTGGGAAGACTGTCCATAGCTTTCACCAGATTTCCAAAAGGACCAATGATCTCCAGACACCCCCACCTCGTTACACAGTGGGTAGTGCCATGGTTTACATGCTGTGCTCCGAGAGGGCCACCTATGGAAAGGTGAGAACTGTGAACTAGTAAATCTTCTTTGCACCCCTGAATACAACTGGAACACCTTTGACTTAATTTTAGTCACATAGATGATTTCCATCAACTTTCATATAAAGAAAGCTAAAAGTCTGAAAATCACTAAAATTATGCCTGTTATCCCAACTATTGTTTTGATAAAATTCCTTATCAGGGGAGCTCACCAAAAAGAAAATACACATTTTAGTAATGTAATAGAGCATTTCCCCCAATCCAAAAAAATAAGATACAGTATTTTGCCGTGGGTAATGCACACTTTTTTGCCCAATTTTTGAGAAAAAAATAAGGATGCACATTATAAACAGGTATAATGATTACATACCATGGGCATAATAATCCCATGTATAATGCGCATAGAATTGTGGGTGTGCATTATACATGTTTAGCATATTGTAAACAGCTAAATAAGGTAAATGTATTTTGGTAAAAGGTGAAAGATTTGTACAATCTGAAGAGAAACTGGAGTAAAAGGTAACTGTGTTTTGTATGAGACTATAAGTCTTCCTGAAACCTAAGCCTATAAAAGGAATCCTGCAAAACATATTTAACCTTAAGTTAGGAGGACTTAAATTTCGAGTAGGGCCACTATGTAACTTTCCCTAATTACTAATGGCCACCTTAATTAAGAGTTAAATAATAATTAATTTTCTCACCAATCTACCCACAGGTATAGTATTGCCAAATAGCCATTTTCCTTTGCCATAAACAATCCATGTATGCAGCACTGTTCCGAAAGAGGAAAGCTATAACATTACTAATGATAAAATCAAAACTGTCACAATACAGAAAAAATACTATTCTAGTGAGTACCCACAAATAATTTCTAATCACAGTATCAGGTGAAACTGAAAACAATCTCTGCTTAGGACCATGGAAACCATTTTGTAAATTTTGAAGTGAAAATATGGGAAATCTTAGCTTTTAGTATAAAAAATTTTGATTCATGGCAGGTATGTTCCCCTTTAAATTAGAAGCAGCACAAACAGCAAATGGTGGAAGGTTTTAGTAAATAGATGCAAACAGACATGTAGTTGATAAAGATGAAAAGAAGAACCCTTATGCTTGATGTAAATATATATCCACAAATGTAGACATTCTCCTTCGGCAAAGTATCAATGTCTTTCCCAAGATAACTATGGATAAACTGCAGAAGAATAAGCTGTTAGTGGTTTTAATTTCAACAGAAAACTAATTTCTAAATATAAAGAAGAAAAGAGGCCTAAGAAGTCTTCTCAGAGTAGCAATCTAACATCTACGGAATCTCCAAAACAAGTTAAAAAAAAAATTCAAGGACTGGGATTCTGTGAAATACCATTCTGACTGTAATCATGTATAACACATTGACCCAAATAATAAAAATTTCATATAATGCAAAAAAAAAAATCCCCACATGGAAGCAGCATTAAAAATACCAACATGGAAAGAAAAATGGTAGTGCTTTGCTTCTTTTAATGCCAGTAATTCTTGAGAAACAAATGTCAGATTCAATATTCCACAGAGGGAAAAAATAAAGTTGATCTATTTTTCCCCCTCTGATGAACATGCTGTTTCAACCCTGTCAACCCCGTATTTCTTAGTTTCAAGACGTGAATTATACAGAATATCAGCCTAAGAAAACTCACCACCATGATGGCTTAATTTCTATAGCTTATTTTGTACCAAAAACAAAGCTATGGGAGGGGAAGAAAGCTTTGTAAATGTGGGGTATATTTCATTTTTGGTTAAAGCAAAATAAAACTAAAACTGTCTTTCAAAAAATTTCAAAACTCTTGTCTTTTAAAATACTCAGCATATGTACAAATAGATACCAGGCTTCTCCTTTTAAACAAAGCACACTATTTTTTATGTTCAGTACTTTAAGTACCAAGAACTGACTACGATATTCAGTTCATAATTTACTTTATAACAATTTTTTCTAAATTACTGATTATAAAGGCTGGAATAAATTAACATTTTAAAAGGATTCCTCATAATTTAGGAATATAAAATATTGTGCAGAGCACACACACAGAGCTCTGTCACATTTGCATAATTTTACCCTCAGAGCCTAAAAAAACCCTACATTTCAGGCCTTTTTGAAAATCCTCATTACAATTATTTCACAATGTATTAAACATACACTAGATCACGATTTTTGACCTCTAATCCTGTGTGCTGATCATCTTCATCTGACTGGTGCTCTGAGACTTGTGAGTGAATATATTCATATTCAATAGGCTTTGGATAATTATATGGATAGCCATTGTCATCAAAAAACCTCCTAAAGGTAAATTCATAGAAAGCATGTTCAGGGTGCTTTCCATTTTTATACCATCCGTTGAGAGTGTCATTTACATTTTCTTCCTCATTATCATCACTCCATAACTTATCAGGATCAACGGGATCAAAATTTGATGTATCTGTTGGGTGTGTGATTTTAGGAATGTATGAAGCAGGCTGTTGTCTCAGGTCACTGGAGAAATCAATTGTTTTAAAAAATGGATGAGCTTTTATTTCATCAGCACCATTCTTGCCTAAGCGATCTTCTGGTCCTCGGCAAAGTTTAATGATAAGATCAGAGGCTTCAGGACTCAGTTTAGCTTGCGGTGGAATGTGAAGAGATGTTTGCCAGTTGATAACCTTTAAAGAAAATTTTTATAAATTAGGAGGGAATAAGTAAGAAAACCAAAATTTTCTCCAAGTTTTATACCAAAAAGTCTTACTGGACTATTTGTAAATTAAAAAAATAAACTGCATGGTATATCGCCTTCCTTGCCTTTAATAATGAATTATTGGTGGGAAATAACCTTTCCGCTTGTCCCCTCTTCTTCAGGCAACTTATAGTTATATTAGAAGACTCACTGTAAGTTTTAGTACTGCTTGTAGAGATGACTATTTCTACTATGCCTCCCCTGTTCTATGTATTTACTTTTTTATAAGGTCTCTAATGTTTTATGGGACCTATTTATGTCTGTGCCCTTCTACTACAGTATAAAATCCCATAAGGCAGTGTAGCCAAAGACACTGAAATTGAGAACAGACTGACAGTGACCAGAGGGGAGGGGATAATGGGGGAAAAGGGTGAAGGGTTTACAGGAACAATTATAAAGGACACGTGGACAATAACGGGGAGGGGGTAGAAACAGGGGCGGGAGGTGGGGAGAGCTGGGGTAGTAGAGGAAAAAGGCAGAAAACTGTCCTTGAACAACAATAAAAAAAAAGGTAAAAAAGTAAAAAAATAACATTAAAAAAATTCCATTAATGTTAATGGAATTTTTGTTATTTTTTGTTAACTTTTGTTAGTTTTTGTTAATTCCATTAATGTTAATAGAATTTTTGTCTTTGTATTTTTCCTACTGCTTGGCAAACTGCCTGACATATAATAAATGTTCAGTAAATATTTATTATGGTTTTGAATTAACCAGAATGAGGGAGAGAAGGAAGGAGGAAGGAAGACAAGAAGAAGGAAAGAAAAGTAATAGATGGTCAATAAATATTTGTTAAATAAATAAACCATATTTCTCCTTATTCATATAGGAGCTTATCAGCTACAGTAGAGGGAAGAAAAATAAACCTCCTCTTCTGTTATCTTTCATCTTAAAGTTTTCTCCCAGGTTAGAAAAAGGAGATTCATCAACTAATGTCTTTGAATTTTTTGTAAAAAAATTATACAGTTGTAGTTATTTATTCCTTGTTCTATCATCTACTTCAAAGAGGGAAAATTAATATATACAAGCAGCTAGACAAGTTCTTTCAAGTTTCATTCAGAATTTTTTAGTTTAGGTAAAAATAAAAAAAAAGACTAGGCATAACAAATAAAAAAGATTCAATTAATTCAAAGATGGGTCAATAGAAATTCATGTAAACTGAAGCAGAGAGAAAAAATGGGAAAAATAAAGCATGAGACATGTAAGACAATATCAAATGTCTACCATATGTGTATATACTAAACTAATTAGAGTCCCAGAAGGAGAGATGAAAGTAGAAGAAATCTTTGAACACTAATGACAAGAAATTTTCCAAACTTGATGAAGGTCATCAACCTACAACTTAAGAAGCTTTATGAACCTCAATCAAGACAGATAAAACTTCACATGGGCACATAATGGTGAACTGCAGAAAAATCAAAGTTAAAAAAATCCTAAAAGCAACCAGACAGAGAGGGAGGTTCCAGTTCTGAGTAAAATGTAATCGGTGTACTCCACCCTGTATTTCCTACTGAATGCAGCTATACAAGCTGGACAGAATGCACAGAGCAGCTACTTGAGGACCCTGAAAAGTAAACAGTAAGAGGCAGACTGTGGGAGAATTTGAAGCACCAATGAAATGGTGGTATGTTTACCATTTTTTTCCACCTAGAATCCCCAGTCAGACTCAAGGCAGCCCAAACCCTGAAGACCTATAATACAGAGTGAGCTCTAGGAAAAGTCCTTTTAGTTTAGTCTCAGGGGTTGGGAAAGAGGTTTCCTGACCACAACAGAGGTACAAAAAGGCCACCTGAAACTATGAGACGAGGGACCCTTCCTTTTCAATTGGATATTAAATCCTATGATCCCAAGAGGATAGATCATTTGATCTATCAAATGTCGCTTTTTCTCTGGGTGTGCTCTAGCTACCTTGTCCTGGATGCAGGCACAATCATGAGATGTGTGTGTGGTAGAGTAGAATAAATAAAACCTCACTTTCTAGTCAAGGAACTGAAAAGGGAAGCCTTAAGGAACTAGAAAGTACCAGGGACATAGCAGGAAGAGGAGACGGTACAGTTATTTACAAACTGCTGGGCTCACCTCCCAACTGTACTTACATGGATCTAATCCTGAAGAGCATATCAAAGACTTTGAGAATGGAAGTAGGGAAAAGACCACAGCCAGAGAAATCTGCCTAACAATGTAAAGGCTTTCAAAATGAAACTGACATTGGAGTCACAAGCCACAGAAGGTTGGAACTTGTGGACTGAATCCAATCAGGTTTAATGGCTGCCAAAACAGTATCAACATTCTCCATAGCATGTGAACATGACTCAGAGTTTCATAATATTCAGAATGTCCAGGATATAATCCAAAATTACCTGGCATACAAGAACCATGAAAATTTCAACTCATAGAAAAAGAAAATCAACAAATGTCAGTGTTGGGATGACAAAGATTTTAGAACTATCTAACAAAAACTTTAAAGTAGACATTATTAAAATATTCTAAATAAAGATGAATACTCTTAAAATGAAATGAAGACAGAGTCTCAGCAAAGAAACTGAAGATATGAAGAGGTACCAAATGTAAATTTTAGAACTGAAAAATGCTATAACCAAAATAAAAAACTCAGTAGATAGGCTCAATACTATGGAGATGTCAGAGGAAAGTGAAGATAAAGCTAGATTGAAAGAAATTCTGCAATCTGAAAACAGAGGAAAAAGTTTAAAAATATAGCCCTCAGCCTGGCTGGTGTGGCTCAGTGGACTGAGTGCTAGCCTGTGGACCAAAGGGTCATGGGTTGGATTCCCAGTCAGGGCACATGCCTGGGTTTGCAGGCCAGGTCCCCAGTAGGGAGTGCGCAGGAGGCAACCACATCTTGGTTTCTCTCCCTCTCTTTCTTTCTCCCTAAAAATAAGTAAAATCTTAAGAAAATATATAGTCCTCAGTAATCTGTGGGGCTATACCAAAAGGTCTAACATTGGTGTTTAATTAAGAGTTCCAAGGGGATACAGTGTGTGATACAGAAAAAAATATCTGAAGAAATGATAGCTGAAAACTCCCCAAATTTAACAGATAAACCTATACATTCAAGCTCAGTGAACACCGAACAGGGTAAGCTCTAAGAAATCCATGCCCAGACACACTCCATAACTACAACATTGAAAGAAGCCAGTGAAAAATAATGTGTTACTTACGGGAACAACAACTGAATGACTAGATTTCTCATCAGAAACTCTGGAGGACAGAAGGAAGTGGATATTTAAATTTTTTTTTAATCCTCACCTGAGGATATTTTTTTCCATTGCTTTTAGGAGAGAGAGGAAGGGAGGAAGGGGGAGATAAAGAAACACCTATCAGTTGCCTTCTCCTAGGTGCCCCTACTGGGAATCAAACCTACAACCCGGGCATTTGTCTTGACTGGTAATCGAACCCACAACCTCTCCATCCATGGGACAGTGGTCACACCAGCCAGGGCAGGAAGTTGATATTTTAAAGGGCTGCTACAACTGAAGCCCAGAATTCCATACCAATGCCTTTTCACTGTGTTAACTGTGTCTTTGGCAGATGGAACATTTTTACTTTTGATAAAGTATAATTTCTCAACTTTTACCTTTACAGATCATGATTTTGGTGTCATTTTCAAGAGCTCTTCACCTAACCTCAGGCCATAAAGGTTTTCTCTTCTACTTTCTTCTTAAGTATTACAGCTTTGTTTTATTTCTAGATCTATTCTGAGTTAATCTTTGTTTAAGGTGTGACATTTACATCAAGGTGCAGTATTTTTTGTATATGGCTAACCAATTCTTCCAACACTATTTGTCGACATACTGTCCTTTCTCCGTTTACACCCCGTCAAAGATAAAGTGGCTATATTTGTGTGGTCCTACTTCTCCGTTCTCTACCACATATGTTCCACTGATCTATGTGGATACTCTTTTGCCAATATTATACTGTCTGTATTATTGTAACTTCATAATAAACCCTAAAGTCAAGTAGTTGATTCCTCTTTGTCTTTTTTTTTTTTTTAAGATCTTATTTATTTTTAGAGAGAGGGGTAGGGAGGGAGAAAGAGAGGGAGAGAAACATCAGTGTGTGGTTGCCTCTCATGTGCTTCTTACCGGGGACCTGGCCTGCAACCCAGGCATGTGCCCTGACTGGGAACTGAACTGGCAACCCTTTGGTTTGCAGGCCCATGTTCAATCCACTGAGCTATACCAGCCAGGCCTGTCCTTCTTTTTAAAACTGTTCTTTCTTCCAATTCCTTTGTCTACCCATAGAACTTTTAGAATAGTTTGACCTAATTTGAAAAATTCCTGCTGGAAATTTTCCTTGAATTGAGTTAAATATACAAATTTTGCAATAAGAATCGATAGCTTTACTATGTTCAGTCTTTCAATCCAGTATGTATCAACACTGTATGTATCTCCATTTCTTTTTTTTTTAATTTTTTTATTGATTATGCTGTTACAGTTGTTCTATTCCCCCCTTCATTCCCCTCCACCCTACCTCCCCATCCCCACCATTACCCCCCCTTTAGTTTATGACCATGTGTCTCAATTCCTTTAGATTCTATATTTCCCATGCTATTCTTGCCCCCCATCTATTTTCTATCTACTGTCTATGCTACTTATTTGCTGTACCTTCTCCCCCCATCTCCTCCTCCCACTCCCCTGTTGCTAACCCTCCTTGAGATCTTCATTTCTATGTTTCCACTCCTGATCTAGCTGTCCTTTTAGTTTGCTTTTGTTTTAGGTGTGGTTGTTAATAACTGTGAGTTTGTTGTCCTTTCACTGTTCATGTTTCTTTAACTTCTTTTTCTTAGATAAGTCCCTTTAACATTTCATATAGTAAGGGCTTGGTGATGATGAACTCCTTGAATTTGGTCTTATCTGAGAAGCACTTTATCTGTCCTTCCATTCTAAATGAAAGTTTTGCTGGGTAGAGCGATCTTGGTTGCAGATCTTTGGTTTTCATGACTTGGAATACCTCTTTCCAGCCCCTTCTTGCCTGTAAGGTCTCTTTTGAGAAATGAGCTGACAGTCTGATGGGAACTCCTTTGTAGGTGACTGTCCCCTTAGCTCTTGCTGCTTCTAGGATTCTCTCCTTCATTTTAATCTTGGCTAATGTAATGATGATGTGCCTTGGTATGTTTCTTCTTGGGTCCAACTTCTTTGGGACTCTCTGAGCTTCCTGGATTTCCCGGAAGTCTATTTCCTTTGCCAGATTGGGGAAATTCTCCTTTATTATTTGTTCAAATAAGTTTTCCCCTGGTGGCTGTGCCTTTCCCCATTCTGGTACCCCTATAATTCGGATGTTGGAGCGTTTAAAGATGTCCTGGAGGTTCCTAAGCCTCTCCTCATTTCTTTGAATTCTTGCTTCTTGACTCTTTTCTGTTTGGCCATTATTTGCTTTCTTCTGGTCCACTCCATTGATTTGAGTCCCAATTTCCTTTTCATTGCTATTGGTGTCCTGTGCAATTCCATTCATTTCAATTAGTTTCGCCTTCATATATTTGTCTAATTTGTGGCTATAATCAACCAGTTCTGTGAGGATCCTGATGACCAGTGTTTTAAACTGTGCGTCTGAGAGTTTTGCTATTTCTTCATCGCTTAGATCTATGGGCTCTGGGGCTTTGAGATCTTGTGACATTTTGGTCTGTTCTGGCCCTTTAAGTGTGAGAAGCGGTGCCTTGGACTCCCAGGTCGCTGGGTTGTGACGCTGTATGTGGGGGCGTGGTCAGAGCGGGGAAATGGCGACCCCCTCTGCTGTTTCTCACAGCTGGGTGAGGATTAGCGTCTTAGGTGGCTCACCTGGGCCGGGCCACTCAGAGTCGCTGGGTTATGACGCTGTATGTGGAAGTGGGGTCAGAGCGGAGAAATGGTGGCGCCCTCCACTGCCGCTTGCCGCGGGGACCCACCGGGCCCGGTCCAACCGCCCACTCCCTCGCCTGTCCACCCGAGCACAAATGCGCGACCACAGTCAACACGCAGCACCGCTCCCCCGCTGTCTCCCCCGCGGTCGCGTGGCTCACTAGGTCCAACCCTGCGCCTGGATTCCGCGTCTGGATTCCGCGCCTGAGTCCTGTCCTACCGAGTCCTCCTGTGCAATCCCGCTTCACCAGCCGCTGGTTTCGCCCCTCACCGGTCAGGCTGAAGAATTTGTTGTTAACAGACTTCTGAAAAGTTCAATTTCCTGTGTTCTGGCTGTGTTTTCTGTTGCTAATATTTAGTTGTCTCTAAACTTGATTGTGTGAGAAGGCACGGCACATCCACCTATGCCTCCATCTTGGCGGAAGTCCTGTATCTCCATTTCTTAAGATCTTCTGTGGTCTTGCTCATCAATTTGCAGCTTTCAGCACACAGATTTTGTTCCTGGCCTATTAGATATATACCTAAGTATTTCATCTTGGGGAACCTACTGTAAATGTAGTTTTAAAATTTCAGGTTCTGGTTGCTCACTGCTTTAATATAGTCTGGTTGTTCACTGCTTTAATATAGAAAAACAGTAGATTTTTATGTATTACTCTTATATCCTACAATAGTGCTAAACTCATTACTTCTATCACGTTTTTTCTTTGAGTCCTTGGGATTCTCTATATAGAAAATTGTGTCATCTGTTGAATGTGGAAGTTTTTATTTTCTTCTAATCTATATGTCTTTTATTTCTTTTTGTTGCTCTATTGCACTGGCTGGCTAAGACTTCCAGAACAGTGTTGAATAACACTGGTGAGTACAGACATCCTTGTTTCCTTAATTTTAGAAAGAAAGCCCTAAATTTCCCACAGATATACACACACTTATATATACACATATTAAAATTAAGGTGAAATAAAGACACTTTTAGACAATCAAATGTGACACAAACCTGAGAGAATGTATTACCAGTAGATCAGTACTTAAAGAAATTTTAAAGGGATTTTTAAGATAATATATTAACCTCAAAGACAGAAGTAGTTACAAGTTGGTAGGGATCATTACAGAACAGATGATATCTCAAGACATTTTCAAAGAATGATCAAAAACAGCCCTGGCTGGTGTAGCTCAGTGGTTTGAGCACAGGCCTGAGAACCAAAGAGTTACCAGTTCAATTCCCAGTCAGGACATATGACTGGGTTGCAGACCAGGTTTATAGTGGGGGCCACATGAGAGGCAACCACACACTGATATTTCTCTCCCTTTCTCCTTCCCTTTCCCTCTCTCTAAAAAGTTAAATAGATAAAACTAAAAAAAAAAAAAAAAAAGAATGATTAAAAACAATCAGAAAAAAAAAAACAAGAAAACACGATCAAGAGTTAACGAGGCTTCAGAGAGAGGGGAGAAATGTGGAAGATGGGACAGAAAGGACCCTTCAAAGGGAAGGGCGTGAACAAAGACACACAGGTCATATTTGGACTTTAACCCATTAACAAGGAAACCACTAAAGGATTTTTAATAGGACATTTTATGGTAAAAATTGTGGGCAGCTTTTCATTTAAGTGCCAAAGGTAACTTCAAGTGTAGGTACAGTAGTCTGTCCCCTCTTATTTGTGGGGGAGATGTTCCAAGACCCCCAATGGGTGCTTGAAACCTCGGGCAGTACTGAACCCTATATATACTGTTTTTTCCTATACATACATACTTTTTCACTTAAAGGAAGCACTTTATGGTTTCTCTGTGGCAGATCTGAACTGCCAGTATCACTAGTCTTGCACTTGGGGGCCATTCTTAAGTAAAATAAGGGATATATGAACATAAACACTAAGATACCATTGGTGGTCTGATAACTGAAACGGCTGCTACGTGACTAACAAGTGGTCAGTATATATAGCATGGATACACTAGACAAAGGGATAATCCATATCCCAGGTAGGATGGAACAGGACTTCATCATGCTCCTTAGAATGGGGCACAATTTAATACTTATCCGTTGTTCATTTCTGAAAATTTCCATTTAATATATTCAGATTGCAGCTGGGCATAGGTAACTTAAAGCACAGGAAGTACAACAGCAATAAGGAGGATCAACTGTATAGACTGTACTTTGAGTCTAAAATGTGCATGGAGGGAAACAAAACCAGGAGCTAACAGGTGACAAAGAGTAAACTGAAATAAATCTGCAAAAGATACTAAAGATTTTTATGAGAATGAAATATGACAATAGTTTTTATGAGTGTGGGAGAATACAGGAGTGTGATATTCGGATGATGGAGATTAGAATTCATGCATGGAATCTTAGTTCCTACATCCTTACAAACTCATTCCTTAGTTCAAGAATAAGATGCTCTACATAAAAGGACTGATAAACACCTACAGTGTAAAGAAACTGGTGACAACTCTTTTGGTATAGATTTTATACTTTACCTTCATTTGTGTTTCCAATGGAGTTTGTGCCAAGAAAGGAGGCTGTCCCACCAACATTTCAAAAAGAATTACACCAACACTCCACCAGTCACATAACTGTGTATAGCCTAAAATAAGATATTATTTATCTTAATAATAATCTTACCAAATTATTTATAAGCACTTTTTTAAAAGTGCCCAGAATACAATCAAAATTAATATTAAATCACCAATTTATACTGTAAAATTAACACTTACTTTTATTATAAAACTGAAGAATAAGCTATATTCTAATTAAGTTTAAGCTGGAGATTATTTATAAAACAAATGTTTTTACCTGTGCGCAACAACACTTCAGGGGCAATATAATTGGGAGTTCCGACCAAAGAATGTGCCAGACACCGCTGGTGCTGACGCGCAGCTCTGCGCTCCAGTGGCTTCAGTCTATCTCCACATCGACAGTTTGAGGGGTCACCCCATTCGTTACTAAAATCCATGCTATCTTGCCGTGGATGGTCACCTGTAAAGTAAAATAAAGAAAAAAGAAATAAAACAAGAACAAGAGTAAACCTAGAGTTTATTTCATTTTTTGACACCATGGTTTACACTTAACAGCACTCTCCCCTTATGACAAGTTCAGATACAGTGTACACGGAATCACTGATGGTGTTCATTAATGACTGGAGCCTGTTATCTCAGATACCAATAGGACAAGTTTTACACAAAGAAAAATTAGCCCAAGATTTAGTAATGTAGTTAATGTTAAATGATGATACAGACAGGAGTAGATAGAATTAAGAATCAGACTGCTCCCCATTACTACTCTAGATAAAGCTTCAACCAGATCAGTGTCTCACTCATTCAACAAGTGACAATGATAAAGAAGGCAGGGTTCTTCTCTCAGGCAGCTTCTCTGTAGGGAAGAAGCACAACAAACAAATACATACATAAGAAACATATGTACCCTATGATGCACCCCATGTTGAGAATGAACTGGCATGATGTGACAAACTGAGGCGACATTTGTGAAAAAACAAATGGGAACCAACCATTTGAAAACCAGGGCCAGGCATATGTGTCTAAGACTCCTGGCCAACATGGAAACGTAAGTAGATATGCTTCGCTTCCTCACACAACCAAAAGAAAGATAGCAATCAATTTAAAAACAAAAAACCAACCAGAGTCCAGAAAATTGAACTGTATGGAAATCTGACAACCAAGATGTTAAAGAAGAAACATTCATCCAGACCAGTAGGGAGGACAGAGATGGGCAGCCAGGGCAGAGAGGATGTGTGGCAAGGTGGTGACTTGAGGAGCTGGCGGTCCCACATTCACATGTGGATAAACTGGGAGGAACAACTGGGGCATGAGACAGACCACGCAACCCAGGGTTCCAGCACAGAGAAACAAAGCCTCTAAATCCCCTGTTGTAAAAACCCATGGGGCTTGTGGCAGCAGGAGAAACTGCCAATCTCGCAGGAAAAGTCCACTGAAGCAATCCACAGGGCCCTACAATGTATGCAAACCTACCCACCAGAGAATCAGCACCAGAAGGGCCCAATTTGCTTGTGGGTAGGGGGGGAAGTGACTGAAAGTCAGCCTAGAGCCAAGCAAGCCACACTGTTCCCTCTCTGACCCCTCCCACACATACAGCACCACAACCTAGCCATGTGGTTTGCCCCACCCTGGTGAATACCTAAGGTTCTGCCCCTGACAACTTAACAGGTGCAAGGAGACAAATAAATATAACCCAAATGAAAGAACAGATCAAAACTCCAGAAAAACAACTAAGTGACGAGGAGACAGCCAACATATCAGACGCAGAGTTCAAAACACTTGTCATCAGAACTCTCACAAACTGGTTGAGTATGGTGCCTAAATACAAGAAAAAGTGAGGTCCGTGCAAAGTAAAATAAAGAAAAATTATACAGAGAACCAACAGTGAAGGGAAGGGAAGCAGGACTCAGATCAATGATTTGGAACAAAAGGAAGAAATACACATTCAACCAGAACAGAATGAAGAAACAAGAATCAAAAAAAACAAGAAAGGCTCAGGTTCCTGAGCCTTTAAACATTCCAACATCTGAATCATAGGGGTGCCAGAAGAAGAGGAAGAGCAAGAAACTGAAGATTTATTTGAAAAAATAATGAAGGAAAACTTCCCCAATCTGGCAAAAAAACTATACACGCAAGTCCAGGAAGCTCAAAGTCCCAAAGAAGTTGGACCCAAGGAGGAACACACCAAAATACATCATAATTAAATTACCCAAGATCAAAGATAAGAAGAGAATCTTAAAAACAGCAAGAGAAAAGGAGAGTTACCTACAAAAGAGTTCCCATAAAACTATCAGCTAATTTCTCCAAAGAAACCTTACAGGCAAGAAGGGATTGAAAAGAAGTACTCAAGTCATGAAAGGCAAGGAACTATATCCAAAATTACTCTATCCAGCAAAGCTATCATTTACAATGGAAGGGCAGATAAAGTGCTTCCCAGATAAGGTCAAGTTAAAAGAGTTCATCATCATCAAGCTCTTGTTATATGAAATGTTAAAGGGACTTACCTAAGAAAAAAAAAGATGAAAACTATAAACAGTAAAATGACAACAAACTCACAACTATCAACAACTGAACCTAAAAAACAAAAACAAACTAAGCAAAGAACTAGAACAGAAACAGAATTACAAAAATGGAGACCACATGGAGCGTTTTCAGTGGGAAGGGGCTGGGGAGAGAACGGGGAAGAAAGGTACAGGGAATAAGAAGCATACCTGGTAGGTACAAAACATACAGGGGGAGGTTAAGAATAGTATAGGAAATGGAGGAGCCAAAAAACTTACATGTACAACTCATGGACATGAACTAAGGGGAGGGGGGAATGCTGGAAGGAGGGGAGGTGCAGGGCAGAGGGGGAGAAAGGAGAGAAAAAAAATGGGACAGCTATAATGGCATACTCAATAAAATATACAGACACACACACAGGGCAAGGCATTTTATACAGAAATGACAATAACAAAGAATGATTAGAAAAAGGGAGAATGGTAGGAGACTGAATAGAAGCCAGTGCTCATCGATTTTGTAAGCAAAAGATATGGTTTATCTTTCACTCCAGTATACTGGGAAGGTGCTGGAAAGTTTGAAGCAAGAAAATGATAACACTTTATTTATGTTTAAATATATTATGGAGGACAAGAGTGAAAATAGGCCAAGTTAAGAGACTATTACAATTAAGCCTGGACTATGATGGTAACAGTGGTAATAGAGAAAAGCAAACAAATTCAGGATACATTTACAAGTGGAAATTAGATGTACAGGGTATATGAAAAAAGAATAAAGGATAACTAGATGGGTAGTGGCGGCGGTATAGTATACTGGTGGTATATAAACTGGGAAAGACTGGAGGGGCATAAATACAAAGGGGAAGAATTTAAAGTTGTTTCTGGTAATGGTAAGTTAGAAATCCATGTGAAATGGAAATGCCATTTCTAGAGAGAAATTTGGAAGTCACTGACACAGAGATGGTATTTAAAGCTATGACTAGATAAAATCACCTACAAAAATATATCTAAATTAGCCCTGGCTGGTGTAGCTCAGTGGATTGAGCGCGGGCCTGAGAACTAGAGGATGGAGGTTCGATTCCCAGTCAGGGCACATGCCTAGGCTGCAGGCCAGTTCCCAGCAGGGGGCACAGGAGAGGCAACCGTACTTTGATACTTCTCTCCCTCTCTCCTTCCCTTCCCCTCTAAAGATAAATAAATAAAATCTTAACATATATATATCTAAAATTAACCTAGCTGTGATAATCTGGAATGTTTGCTTAAAATATAATTTCTACCCTCCAGTGAAGATTTTTAGTTAGTAGACTATGATAGAGCCTAAAACTCCTATTTTTAAGAACGCAAAGCAATTCAGGTGAATTTGGGAGACATTATGTCACATTAAGCTGAACATTAAAGTAGGTGCAAGTGTCTCAGTTCTATCCACTTAGTGTCAATCTACTCCTGTTCACAGAAGCACAGAAGGCCAAGACTTACCTCAGAGGACTGCTGTAAGCATTAAATTAGAATTTATGTAAAGCACCTAGTCATAGTAAGTATTCAACAAATGTCAGATGGACTTACACTTCCATTAGCGCTTGAAGGGATCTTGGTGAGGCACTGTGGTGTAGTAGAAATAACATGGGCCCTGTAATCAGACAAACCTGGGTTCAAAGCCTAGCCCTTACACTTATTTTCTGTCTGACCTTGGGCAAGTTAAGTTACTTCATCTAATTAAGCCTTTTGTTTTTTTCTGCCTTCTAATGACGTTGTGAGGATTAAACAGAATCATGTACATAATGTATTCAAGGTTAAATAAGTTGTGTAACACTCATACGGTGGAATCCTAAATAACAGTGAAAATAAATGTTACAGGCAATTAGCACAAAGAACCTCAAACATAAAAGCCAACATAGAATACACATAGAATGATTACATTTAACTAAAGATTCCAGAGTAGGCAAAATAAAAAAAATAGTACATTGTTTAGAGAGATATATACATATGTGGTAAAAATGTAAATAACTGATTACAAAGTTCTAAAATAATGGTTACCTACCCCTGTGAAGGAAAGAGGGGAAGTGATAGGGATTTGAAAAGATACTGACAAGCTAGTTTTAAAACTGAATGGTGGGTATGGGGGCTTCATTTAATATTATTTTTTTAAATGTTATTTGTCTGACATATTTCAAAATAACAAAACAGAGTGGTTAACTCAAAAATGTTAATGATATTTAGAAATAATTGACTCTAACATACTCTTTCATTTTAGAAGTCTAAACGTCTGCGGGATTCACCCATGGTTACCCAACAGAGTCAAGACCTGACCCAGGACTTCTGGGTCCTATCCAGTGATATCATCTTCTATTTTAATGCATTAATAAATTATATTAATATGCACAAATTTTATGATTTTACTCACCACTCTGGTAGTACTTAGAATCATGTGTCCACCTGAAGCCAGTGCAGAGGCCGAAGTCAGTCAATTTAATATGACCATCACGATCAATCAAAATGTTATCAGGTTTAATATCTCTATGAATAAAACCCATTTTATGAACACTTTCAACTGCACAGATGAGTTCTGCTATGTAGAATCGTGCCAGATTTTCTGGAAAGATGCCCATTCTAATTAGTAGGCTCATCATATCACCCCCAGGAATGTAGTCCATGACAAAGTATAAATTGTCCTTATCTTGGAATGAATAATACAGACGAACTACCCATTCGTTGTCAGCTTCAGCGAGGATATCTCTCTCAGCTTTAACGTGAGCAACCTGATTTCGAAGCAGGACATCTTTCTTTCGAAGAGTTTTTGTTGCATACAATGCCTTAGTATCTACTTTTCTTGCTAGACAAACTTCGCCAAATGCTCCTATTCCTAATGTCTTTATCTTCACAAACATAGACTTGTCCATTTTAGCCCTCTTAAGACGGATGTAATTAGACTCTTTTTGGCAAAGCATCTTTCTCATTTGATCTTGGGCATCTTGAGATAATCCCACCTAGGCAAATAAGCTAAATGTTAAATAAGGAATTATTTCCTATACAAAATATTAGAAAACAGCTTGAAAAAACTCAGGCATATATTTAAAGGTTAAATGCATAATAATTTTTAATAAAGCATGTTAGAAATCTAGAATATATTTCAGAAAAAATTATCAAAAGTGCAGTATAAGGGATATTAAGAGGATATACAAGGTGAGTATATATGCAGATGCTGCTGTACAGAGCAAGGAGAAGGTGATACCAATAATCAGGTGTCTACTCCTCTCTAAAGCACTACAGTAAAGTTCCCAATGTGCAATAACCAAACATCTGTTCACATGCATCCTCATCTACCCCTCCATGCCTGTTCATCCCAAATTACATGATTAAACTGCCTTCATTATGTTTCTCTTTGTAAAACACCTATGCCTCAAATAGTCTTCCCATTTTATCCTTTATGAAAAGAAATTCTTTCACTCCAAGTTCATTTATTCTAAAAAACTGATGTATTTAGAACAGAAAAATATCTTCTCTAATCTAATTACTGTCAGTCTTTCCTTTTATCTTTCTCAAGACATTATTGTAAAGGTAGGACTCACAGCCATCACTAACACAAAATGCAAAGGGTTTCTCCTACCTTATTTAAGAGGACAACTTGTGTGATTATAGGGTATCTTTTAGATATTCTGTAACATTTCAAAGAATAGTCAGTGCAAATTATGAAGAAGCCAAAACACAGATAAAAACCCAAATCAACTTCTAAATGGACATGAAATACCTGGATTTAGAAGGAAGGAACAGTTTACTTTTGACTAGCTAATAACTAACTTAAGGGTTAAAACAGAATAGAAATTTGATTTGAAAAGTGAAGTCTAATTCTAGAAATGCATGACTAATTAAACATAGCAACCTCATGCTTCTGTTAGGATGCATATTTGCATGCAAAATCTTTTAAGAAGGGTGGCGTGCCAGACTTAGTATAGAACTGTTTGTCTTAAAATCTTACTTGCCTACACAGTAATGGAGGCTACAGAAGTCAGCAAAGCTTCCAACACCATAAAAGTTTAAATCAGCTATTAGTGGAAAGTGAAGAGGAAAAAGGAAAAATAAACTAAGAAAATACATATAGACAGACTTTAGTAAGAAATCCTAAGAGCTAAAATATGAATAAGTCATACAGATTATCATGGTATTTATCTAACCAAATTCAATTTTTAGCAGGAATAACAACACTGTGAAATCAGATTTAGAGAAATAATTAGAAAAGAATGGCTTTTTTTAAGTTGTATGAGGAAATTTCAACACAAATTTAAGCCTCTTGGATTTTGAGTGATTGATGTAATATTAGGAGTCAAATCTTTGAACTGTAAAAACATGGTAAAAATAATGATGACAGTACCACTGTAATATCTAGAGAAGAGGTCTATATGGCATCACGATGGAGATTAAACTTATTCTGATCTCTTCAATGGATTCTGATTTAGTAATTTCAGCACATTTTTCTAGTTCTAGTACATTATAAAAATGAAATTAGATGGGTAAATAACAGAAGGGACATGTCTCTGACATTTTCAAATAAGACCAACCTGATGAATAAACCTACAAGTTCAAAACTACTAAGTAAAAATCAATGTTTCATAAATGTATCAAGAGATGAGACCCAGATATTTCCAGCTCATCTTAAATGTTGTAAGGTAACATGTAAAACCTAAAAAATAACCGTTGTTCCAATTTCCACATAAAGGGATTATGTACACCTTCGCTGTAAATTATATTTTTCTTAATTTGTTAGAAGAACTTTATTACAGGAGATTCTAAGTAATTCTTGAAGTACTAAAATACAATGCTACAATCAAAGTATTTTAATGTTTACTGACTTTTAAATAATTGATAATATACTTAGCTACAAAAAACACCCCCCAAAACACTGGACCACAATATTATTAGATAAGCACCAAGCAAACAGTGATCAAGTATAAAAATGGACATTTAAAAAGGTTTTACCCGCATCATCTCATTCTCTAATTGTTTTTTACGATGTAGACGTTGCTGATGAGATTTGAGAACATTTTCTACATGTTGCTCCATATAGAATTTAAATGCCTGAGGAGAATAACTTTGAATACGAGATTCTCTTCGCTCTTCGTCTTTCTTGTTTTTTCTAACAGTGATAGGTGAAGTTGTAATCTGTTTCTTTTCTTTATCTCCACTATCAACACTTTCATAACTTTTTTCACCCTCATCTTCCTTGGGCAAGCTCGACTGATCCTCCTTGCTGGGTTTATTGACTGGTTCGTATGGAACAGATGGGTTTTGGTGTAGTAAATGTTTGGGATATGGTGGTGGTGGACCCTGATAGTTTGGAGCTTCAGCAACAGGTGGCATAACAGTCATATTTGAAGTAGTACCCTCAGAAAAAGGACTGGGCTGAACAGTCTGAACTGGCTGTGGTATCCAAGAAGGGTGTGTAGGTGCTAAAGCAGTCTGTAGCTCTGGTTTTAATACGCGTATGCTTTTCACGGGTTGTTGAATTGGAGCTGGTGTAATAGCAGTGACTGTTGTAGCAGAAGGCTGAGAGTTAGCAGAATGACTTGTTCTATTTCCTAATGGGTTATTGAAAGAATTTGACCTCACTGGTCTGTTAGGCTGCCATGCAGGGATTTCATGTCCGGTGCTTGAGGATGACTGGGCTGGAGCTGAAGATGACTGAGGCCAAGTTGTTTGCAGTCCAGGTACATTGATGTTATAAAGTTCCATGTTATGACTATTTCTATTTGGCACCATCATAGATTGAGGAATATTTCCATTTGTATATGATGAAGGAGCAGCAGACCCCCCCGTTTGTCCATTAGTTGGGGTCAGAGGATATGGAGGGGGTGGCTGCCGATTCACTGCATTAGCAGGGACATTTTGGTGTATCATAAAATCACTTTGACCACTACCATTCTGAATTCCAGGTCTCCCTGGTGGGAAGTTAAATTTGTTAGAACTCTGCATGATGATTGGTTGTCTGCCAACAGGAACAGAACCAATGCCTCTCTGTCCCTGATTAGGAGGATTCATTGGGGACGTGTTCAGAGGTGGCGGAGGATAGCCCTCCTGCCAGGCTCCAGGTGGAACAGGAGATATTCGAGAGATCACAAATTCCATATTCCCAGAATAGCGCTTCGTTTGAGAGTTTGGTTCCCAGGACGGGGGAGGAGGAGTTGTTCCTCTAGGAGGAGGAGTCTGGCCTCTCGGGGGTGGTGGAGGGGTGACGCTCCTTACTTGAGGAGGTGGGGGCGGGTTCACTCTCTGTCCGTTGCTAGGGTGAGCTTGAGTAAATGCTGTAACACCAGATCCTGACAAAGGTCTTCCTACATCTGTCTGGGAGTTGGGGCTTTCAGAACGATAGGCTGTACTTTCTCCTAGGGGTGGGCCATGTCTCTGAGGAACTAAAGATTCTTTAGAACCTTTCCAGCTTTGTCTGCGATTAACTGATTGTTGTACACTCCCTATGATCAGAAAACAAAGAAAAAAAAACATTTAAACCTCTTAGTTTTGAAGAATTTAGCTTGAAATTCTGACACTACTAAATAATAATTCTCTCTCAAGAATTATAAAAATCAAATTTCAGTAAGTGGCATATTTTACCTTTTAACATTTTATTTATTTGTTTTCTTTTTTAAAATTTACTTATTTTTCAAGTACAGTTTTCTATTTCTCCCATCCCAGCCCAACCCGCCCTGTGCTCAACATTTTATTTATTTTTGACTAGGTAATACAGTCTCGTAACTCAAAATTCAAAAGGTACAAAAGAATACCCACCTCTGTACCTTAGCCAACCAGTTTCCTTCCTTGAAAGTAACCAATTTCATCAGTAAAATATTTTAGGAAAATACAAGTAAATAGTATACCTCCTATATATATTATTGTGCCTTGCTCTTTTCATTAAAAAATTGAAGACTATAGCCCTGACTGGTGTAACTCAGTGGATTGAGCACAGGCTGTGAACCAAAGGGTCACTGGTTCAATTCCCAGTGAAGGTTGAAGGCCAGGCCCCCAGTGAGAGGCAACCACACACTGATATTTCTCTCCCTCTTGTTCTCTCTCTTCCCCTCTAAAAACAAATAAAATCTTAAAAAAAAAATTAAAGATTCTGTATCAGTATATAAAGTGTTTTAACTCTTAAAAATATTATCACAATTTTTCACTGCACAGATATACCTAAATTTAATCAGCTCCTTTACCGATGGATATTAAGGTTGTTTCTAGTCTTTTTTCAAACAAAAAAACAGCAGGGCTTTATTAGCTGAACATTAAATGAGGTGTGAATTTTACAGACTCTCTCTTTAATGGACTTTTCAAATAAATGTAATAGACAAGACAATATATGATAGAAAAAGAAGTACATAAAATAGTCTAGCCACTTGGAAAAATATATGTGATACATTATATATAATACATACAAAATACATTTGTGTAAAACACAATAATATAAATTAATACATTCTAGAGGGATAAACATTTAAGTGTTAAAGGTGAAACCATACAAGTACTAGGAAAAAACAATCGATCATTCAGTAATATTGGGGTGCCTCTTTGGAAGGTCTTCCCCAAGTATAACAAAGGTAGAGAACATACAGTAAAATACTAACAGATCTAAACACATAAAACACTTATCACCATTAAAACAAAACAATACAAACTGAAAGATCCACAAATTTGAAAGGTCAACATCATCCTGGGAGAAAACATATTTAACAACACATTTAAGAAAAAAGTAATTTATGTTCAGAGTGTACAGTTAACACTACAGTTCACCTACGCTGGCCAGGATCTTGGGTCTATGACTTCAGGGCAAGTCATCACTTCAGGGCAAGGCAAGCTAGGCAAGTCCTCTGGCCACCTTCCTCAGATGGTCAGCTGAGGCTAAATATGCCATGTGACTCATGCGGCTTTTACCAGTTAAAATGTAAGACACTGCAACCCTAAAGCAGACTGCCATCCTTGTGGTTCTGTACCTCCCATAAAGCTGTGTTCTCCCACCTCCCAAACCTTGCCACAGTTGCCCTCTAGCCAAGTTCTGCTTTACAACCAGCAAATGCTCCTATATCATTAACCCCTGCTCCAACCTCTTTCCCACCATCTCCTTACAGCTGGTTATCTTCTGCTGACATTACTTTCCTCTCAGCCCTTTGTAATTATAAGTTGGCTAAAATGTGGGATTCCAACTCTTTGCTCTCCATTCTTGTTTCCAGATCACTGCTTTCCTTTACACTTTTTTTAAAAGGCAGCTCTTTAGAAACTCACGCTTTCTGGGAAGCTGCATTCATTTCTCTTACTTAACGAACTCTTGTTTGCTCACCCTCAATCACAAGTCACTTCGGTCTACCCTAAGCCTTGCCAATTGCCAACATTCTATAACATTAACATCCACGTGGGCAAACCATCCATAACCCTCACCTCTCAGTTTCTCCATTCCACCTCAAATATCACTCCCAAGATCACATTTACAATTTTGATGCCATCCATATCTACTTCTTTTTCAAAATCACTAATTATTTATATTCTCAGGCAACTTCTCTTTCTCATATTTTACTACTACTGCAAATGTTCTTCAGTCTCACCAGGACCTATTAACCCCCTACTTCATCAGTCCCTCTCTTTCCTTATGACACACTGTAACCAATTTAAATCCATGACATCACTTCTTTCCTCCCACCGTATTCCCTTTCTCCTGTCCTCATTTCTATTAGTTCATTAAATATTTACTGACCACCTCTATGCCAGGCACTGCCCTGAGCAATCCAAGATAACATCCTTGGTCCCAAGGAACCTATATTCTTGATGGAGGAGACTGACAATAAACAAGTAAATAAATGAAGGTAACATCTAGGTATGATAAATGCTATATGTAAGAAAAATAAATGGTGTCAAATGATAGAGAGTAACAAGAGAATAGAGACGGATGAGCCAGTGGTAAAAGGCTTCACCAAGGACATGACATATGATCTAAGTCTGAGAGAAAGTCCTGAGATGGGAGCTTGGTATTTTCCAAGAACAAAAAGAAACAGTATGGCTGGAGAGCAGTAAGTGAGGGAAGTAGTGATACTAGATGAAGTCTGAGATTAACAAAGCCATGGAGAGGAGTTTGAAGGAATGAGAGGCCACTAAAGGCAGAGAAAGAATATCCTGTGATTAAGGATTTAAATTACCCTTTCAGCAATATTCTGAACTTCCTTTTGCTCTTTTTCTTATTTTGTACCTGTTTAGTAAAACTCCAGTTATCAGATGATTCCTGCTAGAGAAGGTGATGTAAAGAGCAGATTGATTCCACCATAAATTCATGATCAGCATCATGAAATAAATGGCCTCAGCACTGCCAGGAAATCTCACTGTTACTTTTGGTCTCCACTATGACTCACCTGTCTCCTCAAATTGCCTGCCCCATTCTTCACCGATCACTCTTAGCAGACGACTTGATTTTATACTTTAGAGAAAGCTGAAGGCATCAGAAAGGAATTCCTTTACCTTTCCTACATGAGCTAGGCCCACTTGCCCATTAGAGCAAAACGGTGCTTCTCTTCCTATGCAAAGCTAATAGCTCCTCATCCTATGTTTTGAGTTCTTTCTTCTCCAAGCTTCTCGAGAACCTTACTTGACCCTTCTCTCCTGAATATTTAATTTCATCCTCTTAAGTGGAGTGTTATAATTATTTTTTAAATTTGCCTAAGGTCTTTTCTATTCAAGGAAAATAGTAAGACTCTCCCTCCCTCCCTCCCTCCCTCTCATATACATCACTTCCTCAAAGTATTGGTGCTGGTACACAAGCTGATATTGGCCCATAGGAGGTAAGTATGGAAGATGAGTGAGTAAAAATTTAGACTTAACAGAAATTTGACAAAATAATTTTATCTGTTAAAATGTGGTAATAAAATATTTGGACTTATAGTTGGTATGTCGAAGTTGTAATTTTTGTAATAATTCATTAGTACTGTTTTTCTTAAGATTTTATTTATTCATTTATAGAGAAAGAGAGAAACATTAATGTGTGCTTGCCTCTCACACACCCTGTGCTGGGGACCTGGCCCACAATCCAGACATGTGTCCTGATGGGGAACTGAACTGGCGACCCTTTGGTTGGCAGCCCGTGCTCAATCCACTGAGCTACACCAGCTAGGGCAGACTTGTATTTTATACAATTACTAATCTGTACTTAGTTGAATATTAACAAAAATTAAAGGATCTTCATCACAGACAGGATACACTAGCCTTGCTAATGTCCTCACTGTATCCTTAAAGAAAAACTTCTCGAAGAATTGTCTATACTTGATTTCTTTATTTCACATCCATTTATCTGAATTATGATCCTATGACTGAACAAAAAAATTACTCCATGTGTTATGGGCTAAATTGTGTCCCTAAAATCCAGTAAGTTCTAACTCCTAGTACCTCAGAATGTGATAATATTTGAAGATGGGGCTTTTAAAGAGGTAAAGTTAAATAAGGTCATAAGGCCCTGGCTGGTATAGCTCAGTGGATTGAGCGCAGGCCTGCAAACCAAAGGATTGCAGTTCAATTCCCAGTCAGGGCACATGCCTGAGTTGCAGGCCAGTTTCTAGCAAGGGACACATGAGAGGCAACCACACATTGATATTTCTCTCCCTCTCTCCTTCCCTTCCCCTCTAAATCTTAAAAAAAAAAAGGTCATAAGGTAAGCCTTAATCAAACACGCTGGGATCCTTATAGGAAGAGAAAATCCAGACAGAGAGAAAGGTACCAAACACATGTGCATGCAGAGGGATGACCACATGAAGGTGGTCACCTGCAAGCCATGGAGAGAAACCAAATCTGCTGCCTCCTTGAACTTGAACTTCTGGACTCCACAATGGAAAGACACTAAATCTGTTATTTAGAGCACTCACTCGGCAGTATTTTGTTATTTATTTATATCACTTAGCAGCCCAAGCAAACTAATGTACCATGTCACTAAAGCCAGTAAGGTATTTTCTAGTTCTCACCGTGGTCAAGCTCTCTTTCCCTCTATTCCCTCCCCTTCTTTAACATTCTCTTCAATAGGCCAGGGGCTTCAAACTCACTTTCACCAGGGGCCACATCAGCCTGGCAGTTGCCTTCAAAGGGCCAAAATAATTTTAGGACTGTATAAATGAAAGTACTCCTTAACTGTTAAAGAGTTGAAGTTACATTTGGCCCTTTGAAGGCAACCGTGATGTTGTTGCCTTCAAAGCAAGAACTAAACAAGAACTAAATGTATCTAGCTAGCTTCTTGCTTGACACCTTCAGCTGGATAACCCAGTGAGCCTAACTCAAATTCATGTCTACAACCAGGCTCATGACCTTTCTCCACCGCCTGTTCTTTTAGTATTCTCTTCCATAAAGTGGTATATCACCATCCGTTTTCTACACCAAAAGCCTAAAAGTCATCCCTCTCCAGTATCATTGCTCATATATAGTCTATTACCAAGTCTTTGTCAATTTCGCTCTTCCCATGTCTTCAGTCACTTTTCTCCACTGCCATCACCCCAGTCCAGATCACTTTCATTTCCTGTGAACTACTGTATCTCTTATCAAGTATATCCAGTTATCATTCCTTGCTCTCTCTAATCTGTTCTTCATCCACTGCAGCCACTTTCTAAAAAAACAAATCAAATTTTGTCATCACCCTACTTGAAATGTTCCATAACTTCCTGCTGCTCTCAGGGTAAAATCAGTAAACAGTCTCGCATAGTCAGGGCTCTACGTACTTCTCCAGGCATATCTCATACTTTTTTCAGTGCTCTAGCCACTGTTATTTCTTTAAACATGCTATCAAACCCTGCCCAAGAGGCCATGCATAAGGACACTCTTCCTCACTAAAGCTACCCCCTTGCCTTTCTTCAGATATCAGCTCTAGTATTATTTTCGCAGGAAGGTTTTCTCTGATCTTTTTGACTAGGTCAAAAATCCCTGTATTTTATGAGTCCACATCCCCTCTTCATCACAGCTATGTAGTCATAATTTTACATGTATTTGAGTAAGTATTTGATCTTCTTTACTAGAATGTCAGCTCTACAAAAGGGCAAGAACTTTATACCCAATGCCCAGCACAGGTCCTGAAACAGTGGTTGGTGACTAAAAACATGTTGAATGAAAAGAAAAATTAATAAGTAAGTCCTCTCATAAATTAATTAAAAAACCCCACAAGATTAACAAAGAATTAAAATGCCAATTCAAAAATAACCTATAAACAAATGTTTGACCCCACCTGTGATTCAAGAAATGTGAATGTAAAATGAGATAGTATTTCCACAACCATTAAATATATAAAAATTATAATACCTAGGGCTTACAAATATAGGTCTTCTCATATTAAAATGACTAGGAGAATATAAGGTAGTAACATCTTTCTGAGAGCAAAATCTAAGAGAAAACTTAAATTTTTGCAAGTCTTTAAAAATTTAACAGAAATCACCAGGAATGTACAAATATTTAGGTACAAGAACATTTAAAACAAGACTGTCTGTAATAGCCAAAAAAAATAAAAAAGGAAACAAGACAAATGTAAAAATGAGACTGATTAAATAAAGTATGTGATAAACCTATTTTAATGTAACTATTAATCTCATTCCACTTAATAACAAAGTTATGTATGATATAGTAAGTGAATGAAGCAGGTTTTAGTATGACCTGTTTTGTTTCATTTTTTTTAATTAAGAAAAAAGAATCAAAATATACACGTATAAATTTGCTCAGGTTTTCCACAGGAAAAAAGACTGAAAAACAAAACACACCAAAATCTTGTGGGTATTAATAGTGTTTTCTTTTTGCTTACTACCTTCTAAATATTCTTTGATGAACATGTTTTACTCTTATAATAAAAGTAGTATGAATAATACCTGTGGTTAAAAGAAATATTTCAGTTGCAATATAACCAATTAGGGAGTTCTCACCGTAGACTGGTACCTATCAGGATTACCTACAGAACTTTAGGGCTCATCCTCTTATTTATTTAGTATTGCATGACACTAGAACCTTATTCTAATTTGAGACTTTCACTTACAGTGATGCCTTTAACACCTTCTGAGACTAAGGACTTGATATACCTACATGTTAAAACAATGCTATAAAATAAGAGAGGCGGGGAAAAGGTTTGATTAATCACCTGGTTTCAAACTGGCATTAATAGGTCTGGCAGCTGCTGTAACCATCTGTTCCCGTCGAGGATCTTGGTAACTCATTTTACTAATGAATTCAATTGCAGCTTCTATACTTCTATTATTAGTTTTCTGGAGAGCTTGTATAACCATATCCTGATATGAAATTTGAAAAAAAGAAAGAAAATTTAAATCTTGTAATTAACAAGAGGGAAAGAGCACTGTGAGTTCCATTAGAAAAATTCATAATTATGAACAGCATCCCAAACCATAATATTCACATTCTATTTGTAAAACTACTATAAAAATCCATACACTCTCAATTACTAAAGAAAATAAAACAAACCCTCAAATCCTTCAATTGTTAATATTTTCACTTCTATGTAACATACTACTTTTTTCTTCTGGAATTAACTTCTTTCAGGTAAAATCATAGCAATATGATACTAATTACTTCCCATTCTTAATTTCATTCTTCTATGAACAGAGACTATCAGATTGTTAAAAATGTATCATTCAAAATACTGCAAACCATGCTTTTGTATTGTTAAAGCATTTTATTAAGCATCTTTGCCATTGTGTTTACTAGTAAAAAAGCTATATAGTTCTGATTCCTATCGCCCTTGGGCTTACATTTTCAGAGAACTTTATTTATAAGGACATAAATATGGGACAAATGATAAAAGAAAAACACTTTGACTACTTATGATTAGGTGATGAAGACTTTAGGAGGCTAGATGGCATGATGGAAAAACCAGAGTTTGAAATAAAAAAATAACTAAGTTTAAGTTCCAGCAGCCCACGTTACTATGCTTTTATTCTTCCTGATCATAAGCAAAAATACACTCCCATGATTGTAGATTTGTGTGTCTCACTTTTCAGAACTGTGTGAACTTTGGCAAGGTATTTAACATTGCAGAGCTCAATTTCTTCATCTATAACAGACTCAGAGAGTTGATGTGAGGATTAAATAAAGAAACACGTAAAAGCACATAAGCACAGTGCCTGGAGCTCAGATGTGGGTTGTCTTCCTGCTCTGCTCCTTCTCCTTTATGTTTTATGTAAACATAAATTATACACTAACATGCAGAAGTATACTGATATGCATTTTTCAAGAGGCAGGCTACTTATCCTAGAGGATTTAGTATTTCAAACAATATTTTTAAATGAGAAATGGCTTAGTAAAACTAATGGTTGAACATATGATTCTGCTATATGAAATGACTGAAGATGAGAATGAGACCAATCAAAAAAAGTTGTGGCAGAGACTTGTTGTCCACTCAAAATTCATTCTCCCTTTCTTGGAAAATGTTAAGGAATAGGTAGAAATTTTCCTTATAGCTACACTGGTCCCATGATAATTTCGACCAATAAGACAAAAGAAAAGATTTCTAGAAGAATGTTGCTATTACTGCTTAGTCCTTCTTATGTCCTATTTCCTAGGCAATAGATGCTACCTGTTCTAGAGCATGTTGCCACCAAGAAGGAAAATTCAAGAAATTTCCAAGTCATTGGTTCTGAAATTTTTAAAGGTCTGAACCAATGCTAGTTATATAAATTGAGTTACCATTCTGTTTGAAGTATTACTTGGATTTGGATTTTTTTTGCCCTGGCTGGTGAGGCTCGGTGTATTGAGTGTTGGCCTGCGAGCTGAAGGGTTTCCAGTTTGATTCCTGGTCAGGGCACATGCCTGGGTTGCAGGCTGGGTCCTCGGTGAGGGATGCCCAAGAGGAAACCACAAATTGATGTTTCTCTCCCTCTCTTTCTCCCTCCCTTTCCCTCTCTCTAAAAATGAATAAATAAAATCTTTTTAAAAAATTAAGTATTATTTGGATTTTTGTTATAGCAACCAAACCCAATAGTTAACTGATACAAAGGTACAGTACTGGTCACATTTTATGCCAATTGGACTCTGCAAATTTATAGTGAAATACAAAGGAATTTAATCACTTTATATCCAAATATAAAATAATAAAAATTACCCCAAATTAAAATTCATCAGTGAGTGCTTAACTTTAGAATTGGTTAAGTGAACTGTGACTGTATTTAGGCTATTGCCCCACTGCAGTACCATCTCAGTTGGTAAGAACATTGGCACCCACTATTCTTTTTCAATATATCGTGAGAACCATATTCTTGCAAAATGCACCAGAATTTCAGCCTGTAATGCTAGTGATAATTATGCTGGCTTTAATTCTTCAATATACAGTAGGTTTATACTCATGAGTACATGAAACAGTTTATTCTTGTATTATTTTTTATTAATTATTGTATTATTTTCCATACAAACAACTGTAAATCTACTTTTGCCCCACCCCGTATATGTTCAAATATTTTTGCATCAGTAACAGTATCAATCAAGTGTTCCTTAAGTGGGAGTGTCTGTACTAGTGTGAAAAAGAGCACCTTCAAATCAATAACTTTTAAACAGAAGCCTTATGTGATTGAAAAAAACTTTCCACTTTACTATGTTTTTGTTTTCCATGCTTAGAAGCAAAAATATACTCTAGTGATTGTAGACTTATTTCTTCCCAAAGCACATCAATTCTATTTAACATTTATTCCTATGAGGAAATTAATCTTGAAATATTTGAGAGGTTTTAATTTTATACAGCACCAGAAATATATTCTCAAAAAACTGTAACTGCCTTGAACCTGGCATAACTAAAATAATAGAGCTTATGAAATAAGAACAATGAAGTGAAAACTGGATAAGAATTTTGAAGTACCAAGTTGGGATCTTGAATAAATTTTGCAATATAATAGGAAGCTATCAGAATCAGTGATTCAAGGAGATAGTAGACATAAATTGCCATATTCTTTACATCACAGTGGATATAAATAATACCATATCTTCATTATTTGGACCAATGAGGATCAATAAGTATCTAAATGCTTTTAGTAAAGCGACTTTGCTGAAGCAGTTACTAATGTCATAAGGTCACAACTTTGAAACGGGTGATTGTAATAAAGCTAACATATCTTTGAAATGCAAAGTAATTATTATTGCCAATCCATAAAAGAAAACAGGGCATTGACCAATGCTTCTGATATCTTAAAACTGTCTATATTGGAAAGAATTTTTAAGTTCTTTATAAGTATGAAATATGTTTGGTATGAGTCACTATCCTGACTGATGGGTTCACACATAAATACACACATAATTACTGAGGTAACTTACCTGACAGAACACATTACCGCTTAAGGACCTATATAGGCACGTGATTTTCTAACTCTCCCTAGCAATACATAAAAAAAGTAATAGCAATAATTCAGCTCTATCTTTATGCCTTTTGGCTAAAGAAAGGATTAGGAAGAAAGCACAGTACTCTGGAGAGTCTCCATTCAAGCCATTTTCTGAATCTCCCAACTGCTAAAGGAGAAAACATCCCAGGTCCTCTACTCCTCTCTCTACTTTCTGGTACAAACTCAATATTTTTAAAACACTTACACATAAAAAAGATGGGAAGTAATATTAATCAAAAAGATGAATAAAGTGAGCTAGAAAAAATAATCTTTTTTCTTCCTTTTTAATTGTAAATCTTTTTCAAATTCTTTACTATAATGCAAACTTAGGCTGTCATTTTCTTAATTAAATATATAGATACCTGAAAATGTGGTCACCAAAATATTAATAATAGTGAAGAAATTTTAAGGGTAATTATCTTTGTGTTATGAAACTGAAGGTAATGCTCAATTCTTTTTCATACTTTTTAAGTTTTAACAGGGAACAGCTATTACTTTTATAATTAGGAGAAAAGTTCCTATAATTTTTAAAGATTTTATTTATTAATTTTTTAGAGAGAGGGGGATGGAAGGAGAAAGAGAGGAAGAGAAACATCAGTGTGTGGTTGCCCCTCACTTGCCCCTAGTTGGGGACCTGGCCTGCAAGCCAGGTATGTGCCCTGACTGGGAATCAAACTGATGATCCTTTGGTTCGCAAACCCATGCTCAATCCACTGAGCTACCCCAGCCAGGGCTAGTTCCTATAATTTTAAAAGATAATATAGTTAATGCTTGGTTATTCACATTTAATTATATTTTTCCATAGCCAATTTTTGTCTAAAATGATTTATGCACCTAAAATGTTCAAATAAAGTATATGATTATAGAAAATAAATTGTATTAGTAACTTGAACAAAATACGGTTCAATATATGTGCTGTGAAGAACTTTTTAAGTGAGTTCTGAAAGTAAATACTAAAGACCTGAACAGAAATTTCCTTAAAATGAATCTGATATTTAGAGATTAATCAACAGGCAAAGTTTTAGCTTTCTTGAATTAGCATTTGGATCTGACAGTGCTGTGAATATAACTGTTCAATGAAATCCCTAATTCTATTTTTTCTTTGTAGCATAAATTTAAACTCCATATCCTTAGAGCTGTCGTTCCACATCAGCCTCTTAGCTCATGACAGCCCCTATCACAGGGTCTTTCTTCAACTGCACTTCCACTGTGACTTCATGGCTTGACCTTTTAAATTCCAGAAACCAGAGAAAACTAAAGAAATAAAGATTACTTTGTTTTAATAATTAATGGAATTGTGAACAACATTCTTCGCTGGTAAAATATACAAATTTATATATATGTTACATTCTCACAAAGGAAACACTGAGGCAGGAGATCACCGAAACCGTGTAATGTAGTACAGAGTAAGAAAAATCCTTTTTGTTTTTAAAAGCTTACCTCATCAAACCCAGCAGCTTGTAAATCTTGAAACATTTGTGGATTAACCTCTGAAGCACTCCGACTTGTTTCATTCGCAAAGGGTTGTAGAGAGTTTCGAATTTCCAGCAAGGCTTTATGATGTGTCCCAAATTTGGGAGGATTTCTGACTTGTCGAGGATCTTCAATTGACATTTTACTCATGTTATGCTCAGCTTTTGCAGCATCAGATGGTTTGGATAAATTCCTAAGGGATTCCCGAATTTCTTGCAACATTTGTCGGCTGCTGCCAGTGTAGCTACTGGCAGGAAAGGTCTTAGGCCTCATTTGCCTATATCCTTCTGGCTTTTCACTTCTCTTCATGAAAACATCTATGTATATACAACCCACACAAAAGACTTTAGGAGCCACCTCTTAAATTCAGAGCCTTCTCTTGAGCAAAACTGCAAAAGATCCTTTGCAGAAGTCCTCAGGAATGTTAAAATTCTTTACAATTTAAATAATTAACCCTATAAAAGAAAAAGATAAATGAAAGCTATAATGTAATTAACTGATAAACTCCATGAATGGGAGGGTGAGAGGGAACACTGATTTAGGGGGAAGAGACTTAGGTTATAGTTCTGGCTCTATTATGAATTACTGTTAACCTCTCCATGCCTATTTCTTAATCTGTAAAATTACCTAAAGTAGTGATTATAATGATAAAAAATAATTTTAAGAGTGCTTTGGTAAGTATTAAAGTGTATATAAATGCAAGGAATTACTAAGTGAACAGTTCAATGGGCAACCTATCATCAACTTCACCTAGTAGTTCCAATTTTAGGTGTTACAAATTAGATTCCAAATATATTTCTTTAGAAAAAGAGTGTTGTCGCTTTAAAAAGGTTTTTAAACCACTAGTCCAGAAGATACCTTTATGCTTTAAAACAGATGCTTGGGTTTATTTCCCCAACTGGGCCTGGGACTCTAGAAACAGTACACTCATTAAAAATGGGAAGGGGAAAGTACCTCTGAAGACAAACTGTCTTACTTCTCACTTAATGCATGGATGTCTTTTACAGTGCCCTGGAAGAACAGTCACCTAAAGTCTACTGAAATGTCTCCACTAATAGGGAAAATCACGAACTCAGGAAAGCCATTCTCTCTGTGAAGTATGAAAATTGTTAGAAATGTTTTCTTTATGTGGAGTGCCGTGAAATCTCACTCAGGGCATGTTAAAAACCAGTGCTAAAACTACTCTGCCTGCATTCTTACCTAACCATCCTAAACAGCCCTGTGAGGTAGGTTTACTATCTATACTTTGAGTTTGGGTAAAATAGTTTATAAGTGGTAACCACTGGGATGTGAAACATTGCTAATTATCACCTATTGGGAGCCTATTTCTACTCTCATTAGATATAATCACTACTCATGCTACATAAAGGTGTCTATAGACAGCTAGATATAAGCATCTCCTTCTTGTCATTTAGGGTTCATTCCTGTTACCTCCTCAAAGACCTTTTCCCTAATCACCTGATTACCCTGTTTTATTGTAGACATACTCTAGTTTGTCAAAGAAAGCAAAGCACTTGCAATGGAAAAACAAAAAAATTATTCAAGTACTTGTTCTGTTAATTATTAGCAATGAGAACTTGGGCATTTAATTCTGTCAAAAACTGTCTGCTTAGCCTATAGACAACTGCAATCGAACAACAATAATTTTTTTTAAACTGTCTGTTTAGGGATAAAATGGTTGGAGTAACAAGGTTTATCTTATGGCTTGAACAAAGATTAAGAGGAACAATGTAATACAAGCAAAGGAAAATACACACAAATGTTAAAATATGTTGACTGCTTGCTGCAACATCATTTATAACAGCAAAAGATGACATCACTCTAAATGCTTGTCAGTAATTGTTCACACAGTTCATAATACATCTATATGTGGTAAAGCAGATGCTAAAAAGAATGATGCAGTTCTAGCTAAATGTACTGACAAGGATACTTGTACTCTTTAAGCAAAAAAGGTAAGTTTCAAAAAAGCCATTTTGTTGGGAACCACTCTGCCTGGTTTCAGGAGTTGTAACTACCCCCCATGGCTAAGGATGAGTGTGCAACCTCCAGAATGCCAGTCACAGGAGACAAAGCTTGTCTCTGGTAGCAAATGCTGCCTCAGCTTACTCCCCTGTCCCCGAAGTATGGTCAATGTCCATGACGGGTAAGACTCCTTGCAGACAGGGGCAGCCTAAGCCAGACAGGATCACTTGGGAGGCCATCATGGAAGGGCTGGGTCAAAGAGGGAGCAATGGCCCCTTGCCCCCAGCTATTCTGACATAGCCCAGGTCCCCATGTCCTCTAGGAGAAGCGCATCCTGGCTCTAATCCGCTTAACCCTGAAAACCTGATGGGGAGGCAGTTCCTCCTTGCCTTGCTAGAGCAGGTATTGGGGATAAATCTGGGATAAGAAAGAATTTCTAAAAGTCCTGTGAAACCTGCTTTGCTAAGAGTGTTTTCATTCATATGTTAAGCATCGAGCAGGAAATGAGTATGTCTCCCAAAGTTTCTACAACCCCCTTTCCTGACAGACACTGACTCAGACTAAGCCCTCAGATTTCTTTGAAATGTTATTTACTGTTTGATCCTTGCCATCCTTGTATTCCTGTGTATTACAACTCAATTAAAGCCCCTGGAGGAAGGGGCCCCGGGCCTTCTTCCTCTGAGAACTGGCCACCTCTCCTCCCTAAGCAGATCAAGTCTTGGTAGTGTTCACTTTCGTCCATGGCGGACAGAGGGACTTGAAGGCAAAGTCACCCCCACACCATTTTCTATTCTAAAATTAGATTATGATGTTGCAGAGCTCTGTAAATATACTAAAAACCACCTAACTGTATACTTTCACTGAGTATACTCGTGGTATTAAGTTATATTTATGGATATTCATGATGCATGCACCTACATGAATACTGCAGCAGGCCTAAGCTGGATGAAGTCCTGCAGCAAACCACTAGAGGTGCAGTTTCCTGATATCTTCTCCTTAATAACTACTTTCAAGGTACAATTGTTAAATGGGTTATGAATCAATCAATTCTACTTGACAAGCAGTCCTCATGTCCCCATTTTGTAAAATCAAAAATAATAGCCCTGGCTGGCGTAGCTCAGTGAATTGAGGGTGGGCCTGAGAACCAGAGGATCGCGGTTCGATTCCCAGTCAGGGCACATGCCTGGGTTGCAGACCAATTCCCTGCAGGGCAGTTCCCAGCAGGGGACACACGAAAGGCAACCACACATTGATGTTTCTCTCCCTCTCTCCTTCCCTTCCCCTCTAAAGATAAATATATAAAATCTTTAAAAATTTTTCAAGTTAAAAAAAATTAAAATTTTGTTGTTGTATTGCTGAAAATTATGCATATTCTGTCTATAACATAACCTGATCTACTGATAATTATTTCACAAAAAAAATTAGGACTGACACATCTTGTGCTTTCATGAAGGTTATCCCTCATGATACTTTTTCCCTAAGCCTTCCCAAAATATTAATTTAATAGCTGACTAATGAATTTCTCTAGGTTTAACACTTAGGTCACCTTCTGAAAAGGGAATATTCCCCCAAAGCTCACACTTGATCTGTGGCCAAAGGTGAAAACTGAAAAAGAGTGCCCTGGCGGTTCCTGCAGAATAACAGCCACGGCTCACAGAGAACAATGGGTAGGAGTTCCTCCCTTCATAAATGAATGAAGGTCAATCAAGGTATCTCTCCTTCCTCCAGATCGGGTTGCTTTAACAAGATCTGCCTATAAAGACTTGAAAATATTACAGATCAAAAATGGCTATCTCTCATTCTTGTCTTTTTCTAATTCTAACGCTTACTGTGGCCCTCCTTATCCTTGTTCTATCATTGAATACTGTGGTGAGTGGGGGGACAGAGAACAAGTACAAAGATAGCTTCACGGGTCTCAGGACCAAGAGGAACCATACCTGGACCCGATGGAGAGACTACTGGACATATGGCCCACAGGACCAATGAACCTAGCTACTGCAGCTTAGGGCCCAACACAATAATAGCAAAATAATAACACAATACTATGAATATCTTTCCACAACAGTAAGTACAATATTTTCTTGATTCTAAGACGCATCCTTTTCTACATTCTAATGTTTCTAAAATTGAGTATATCATAAAACCAATATTTAAAGAAATTTGTTGGCTCCAAAACAGAGAAGCTCCACTTTTTAAAAAAATATTTTATTTTTAGAGAAAGGGGAAAGGAAGGAGAGAAGAAGAGAAACATCCGATGTGTGAGAGCTCAGTGGCCTCTCACACACCCCCAACAGGGGGCCCAGCCCGCAACCTAGGCATGTGCCCTGACTGGAAATTGAACCAGCGACCCTTTGGTTCATAGGCCAGGCCCCAATCCATTCAGCCACAACAGCATGACAAAGCAGAGAAGTTCTGATATAGCACACAATGCACATAGCTAACTTAACTATAAATAAAATGCGAAATTTCCTTGTCATTTCAATTGTATTATTTTCAGCAACAGCACCATGTATGGTTGAATCTAAACCTTTAATTAATGCTCAAGGTGTCTTCAAAAAGATTCTACTATGATGTACCATTACATCCTCAGAAACTGCCTGTCACCCAAAACATGCAATGCAATTAAAGGCAACATTACAGAATTTTCAAGGGTGAGAAAGGCTTTTATGATGCAAAAGCACTCAATCATGAAACATCTGTCAAAACTTACTGTTGTCCTCCCTGGCAAGTGTGGCTCGGTTGGAGCATCATCCTGTAAACTGAAAGGTCACAGGTTCAACTGCCGGTTAGGGCATATGCCTGGGCTACATATCTGGTCCCCTGTCAGGGTATGTATGAGAGACAACCCATCAATGTTCCCCTCACACATGTTTCTTTCTCTCCCTCTCTCCCTCCCTTCTTCTTTCTCTAAGATCAGTAAGCATGTCCTCATGTGAGGATTTAAAAAAAGACAACTTATTATCTTCAGAAGTTGTGTAATTGCCAGTAGTAACTCACTCCACTAAGAAAAAACAAACAAACAAAAAGGGAAAGGAATACAAAACCCAGTATTCTTTAATGTGTCTCAAAATTATATAGTCACTCGTAAAGAAAACAGGTTCAAGATAATCAGGGTTACGAAAAGCAGCATGTAATCATGATGTTATGTGTTAACCACCCAAAGACCCAAGTAATTCAGAGGAAGCCTACATCTCAATGTGAACAAGGCTGAGACTCCATGTTTTTTTAAGAATTGACTTAAGAAACAGAAAGACCTAGATTTTGTTGTTCCATTTACTTATGCATTCATTGGTTGATTCTTGTATGTGCCCTGATGGGGGACTGGACCCACAACCTTGGCTTACTGAGACGATGCTCTAACCAACTGAGCTACCTGGCCAGGGCCTGAGGCTCCATCTTTATTTTGAAAACACACACACACACACACACACACACACACACACACACACACACACACACACACCACCCCTGAATAAATGTATGCCATTGAGGGTTAATAAAAACCGTATGTTGCCCTGGCTGTTGTTGCTCAGCGGTTTGAATGCTGGTCTGCAAACCAAAGGGTCACCGATTCAATTCTCATTCAGGGCACATGCCTGGGTTGTAGGCCAGATCCCTAGTAGGGGGCATGCAAGAGGCAACCACACACTGACATTTCTCTCCCTCTCTTTCTCCTTTCCTTCCCCCCTCTCTAACAATAAGTAAATAAAATCTTTTAAAAAATGTTTATTTTCTTTCCCCTGAAAAGCTGTTACTAAACAGATGGCCTGATTTAGATAATGTTGTCTCTGAATTGTGAAAATGTCAATTCATCGTTTTAAATACCTGTATATTAAATTGCATCATGTGGATGTGCCATAATATATCTATCCCCCACTGATAGGTTGTTTTCAATCTGTTGCTATTATAAATAATGTTTCAAACATTGATAACCTCAGTTGTATTGGTAATATTCTAATGCTGAGGATGGGTAGTGAATTCATGGGTGTTCATTTTATTATGTTTCATAGCTTAATGTATATAACATATCCTTTGTACATATCAAGTTAATGTATTTTATTTTAGTTAATAAAAAATACCACACTAAAAATTCTTGCCCTGGCTGGGTGGCCCAGTTGGAGTGCCATTCTATACACTCCAAGTGGGTCCAAAAGTCTGTGGGTTCGATTTCCAGTCAGAGCACATACCTAGGTTGTGGGTTTGATCCCCAGCTGGGGCATGAATAGAAGGCAACTGACTGATGTTTCTCTCTTACGTCTCTCTCCCCCAAAATCAATAAACATATCCTTGGGTGTGGATATAAATTAAATAAATAAATAAACAAATCTTACACATACAGTGTTGAGAATTTCCCTTATTCCCAAAAGTGAAATTGCTGGGTCTAAGATGATATATATGTAAAATTCAAATACTTACTGTCAGACCGCTTTCCAGAACGGTGTACTAAATTTATAATCACTCCAACAACATATGGCATTAACAAATCTCACTAACCTTTGCTAATATGACATTTGAAAATTCAATTTAATAATAAGTAGAGAACAAAAAAGAACTCTTTAAATTAGTCTTTCCAACAGTTCTGATCATGTCACTGCCTATTCAGAACCATCAATGACTGTTTCACTTAATGGTTAAAGTAACAGCTCTGGAGTCGAACTTCAGGGTACGAATCCCAGTAGTACCACCAAGGAGCTGTGCCTCAGTTCCTTATCTTCAAATGCAGGCAATAATGATCCTATTTATATGGGGTTATTTTGAGCATTAAATAAGTTTAATACATATCAAATATTTATAATAAGTGACTAAATCAGTAAGTGGTAGTTACTATTTCTTTCTGTTACCTTACCTAGAATTCCCCACCCCATGTATCTTATACTCTAATCAGGCTCTCAGCTAACATACTTTGAGCTTTTTCTATTTTCATGTCCTTACTCATCCTGTTTGTTCTTCTTGGGAGATCTCCTGCCATTCAAATGCTTCCTTCATGAAGCTTCCCTTGAACCGCTGGTTGTTATTCCTCTCCTCTGAAATCTAAACTCACTTTGCACAGTCAGATAAAATGTTTCTGCCCTATACTTATACTTGTCTTACTCTTCCCACTAGATTACAGATTCAGAGAGCATAAGATGATGTGAGACATATATGTATATATACATATATTCCATCCCCCACCCCCCAGATGAGTTAATGGATCCAGACATGAAAGGTCATGCTAAGAATTGATTTCACACAGTCTGAACCAGCCCAGTGCTGTTCTCATCATAACCACATTTTGAGTTTCCTAAAAGCAGGGATTAGGACTCATTCTTTGAAAGGACACTTAATTGGTTAGACTTAACAGACAAAAACCTTCATTTCTTTAATAGTTCAGATCTTCATCTAATATGCAAATGTTAGTAAATCCAAACAAATATTGTTGATATCTTGTCCAACCTAGGAAAAAACAAGTACCATTACCTAAAAGATTCCAGAGCATTACTGTGGGTTGAATGAGGCTTTATAAAAAATATGGCCTATCCCAATGCTCTAACTAAACCCCTTATGAGAACAGAGTCATATGTACTGTTTCCACTTTAGCATCACAGTCTTAGTTTAGACTGATGACATTTTCTTCAATTAGCTTTCTAACAATTAACCAATAAACCCAGTGAGAAATAAGTTTAGTTACACACACAAACAGTATTGTACCACTCCAGTTTGGGAAGTGGATTTGAAAACAGTATTGTACCACTCCAGTTTGGGAAGTGGATTTGAATGCCTGGGATCATGAAGCTTGTTAGGCCTTTGTGGAGTATGTATGAAATTTAAAATTTTTATCAAATCTCCTCCATCAGGAATTAGGAATATAGTTATTCATTATAATTAGAATGAATGTTCTCTGCTATGATATCTACATTTGTGATTTAACTAAGTTCATTTCTTTCCTTAAATAAGTTGACAGATAGGTGAAATAGACTAGGTGATTCCCTAAGGCAGTGGAGGAATTTAACAGTAAAAGTGCATGCCCCCTACTAGGGACATGGCCTACAACCCAGGCATGTGCCCTGAATGAGAATTGAACGGGCAACCCTTTGGTTTGCAGACCAGCACTCAAACCGCTGAGCAACAACAGCCAGGGCAACATACAGCTTTTATTAACCTTCAATGGCATACATTTATTCATTCAGGGGTGTGTATGGTATGTGTGTTTTCAAAATAAAGATGGAGCCTCAGGCCCTGGCCAGGTAGCTCAGTTGGTTAGAACATTGTCTCAGTTAAGTCAAGGTTGTGGGTCCAATTCCCAGTCAGGGCACAATCAAAAGTAAAGACAATCACCGTAATTTACCTTCATGCTGAAAAATGAGCAACATTTCTACTTGATAAAAATGTTGTTCAATGCCTAAATAACTTTTGTAGTCTACAAAAAACCCCACTAATCTAAATCTAACATTTAGAATGAAGTAACTAGAGTTGGAACAGTTCTAAGGCTATGTTTACATAGAACATCAAGGAATAGCATTAAAAACAAAAACTCAAATTACAGAAAAAATCCTGATAATATCATACTAAAAAATGTAGCAATATTTTTTAATTTACTTTTAGAGAGTGCCAAGCATGTTCAATAAATATGCAGGCATGGAAAGACTGCACTTTCCCAGTACGTACTATGATCTGGTTTCTTGCAGTAGCAGGTGATCAGAGGAACACAGTGATACTAGTTTTACTGTTAAATAAAATTCCTCCACTGCCTTAGGGAATCATCTAGTCTATTTCACCTATCTGTCAACTTATTTAAGGAAAGAAATGAACTTAGTTAAATCACAAATGTAGATATCATAGCAGAGAACATTCATTCTAATTATAATGAATAACTATATTCCTAATTCCTGATGGAGGAGATTTGATAAAAACTTTAAATTTCACACATACCAGGCATTCAAATCCACTTCCCAAACAACATTGTTTGTGTGTGCAACTATACTTATTTCTCACTGGGTTTATAAATAACTTGTACAAGATGGCATCTTTTCTATCATATTAACTTATGAGTCGACAAACATTAAACTTTGTTCCCTACAGGGGTGTCCGACCTGTGGCTCACTGGCTGCATGTGTGGTTCAGGATGGCTATGAGTGGGGCCCAACACAAAATCGTGAATTTACTTAAAACGTTGACGGGTTTTTTTGTGTGTGATTATATGTCACGATGTATTTAATGAGTGGCCCAGAGACGCCAAAAGGTTGGAGAAGCCTGAATAACTTTCAATTGGAAAAATCAGAGAAGGAGGTTAAATCAGGTCACCTGAGTCACTCTTTAAGATACAAGTTCTTCTTATAGTTATATAAGCAAGGCTCCCTTAATATTCTTTCCATTTTCTGTATTTATACACACTCTTACTAGATACAGATCCCTCCATCTCTCCCATGTCTTCCAACTGTGAACATAACACTGGGCTGTAAAGAGAATTTCAGGATTTCTCCAAGGTATACCCAGGATCCGGTCCGTCTAGGATGCAAAGGACTGCAGCTCTTTCACTATGACTTTCTTTCAGAATCTCCTTTCACTTGCCTTCCTGAACACCGCAGACCCCTGTGTGTTGTGGGTACGTGTGGAGGTGAGACACAGCCGCCGCAAGGCCTGCAGCAAAGTGGCCCTTCCCAGCCAAATCTGCACCTCCAAGGCCGCAAGGCCCGGGGCTCTTCCTCCAGCCCCGGGCGCGGCCAACCCTCGCTTCCCCAAGGCAGGGCTCCGCTCAGGTCCCTGCAGCCAGCCAAGTCGGGCCCGCACCGAGCCGGGCCAGTCCACCCGGCCGCGGTAGCCCCGGGAGCTCCGCCAGCGGGGATGGGCGTGGGCCCCGGCGGCCACCGCCCCGCCAACTCCCGCTTGCAAGGAGAGACGGAGCCCCACCCGCTACGCCGGCCCCAGACCTACCTGCAAGGGATTGCGGGTCTCCTGGACAGCGGCCAGGGGCCGGAGAGGGGACCCGCAGGCGGCCGGAAGCCCTCCCAGGGAGCCTGAGTATCCCGGGGGGCACAGGGCGGGGAGAGACACCGGGAGGCTGCCGCGGGCCAGCGCGGCCCGTCGCGAGGGTCGCGGGGACCTGGCTCTCCCCTCAGCACCAGGCGGTGGCCGCCGTCGCCGCCATTTTGCCTTCCACTCGGTGTCGCCGCCGCCGCACTCCGCCGCAGGTTTCCCGGATGTGGGCATTTCCCGGCGTCGCTTGCGCGGGGGCCGTGGACTGGGGGCTTTTGCCCGCTCCGCCGCTTGCTGAGAGCGCCGCCCGCGGCTTTCCGCCCGCCGCCCGTCCCCGGCTGCACTGTGCGTTGCCAGCGGCGCCCCGGCCTCGCGCTGCCCAGGTGACTCGCCCCTGTGCGGGCTACCGGGCTCTCTCCGGCCCAAGCCCACGGACTGACTTCGGTTCCCCCCCCCCTTTTTTTACCTTCTCAATTGAGCTCTTTCTGTAGACGGGTGTAGAATTGAGGTACGCATCTGAAGGATGCTAATTCTCAGGAGGGAGCAAACAGAAATGAATTGCTCTCTGAAACCTCTCTGTGGACGTCAGGATTCGGGATTTCTAGAAGCTTTGGAAAAAAAATTATTGCTTAGTTCTCTTTACCCCGATGAATCCGTGAATTTAAGTATTTCCCGAATCAGCCATTTAATATATTCTTGACCTGAGAAAGATTCACAGTTTTATCTGTCAACCAAATCAATAGAAGAAAAAGTTCCTGTTGTCGTATAAATGGAATAATTGTGACTGTGAGAAGAGCTTTTATTTTTTGTTAAATGGAAAAATAATCCAATGGAATTCCATGGATTCCATTTGGGATGGAATCATTGGGTGTATGATGTTTGCAAGTACCATCCACCTTTTGTATAGCTCCTGTGCCAGTGGAGCTCCTGTGCCAATCTACCTCTTGAAAATGAATGCAGTTGATCTTTTGAAATATCCCCTTTCATCATTTTTCTACTAGAGTCTACTTAAAAGTATTTTTTAAAGATTTTACTTATTTATTTATTTTTAGACAGGGGAAGGGAGGGAGAAAGAGAGGGAGGGAAACATCAATTTGTGGTTGCTTCTCACATGCTCGCAAACCAGGCATGTGCCCCACTGGGAATGGAACCAGTAACCTGTTCATTTGCGGGCCAATGCTCCATCCACTGAGCTACACCAGCCAGGGCTAAAAATATTTTTAATTAAAGACTTTTTTTCTTGATGGTAAATTAGTTACCAGCTCCTGTACCCAAAAGTTCAAATGTGAAAAACCTGAGTTAAAAGTTTACATGCTAAGAGTACTTGGTTGAAACCTAGGTTCCGTAAGTACAGTTTATACGAGGTAGAGGATTTGACCCAAGGTGGGTCACTTAATAGCCTTAGTTTTTACTTTCTTCAACTGGGAGACCAAGTAACCTCTAGGGTCCCTTTCAGCCTTAAAATTATATGAATCTCGTACATTCACTGGCCTGCTTGCCCTTCCCAGAAAGATTAATCTGGAAGAACATACTACCCACAGAGTCTTGTCACCTCTCTCACCAACACATGAAACTTCGTAAGTTTCTCAGTTTTCTCAAAGCATAAAAGCAAGTAACTCCATAGACTGCTGTCTTTGGGAAAACTCCTAGATAATTCAAGGAGAATTGCTCTTTCTGAGACTAGGAGGTTGAAGCCCAATAGGGAGACAGAAGGGCCGGGAAAGGAGAGGAGTGATCCAGAGAGGACCCACAATAACAGATTAAAAGCAGCTGCTACTCCAGGTGGGGGTGGAGGTGGCAGACCAGGGCACTGTTTACAAGCGTTGGACAGTCTGAGAATGGCATTATCTGTCATTCATTTGAAGGTATTTGTATTGCTGTGGTGGAAAACCGTTGATCCAGCTTCAGTTTACTCCACTCTTCAATGCTTCATGGAAATGGTGATTTTTGGTGGCCAAATTTCATACATGTGCGAATGTAGGAACATGGGCAGTATACATGGAAGAAGTCTGGAGAGCAGCTGTGATAATGAGAGCATTAGCCCTCTCAAGAATTCATACAGTCTTAAGGGAAGGCTCTAGACTATGACCAGCCCACACTTAGGGAGTGTAGTTGTATTCTACAAGACCTCGTTGAAGGCAGAGAATCTGTATAAATTGTTTGGAATTCTGACCAGATTTGTCTCCTCCCCCATTTATTTATTCAAGCATTTATTGCTATCAATGTGGACTCATGGATATTTCAGATTGTTCTAACTTTGGCTATTGGGAGATTTTCCAGTTGGCTTCTGTGTCCCTTTGACATATTCTCATTACTATGTGCTTTCATTTCTCTTTAGAGCTTCCTTTCTGGCACTACAAGATGCTGCAAATTATCTTGTATATTTCCCACCACTCCAAGGAGCCCTGGTTCCTCTTATGGGAGAATGGTGTTAGCAACCAAATCTGGGGTTCACTGCTTGTATGACCTCTCTGGCAAAGAGAGTTTAAAATTTGTGCATTCCATACTATGCACAGGGGTAGAAATTGTTCAGATTTGTTGCAGATGTTATTTTATAGTCCAGTATTAACTACAGCTTAGTTTCATATATCCATGACCTGCACAAAGATTTTCAACAGTGAATGCATTTCTGATGGCTTTGTTAGGCTGGTCTGTCAGCTACTGTTCCCCAAAGTTGTTAAGACAGTTTGGAACGGAACATTAGTTTATTTATGGGCTCTGACTGGGTGGCTCAGTTGGTTGGGCATCTTCCTGCAAAGTTAAAGGTCACTGGTTCACTTCCAGGTTATGCCTGGGTTGTAGGTTTGGTCCCTGGTCAGGACATATATGAGAGGGAACTGATCAATGTTTCTTTCCCTCTCTTTCTCCCTCCCTTCTTTTCTCTCTATAAATAAATAAATAAAAGCTTTTAAAAAATTCTGTGTGATCCTCCCTGGCTGGTGTGGCCCAGTGGATTGAACACCAGTCTGCTAACCAAATGGTTGCCGGTTCTATTCTAAGTCAGGGCACATGCATGGGTTGCAGGCCAGGTCCTCGGGAGGGGGCATGTGAGAGGCAACCGCACATTGATGTTTCCCTGTATAAAAATAAAAATTTTTATTTTTATTTTTAAAATCTCCCTCCCTGTATAAAAATAAATAAAACCTTTTAAAAATGTTTAAAAATACTGTCTTATCAGCTAGATTTTGTCTTTCTCCCTCCTCATCATGCCCATCCCTCCATTTCTTCCCTCTGTGTACATCTCTGAGATAGTGAAATGTTTTGGGGAAGTGTTTGGGGAAGATGACTGCAGTCCAGGATATAGCTGGTAGTTTTTCTACAATGCCACTTAACATTAGTCATGGATCAGAATGATGTCAGTAATATTGGCATGTCATAGTTTGGATCTCCGCAGGTTTCATATCTGGGGCGGGGTGGGGGGGGAAGAAGCATTGCTATTGCTTCAGACTGTCTAGAAAGTTTGAGCTAGGCAGCACACTGATACTGTAAGCTTAAATGATACAAACTACAGTAGTGAATGTACTGCACTTCTTGGACAAGATTCTAGAATGGGTTATTAAAAGGAATTTTACACAATACTATGAAACAAATGTTATTCACAAAGGACAAGGAATTTTTCCATTATGCCAGATTTTTGATAGGATAGCTGTAGCACAGACATTTTTCTCACAATCGTCTTCTGAACAAGAGAAATAGGGCAGAATGTCAACAAATTAGGTTGGTGTATAAATATTTCAGTGACTGTAGCCAAATACCAATGATTCATGTGTCACTGATAATTGACTCTAGGAGGGGGCCTAAGTACTTCAGTCCATTTAACCTATTTTCTAACCCAACAGGATGAGAAAAAATACTGGGCAATTCTGAAAATAATTTGCTTCTCAGAAGAGATTGTTCATTCTTTCCTATACTGAAGTAAGAATTGTCTTCTCAGAACAAGAAGGATGGACCTATAATAGGAAAGACCAAAACTATCTGCATTAACTCAATACAGAAAGTATGACTTAGGAGTATCATGCATGAAAACGTAAGGGTTTTAGTTCAACTACTCAACAGTCTAATTGAACAAATGTCAGAATAATTAAAATAAGCTAAGGCAGCATTACAGTAGAGTACTGCACCCAAAATCAGAGTAAGATTTCTCATATTTTCATGAGGCAGATAACCACCTGCCTCATTTTGGAAGTCACATTTTAAAGATGGCCTTGGAAAATGGGAGCATTTTTCTGAAGGGAAAACAAGATTGTGACTTCAGTTCAGTTTGCACTGAGTCAGTGCTTACTATGGAGCAGATATTGTATTAAATATTGTCAGTACAAGGCTAAGATCTGGGCTCTGCTCTTAAGCTGGTGACCCAGTAGAGGGAGTCAGGCTGCTTAGGACACCGCTCTAAGCACAATGTAAGCACTGTACAATGGGCTTCTGAAGCAGAGTACAATTTAACCCGGATTGGAAGAGACCAGAGAAGGCTCTCTTGAGAAGGTGACACCTAAAGGCCATCCAGAAGGATTTAGCCAAGTAGGGCAAGAAAGCTAGGAAGGGAATTTGCCCATAAGAAACCACTGAAAGGTTAGATTAAGAAGTTTTACACCCCCCAAAAGCTACACTATGTGGTTTTGAATACATGAATTAACGTGTGTGTGTGTGTGGGGGGTCTCCCGAGGAAAGACGACAGATGGAAGCCCATTTCAATTCAGGATATGAAAACTCATTTATTTAGTGAAACTTCACGGTAAAGTACCCCAACATAATGCAAATTCAGGAAATGGATTAGTAATGGGCTCTGTCTCATGACAGGTTCACATGATCATTTTAACCCAGAAAAACAGGACCCTTTTTTTTTTAACTAGACCCTTTTTTTTTTTTCCAATGTATGGTTGCCTTTCGTGTGCCCCCTGCTGGGAACTGGCCTGCAGGGAACCAGCCTGCAACCCCGGCATGTGCCCTGACTGGAAATCGAACCGCAGTTGTGTGGTTCGCAGGCCCGTGCTCAATCCACTGAGCTACGCCGGCCAGGGCTTTGGACCCATTTTTAAAATTTTTTATTTTTAATATATTTTATTGATTATGCCATTATAGTTGTCCCGTTTCCCCCCTTCATTCCCCTCCACCCTGCACACCCCCTCCCCCACCACCCCTTTAGTTTATGACCATGTGTCACACGTTCTTTAGATTCTATTTCCCACACTACTCTTGCCTTCCCCCCTATTTTGTACCTACCATCTATGCTACTTATCCTCTGTACCTTCTCCCCCCTTTTCCTCCTCCCACTCCCCTGTTGCTAACCCTCCATGTGATCTTCATTTCTATGGTTCTGCTCCTGATCTAGCTGTCCTTTTAGTTTGCTTTTGTTTTAGGTGTGGTTAATAACTTTGAGTTTGCTATCCTTTCACTGTTCATATTTTTTATCTTCTTTTTCTTAGATCTAAGTCCCTTTAACATTTCATATAAGAGCTTGATGATGAACTCCTTGAATTTGACTTTATCTGAGAAGCACTTTATATGCCCTTCCATTCTAAATGAAAACTGCCTGATAGAGTAATCTTCATTGTAGGTCTTTGGATTTCATGACTTGGAATACTTCTTTCCAGCCCCTTCTTGCCTGTAAGGTCTCTTTTGAGAAATCCACTGACAGTCTGATGGGAACTCTTTTGTAGGTGACTGTCCCCTTATCTCTTGCTGCTTCTAGGATTCTCTCCTTCATTTTAATCTTGGTTAATGTAATTATGTGCCTTGGTGTGTTCCTTCTTGGGTCCAGCTTCTTTGGGACTAAGGGAAATGTACAGGAAACCAATAGTGATGGAAAGGAAACTGGGATTCAAATCAAGGGAGTGGACTGGAAGGAAGATAAAAATGACCAAACAGAAAAGAATGAAGAAACAAGAATTTAGAATAAATAAAATAGAAAAAATATAAAATAAAATAAAATAATAAAAAAAATAAAATAGGAGAGGCTTAGGAACCTCCAGGACATCTTTAAATGTTCAACATCGAATTGTAGGGATACCAGAAGGGGAAGAGGAACAGCAAGTGGAAAACTTATCTGAACAAATAATAAAGAATCCAGCAAAGGAAATAGACTTCCAGGAAATACAGGACCCTTTTGAGTCCCACTCACACACTGAAATCCCACCATCATGCTGGATCAACTAGAGCTGTCCAGGTGAAGGAGGCAGCACAGCATATTTTCAAATATAGGGATGAGAACTTGTTGGGAATGAATGCTGTGGAAGGCATGATTAGGCTGGAGATGCCCTTCCAGGGTACCTTCCACCTCTGGGATCCTACAGCCCTCAAAAACATTGTTTGATAGTTCCATGAATAGAGGCAGTGACAATGAGCAAATTCATATTTTAGTTTTATTTACACCACATAAAGCTTGTGTCTTATTAAATGTATGGCATGCAACATCAAAGGTACTGTCTTTTATACATGATGATAAACACGCTTAAATAAAAGCAAACCTTCAAACTTAAAACTGTTTCTAGTTCAAGCTAATATTCTAAGCCTAGATGTCCGGTTCCTTCCTCCTACCATTATTGACTACAATGATCAAAGGGAAATTATATACACTTCTGCTGGAAACTGAGATGGGTGCTAAGATAACTTTTCAGCAGCAGAAAGCAGAGGCACAAGCTTACTATTCACGCACATGGAAAACGTGCCACCAGGGACCTAAGGCCTTTGACTTAGAGCAAGGATGTCAGCCTGCTAACCGTAATGTGAGGGTGCTTGCACTGGGTGGAGAGAGACTCTATAGCTTAGGCTGCAGCAAGACAGCCATGTAAAGGTAAATATAAGGCCACAGGAAAATTCATAGCTGTGTTTATATTATTGGACCCATGTGTTTACTGGCAAGGAATGTGCATCTGTATATATCTCATAAAAACATATGAAAGACTTAAACTGCTGTTGTGATTACTTAAAATGTTCTTTTGACTATTATTTATTTCATATTTGTTTTTCTGTAATGGAATACTTCTACAAGTAATAAGAGAACGTCTTAAAAATCAGTGCCCTGTGGATAGGACCCAAAGCTGTCCCCTGGCTGTGAGAACCCGAACATGACACAATACAAGGGTCCTGGCAGGTCGTGAGCACAGGAACCCCAAGTGCCAAGTGATGTGGGCTGAGCTGACAGCACAACCTCTGTGCAAGCTGTAGGGGGTTCCGCGGGCACAAATGAAGGCCCCGAGCTTTAAATTGAAAACACTAAAAAGCAAACATGGGCATGGAGAAAGAGAATGTGTATCGATACAATGGAACATTATTCAGCCATAAATACAGGAATGGTGTTCTAAGTGGAGCTGCAACATGAATGAACCTTGAAAACTTTATGCTAAAACAAACCAGACACAAAAGGCCATATCTTACATGATTTCATTTATAAATAATGTCCAGAACAGGCAAAACCATAAAGACAGAAAGTAGGTTTCTGATTGCTAGGGAATTGGAGAAGGCCAAAATTGGGACTGACTGCCAATGGGGGAGGAGTGGTTACTTTGAGGGATGAAAAGAATGTTCTGGACATAGATAGTGGTGATAGGTGCATAACTTTGTGAATATTTTAAAACATGAACTACACACTTTAAAATAGTGAACTTAATGTATGTGATTTGTAGCTCAGTAAAAAATAAAATTATCATGAACTTTTCTGTATATAGGTTATATTTCAATAGTTAAAATTTTTTTAAATGCTAAAAAAAAGCTATTCCCACCAATATAAGCATAAAAAATTCCTATCAGCAACATTTTCTTTCCTTCTGATTCTTTGGAATTCAAAGTTACTAATTACCTTTAATAAAATATTTTTTTAGCCAGATATATACAAAAAAGCAGATGATAATATGTATTCCATTTTTAAATGACAAAAAAAGAAAAAAACCCGAGATAAGGAAGCACAAAAAAACTGAAAATATTAGGAGAGAAAAGCAATACTTTACTTAATTACTATTATTGGAACTACAAATAAATGAAAACAGACTTCAATTATATAACTCATTAAGGTCTTAATAATCCAATAATGCATTTAATCTACCAAACTCTGAAAAGACAATGTCATTATATTGTCTTCAAACACTACAGTAGATTATTAACATTTCAGATAAAGAAGGCAAAATTCTTTACTCTTAACCACACACCATACTGGCCTCATACATGTTACACTACCGAATTTTAGTTTGGGAATAGGCTCATTTATCAATGTCAAAATTATTTTATTGCACCATGTCCAGCTCAGCAATTTTTGACTCCACTAAAAAACTAAAGAAAAAAATCATTAGAAAAAAATGTATTTTCCTTTTTTCAAGTAAAATAAAGCTGGGTATGAGCAGTTGGTAAGGTTCCACTCAAATGTATTCTAATAAAGGAACCTGTCAAAACATTTTCACCTTTAAAAAAAGTCTTTTTTTTTGTTCTACTAAATTCTTTCTGAAAACGTTTATTAAAATAATTAAGGAAATAAGATACGAAGTCTTGAAGAAAATACTTGCAGTGAAAAGAATAAACATGAACACTGGCTAATGCCACATAGTTGATGAAAAGGATGGGAACCCACTGGGGAGCTGAGTCTCACAGAAGCAGAAATGAAGAGCAGCTCCCATGAGCTGTCCAGCAGAGTCTGTTTCAAGGCAGTGTATTCAGCAACACAAGGATCCCTCTGTTGTTCTCTCACACATTTCCGTTCTCTTGTCATCAGTCTCCTCTCAGATTCCCCAACTTGTTAGGGGAACTTCCAACTAACAAACACAGAACTGGACATTGCCATTAACAACAGTTTACCAATGCTACCCCTGAAAATTTCACATCTTTCAATAATAAAAATTTGTAAAGACTCAGGAATTCAACATGTTAACTGTTTTTTTTTTTACCTTAAATTTTATAATTAAAATATTTTCATGAAAAAAGTTGTCTAGTAACATAAATTGCTTCTGCATCGGTTCCACACACAAGACAAGGACCTAAAACATCCAAACTGTTCACAGACAAAGTCCTGTTGGGAAGCAAGCTCGTGATCTCAATACGGTCTTTCGCAGGGTCAGTGCTGAGCCAGGAGCTCATAAGAGACTGGTGAACATTAGCCTGGTTACCGATGCTGTGAGACAAAAAAGTACTATTTCTTCCTCCTGGGAGAAAAGAAAAGGGCGGGGGGAGAATCTTTTTATTTTTTCTGGTCTTCCCTGGGGATTTTTTAAAAAACTGCTGACACTATTACAGATGTCCCCATTTGCCCCCTCCACTCACTCCCACCCACCTCCTACCTTCCCCACATTGCTGTTTGTGTCCAGGGGCCTATGCACACATGCATGTACATTCTTTCGCTAATCTTGTCCAGTCCCTCCCCACCCCCTCTCCCTCGGAGATCTGTTAGCCCATTCCATGTGTCAGTGCTTCTGGTCCTATTCTGTTCGTCAGTTTAATTTGCTCATTAGATTCCACACACAAGTGACATCAGATGGTATTCATCTTTCTCTGACCAGCTTACAGGTCCATCCATGCTGTCACAAAGGGTAAGAATTTCTTAACAGCTGTGTAGTATTCCACTGTGTAAAGGCACCTTATCTTTCTTATCCACTCATAACTGATGGGCACTTGAGCTGTTTCCAGATCTTGGCTATTGTAATAATTCTGCTATGAACATACCTTGGTGGAAGAGTGATGATTTTTCAGGCACATCTGTGGATGCATCCCAGTGCCAGAGGGACCCGTCCTCAGAACAGGTAAATAAATGATCTGGGTTGGACGGGTGAAAGTGAACTTCCCACACTAAAAGATAAGAGCCAAGAAGCTAATCCTGTGCAGATTAATTGAATAAACTTTAAAACCCCTTCTCTATACACAATCTCCTATTAACCTGTATTACTCACCTTCAAACCCCTTCAAAGTCTTTGATAAAGATCAAAGGCTTCAAAATTAAACACCACAACTCTCCAAATGGCTTTAAAATGTAGACAGGGTAAAGAAGCCAAGTAAATCTATAAGTGTATCGGGCCAGCAAAAGAATGAAAATAAATGCTAATCATCTGACTTATTACATTTTTTCATGTAAAAGTATGACCTTGGGATAATTCTGGAAAAAATTTTTAAAAATTGTCTTAAGTTCTCTTATTTTCAGTTCCTGTGTCATGAACATATGCAGGTTATATTATTGGAAAGATTGAGAGAAGACCATAAAAGTAATATACAAATGAAATTCTATTAGGCAGAGTCCAACTTGGCTCATGCCAGGACTCAATACTTCTATTCTAGCAAACTAAAACCTGGAAATGCTCAAAGAATCTGGAGCCCAGTTTCGGTTGGAGGACTTTCAAGAAGACAATTTGGGATTGAGGACTCCTCCAACTCTAAACCTGAAGGAATTATTTGTGCCAGTAGACATCTGGGAGCCCATGACTGGCCAGGGCACCTTAGGAAGTTCCTTGCAGCATGCAGATAAAACAGTTGGTCTGTGATTCTGGGTCTGGGGATGTTAACGAGGTAGCATAGAAAGTGCCGGGGTGTAACATAAAAGTGCAAGGCACATATCTGCAAGCTGGCATTTTCATTTGGGCAGTTACTACAATAAACATGTCACAAAGCATAGAAAGGTCACCTTCCTTTGGAGAAAAGGAATGTGTTCTGGGTGAGTCCCTGTATAAGGTGCATTCATACCGTTTCATTAAAACAAGGTGAAACAAAACTTTCAGCTACAAGCAAATGCCCAAATCTAGATTCTTCAGTATTTATTTATTTTCAAACTAGAAAACAAACTGCTAAAAACAACATTATTTCATTTCTAGCCAAGAGATGGAATGACTGCATCACAATCCACTACATTCTTGTGTTTACTGCATGACAATACGGGCTGGCTATTAAAAAGGGGCTGGTAAGAAGAGATCTGAAACCTTGTAATTCTACCACCACTGGGGTAGCCAACATCAGACTCTATGAGGGCGGATCCTATTCCTTTCTATTCATTTATTTTCCTGGGCATAGCTATAAATGAAAAAGACAAAGAAATTTCTATCCTTGCATTTGCTTTATCTTAAATATTATTTTAAAAGTCATTTATCTTCCCAAGGTAATAATGTGAAACTTATTAAATAGAAGTTGTAATACTGACATAATGTTTGCTTTTTGGTACTTTTATTCAAGTATTAATACAAACTCCTCTTAAGTCAGAGGGATTTAAAATCATAACCCACTGTTATGATATCAAAAATAATGGTCATACAGTGAAAATTTCTGTCCAGCCAATAAATCCCCACCAATCTCAGAAGACACCCGAGCAAACAGAAAGACAAGAACCAGTATCTATTTTTCTGTTAAAAGGAAAAATGAACATGCAGGCTAATCACTGGGGCTTTGGATAGAATAATGAAACATGTTAAAGAACTTAAACGTCAAGTAAAAAGGGGTAAGTTAATTATTATAAATTTATACGACTCAGCCAAAAGACTATAACGCAACACAATCCAGTTATAAGTTGTGGAAAGGTACTTATAATTTTGTTGGTTCAGCCAACAAAAACGGATGTGTCTCCAGAACACTTACTTTCAGCTTCATGAGCCTTCAGTAGAGACACAGGCATTGTGCCTTGTCTCACATCCCAGATACTCAACATTCCGTCCTGGCCGCCCGTAGCGACAACATGCTGTTGGTTGGGATGTCTGTCAACACAGTGGAGTGGCACTCGGTCACCGGTCCTTTTATGGGGGATACAATGACATCAAAAATATTAAAAAATATACTTTATCTTTGCAAAATCCATGAAACATGTTTCATTCTGGTAACTAAATGATAACTTTGTGGCTAGAGCTGCTGGCTGAACTGCAATCATGTCCAAAAAATGACTACATGAAATCTACTTCTAAATATTAGAATGGGGGGGTATGCGATTTAAGGCCAAAGTTATTCATTCTCTCTTCAAATTGGGAAGCATAGAGAGCAAGACAATCTGATGGTATGATGTGCAAAACATATTTCCATTTCCTGGCTTTTAAAAAACATGATGTATCAACTAAACAGCATATTCTTTACTCCTACCTTATTTTATGCTTAGTTTCTGCCTTTTAGTTTGACACATTCTCTTTTCTTGTTACAGAAAAGTAGGCCACACATATAAAAAAGGGGATTTCTGCTCAAAAAAAAAATCTTGGATTTTATTTTTCTTCCAGTTATAGCTAGAGTGTATTATATCCACTAACAACAGAATCATTCGATGACCAAAAATAAGTTCCTCATTAAATAATAGAAACTTCAAAGAAATAAAAGCTCTGAATCAAGACAGCAAATACTAAGTGCAGCATGGTAGTATCGAACCCATCAAATTGTATTTGCTTTACCATATTTAAATAAAGGTTATTTTCTTAAAATGAAATTAAAATACAATATGGTTTAAGGTCTATTGTTATAAACAAACAAATTAATTTTGCATTACACTACTGAAATGAGAAATCAAAACTTACAGTGATAATATCTGAGAGGGCTCATTTCCTTGTTGTCTGAAATCCCATATTTTTAACTGTCCAATTGAATTGACTGTAAGGATCTCAGGAGTTCGAAGGAAGGTCACAGCATGGAGTGTACTGCTATCTGCATTGTCTGCAAATTAAGAAAGTAGTATATCATTGTCTGCAAATTAAGAAAACAATAGTGTATGTTAATAGGTTTCTGTGTGTCTTGAGGATCTTAAATCACATTCCTTTTCGTTGAAATACTTCAAGTGAAATTTCAGAGGTCACAGTTTAATTTCTATGAAAAAAATACAGTAATATGCATATTAAAATGAACTGTTCTTTGATAGAAAAATGGTATCACTCACAGGACACCTGAACTGTTTTCCAAAGACAGGACTGAGTTTTCACATACCTATTTCTCTATTTCCACATAAGACTGTTTTTCTACATTTCTGAGAGCTGCTCCAGCTTTTCTATATGGAATTTTATTTCTGGTTAGTGCTTAACCCAAAACCTCCATTCATTCTATTGGGCCAAACCCCAGTACTTTGTACAGCGCTCACCCTGTGTTATATTATTCTGCTGGCTCACCTCCAATTTATTCATCTTTATCCTCATCAGCTCTCTCCTCCATGTCGGCCTTCCTAATCGTTACAAGGACCCTTTCCTTCTCACAGTGTCTAAGCTGATACCACCTAATGTAGCACATACTCAGACTTTTGTTTTGTCACACTCCAAACTGCCACCAGACAACGGTCCTTTAACAAGTAGAGTTCATCAGAACTAAAAATCACAATAAACTACACCAAAAACTGATTCATGAGCTCAAATCAGAGAAGTTCTGACTCAGGCCTAGGTTGGTGGGCTGTTAAATATCTGCTCAGGCAAGTCCTTGTGAAGCCTGGTCTAGAGAAACTACACTAGAATAATCCCCCTAACACAAGACAGGAAGTATATCACCCACTTACTCAAAAGACTTTCTCCAGCTACTTAGTTGTCTACCTAACAAAATGGAACCTCAATGGTTATGCATTAGACTCTTCACAACCTGGCTTCATCTCTCACCTCCCCTACATAAATATACAAAGTCAGCTCAAACTATACTTTCTATCACTCTCTAAATGGCCATATCCTGCCTCCACACTATTCCTTACATCTGATGTGCCATTTTTTTAGTTATTTATGGTCTAGAATGTGGATTAAATTAATTGCCACCTGCCCCTCAATTCTTTATCCAATAACCCACTCCAGCTGAATAAAAAAGTTTCTTCTGTAGTGGACGCCTTATCAACATACTGTCTGGATAAAGGGATTCTACTTTGTATATTTCTATATCCTTCAGACACCTTGCATTGTATCTACTCAGCACATGGCAGATGCTCAATCACTATGTGACAGATGGAAAAAACATGGCTTTTCTTACCTATAGTTCTCACAGCTTCTTTGTGATCAACTCTGAAGAGATTTATGCGACCATCTTCTCCGACTGTGACGATCTCTGGGTTGTTGCACACCAGCCCCGTGCACGGCGCACAGCTCCAGGAAGGGCTGCCCGGCCCCGTGTGGTAGTGAGCTGTGGCCCACTGCTGGCTGGCTGTCAGCGTCTAGGTGTCAGAAATGACGATATAATTAATCAAAGCAAAGCTGTAAAAATGTAGCACTTTTCTCCAGTTAAAGAATGTTTTAAGCCCTGGCTGGTGTGGCTCAATAGATTGAGTGCCGGCTTGTGAGTCGAAAGGTCATGGTTTCAATTGCCAGTCAGGGCACATGCCTGGGTTGCGAGCCAAGTCCCCGGTGGGGGGTATGGAAGAAGCAACGAACTGATCTTTCTCCCTCCCTTACCCTGTCTCTAAAAATAAATAAATATTTAAAAAAAAACAATGTTTTAATAAAATTCTGTCCCATACTCTTCTAGAAAAAAGAACAACTCTCTCCTTTTTCCTTTGTATATTTCCAAATATAAGTCTAGAACCTACTTCAATGAAAGCTCTGTATACACTAGATTAGATTCTAAAGGAACACTGTTCAAAACTATTCCAAACATGTCTCAAATTAAAGAAATTGTTTTTAGATATCAGGCAGTTGTGTGGTCAAAAGCAACTTTAAATTCTTAAGGAAATTAGCCTACAACTAAGAAAGAAATCTCACTCTGGCTGGTGTGGCTCAGTGGATTGTGTGCTAGCCTGTGAACCAAAAGGTCACTCACTGACTCCCAGTCATGCCTTGGGCCATGTCCCCAGTTGGGGGTTTGTGAGAGGCAATCTTTGCTGTCTCTCTTGCACACATTGATGTTTCTCTTTCTCTCTCCTTTCCCCTCTCTCTAAAAATAAATAAAATCTTTTAAAAAAAGTTAAAAAATAAATAAATCTTTAGGCCACTTTATAAATGACTCCATTAAAAACAATAAGATTTTGGTCTTATGGTTACTAGGCATGCTTATAAGCAAGGTAACCTTCATTAATCCCAACACCTAAGTAAGGACTCTCTTCCAGCAACTGCAAACTATTACGAATGGGGCTACTGGAAAGGACTGCCTCACTACTATGCCGTGCAGGTCAGCACTCCGGGCTGCAGCACACAAGAAAGGCACTGTAAACATGACAGTGGTGATGGACAGAGATCTGATGTGGGATGGAGAACACGATACAATGTACAGATAATGTATTACAGAAACTACCTGACACCTATATCATTTTATTAAGTGATGTCATCCCAATAAACTTAAAAAAGGAAAACAAAAAGTCAAATCTTCATACAGAGTATCCTGTCTTTTCATTAAAACCCAGGTTCTAGCCACAGATGCAAAGTAGCCATTCCTGTTCTTTCTCATGATACTTGAGCTAGAAGGTGCTCTTTCTTCAAAGACCAGAATAGGAATTAAAAGAGAGAATTACAGGAAAATTACTGGCCGGAAGAGTATATTGTTAGGTCTAAACTAACAGAACTTATGATGTATCCAATTTCAATAAAAGTTCAAACAAACATGGTTGTAGAATTAATCTATTAAAAGATGGGTAATATAACAATATTTTCTCCCTCCATGTTTTGAGATTATAAAAAAATTTAATTACTTGTGCCATTAAGTAGTCTTCTTTAAGCCTTTCTATAAATAATAAAATACAAATTCAATTTTTCAATAAAATTTCTTTACCTGGTTATTTGGATGGTGAAGGAACACTGTTACACATCCTGTTGATGAAGCAGCTACAATTCTTTCCTGATCAAAAAACTAAACAGAAAATTCCTGCTTATTATAGATTCAGAAATATCAGTATGGAGGAAGCTCATTTGTTTAACTTAATTAGCAGTAATAATTTTTTACAAGCCTCTAAGTGCTGCGCCCTGGCTGGTGTAGCTCAGTGGATTGAGCACGGGCCTTCAAACCAGACAATCGCAGTTTGATTCCCAGTCAGGGCACATACCTGGGTTGCAGGCCAGTTCCCAGCAAGGGGACGCACAAGAGGCAACCATACATTGATGTTTCTCTCCCTCTCTCCCTTCCTTCCCCTCTAAAGATAAATGAATAAAATCTTTTTTAAAAAAGCCTGTAAGTGCTAAGCAAGTGAAATGTGATGATAGATCTGAAAGTCAAAATTCCTATACAAATAAAAGTATTTTTGTGAAGAAAAAACTCAGTATTTTTTCTCTAAACTCACACATCTATAACTGATTTAATTAATTTGGGACTGCTACCATAAAGCTTCAGAAAAGCATCATTCCCACGGTGAGGCAACTTTCTAGAGAAAGAAAAGGCAAGGACTCTTACTTAAGTCATACGCCAGATTTGAAAACCTAATTTTATTCCCATCACTTACTAGTGGCTTTGAGACCTTAGCTACGTTAAACTGCCCAAGCCTAGGTAAACCTTTACAAGGAGAAAACTAATTACTACTTAGAAGGTTGTGAGAAGTCAAAAAAACAAACAAACAAAAAAACCCCATGTAAATCCCCTTTCAATTACTCCTCCCATAGAACGTGCTCAAAAGATCTTACTATCAATTTTCTCACTGATAAGCGAGATAACAAGATTTGGTTCACTAGCTGCAATGAGAATTAAATTAACTTATGCCAAGTTCACAAAACAGTGCTTGGCATTATGACAGTCAATTAATTAAAAACACCTAAGATTAGAAAACTGTACTTGGAAAACAATTAAATAAATTTAAAAAAAACCACCTAAGATTAAAAAATTAAGATTAAACCTTGGCTGTGTAGCTCAGTGGATTGTGTGTGGGCCTGGGAACCAAAGCATCACTGGTCTGATTCCCAGTCTGGGCATGTGCGTCGGTTGTAGGTCAGGTCCCTGGTGAGGGGTGCCCAAGAGATGACCACACATTGATGTTTCTCTACCCATCTTTCTCCCTCCTTTCCCCTCTTTCTAAAAATAAATAAAATCTTTAAAAATTATAACTAAGATTAAATCCATTGCCCCAATCCTGATTCTGCCATTAAGTGGCTAATAAGTTCGAAAATCATAACCTATAGAAAATTCAGTTTCCTGTAAATCTGGGGTGAGACTAGACATACTTTATGGTCTTTTGCAGCTCTAAATGTGCTACTCTCCGTTTTTAACCAGTTAGCTTCTGGATATACAGACGTACTTGTAAATCCATAACATCGCCATAGTGCCTGGTACCGCACAGTAACTGATGGTCTCCTTCAAATCCTCCATCAGAGTCCAAGTTCCCCAAATCTCCGATAGACCACAGTGAAACGTAATTTTCCTGTAAAGCAAAAAGTTTTATCTTGAGTTGATACATACGTTAAACTCCCGAAAATTAAAACTTGTATTTGCCTTCAAGCTACCTTGCTTTAAAAGCATCTCAGAAAAATGGTGAGATTCGAGGCTTGGGTGCACACAGCATCGATGACTCGATACTTGTCGACCGAGACGGATACGGAATCTCGTGGCGGGGGGGCTTTGGGCGGGAAGGGGACGCAGGAGGGCGAGCAGATTTAGAAGCCAAGAGAATTAGCGCGCGGGGGCCGGAGTCACGGGTCCCGGGGGGAAGAACTCCCCGGCCCAGGTACCTCATTGTCCCAAGAGCCCGTAGCGAAGGTCTCCGCGGTTTGCAGACTCCCCGAAGGTACCGGTCGCCAGCGGGTTTTGCTGATTTTCTGAGACACGAACTTAGCATAAATTTCCTCCATGCCGAAATTGTTCCCTGTAGACACACCGAAAGAAGCCAGAGCGCGCGCCTCTCAGTCCCGCCCCTTCCCGCGGAGCCTTGATTGGACCGACCGTACCCGGCCGACAGTGGCTGCGGAGAGCCAATTCTCTTCCGTCAGCAGTGGGGGCTCCGCCAGTCCCAAGAGGAGGAAGACGGAATGCATTTCGTCCCTGAGCAGTGTGTGAACAGAGGCAACGGTGTCTTTGTACTGTACAATCTGCTCCTAATCTGCAAAATCAGTATAGAAACACCGACACATGCATTTGTGCAATAATTGTCTAATGTAAGACAAACTCAAGAGCAAAATCAAAACAAAATAAATACAAGAAAAACCACTAGGTAGCCTCCTAAGCTTTCAGTTTTGCATTTCACGGCGCAGAGTCCAAATCTTTAAATTCTCACGGAAGTACAGCTCTTTAACGCTCCAGCATATTATTTTAAACCTCTCTCTGTCTCCCAAACAAATCCTCTGCTTCAAAGTTGTTGAAACACACTGCCAGAGCCTGGAGTTGGAATTTTGAAGATCCAGCTCTAATTTTGACGACGAGTTGTGTAACTTTCCTCAATTCATTTATAAATAATTAAGAATGAGTGTGATATTTAACGTTGACAGCCTAGGAATCCGGGCTGTACGTTCTTTCTGTGCTTTTGACTACACCTAAAACACCCTTTTATTCCTCTCTTCTCAGAATCCTACCCATCTTTCCAGGACCAGTTCCTTCCCAGTCTTTTCCTGATTACTGTAGCCCATAATCTAAATTACTATAGCACTTGATATTTAGAACACTAATAGAGCTTAAATTTTGCCCTCTGTTGCTACTTTTGATGCAGATCCTCAATTAGAATGTAAATCCTACTGCATAAAAGAGATATGACTTACTCGTCTGTAAAAAACAAATCTCCTTTATCAATATTTATAATGGTGTGTTGGTTGTCAGCTTTAGGGAGAAATCACGTCTTGCTGAGGACTGAGACTGTTTTTGTTTTAAATGGAAGGCCATCAGGAAACTGCAGAGATTAAATGGGAAACTATTAGTCCCAAACTGACTATTTTATTCCTAATATTGAAGAACACTGTTTTGAGTGTGATTTCATTTATGGTCATAGAATCTCAGGAAATAGGTAATCTATATTTTGGATTAGACGTAGTAGGCTGAATATTACACATAACAAAATCTCATGAGAACAATTTTAAAATTGCTGCTGACGCAGTAGCATAGATGTGTTGACAGAGCTTTGTTTTCTACCTTAAAGTTTATTGGACTAAAGGGTGACTGGATCCTGTTTGTCTCAATTCTGATTAGCAGGCAGTAAATTGGATGTGACGGGTATGTTCTCTGCTTCTCCATCACTGTCTGGCACAGCTGACAGCAATAAAGTCGGTGTCCAGTCTAACGGTAGAATTTGTGAGGTTTAATTTGCTGAAAACGCACTCTTGTGTTGGAAGAATAACACAAGAGTTATCCGGCGTAGGATACTGTGTTATTTTTAACCATTTGCCTTGCTCTAGCAAGTAAAACATTCCCCACGCGCCCCTCCTCCTCCCATGTCATGGTATTCTTCCACTCTCTTGAATTTGTGCTTTAGAATTGAGAACAAACCAGGGTTTCAACAGTCTGCTAACGAAACACTGATGTACTTGTCACAAAACCAGAGGCTGGAGCACTCGGGGTAGAGAAGGCCTCTGCCCTCCCGTGCTTAAATGAAGATTATACAGGCTCCACCACAGGGAGTTCTGACTCTAACCAACCTAAGTATTAGCCAACAGGGTTGGGTGAGGCAGAACGGAGGAAGCCCACCATCTAACAATCTGGACAGCTATAGGAGCAAACCCGCCGCTTGCAACAGCTGACCCATCGGTGACTGCGGGGCCACCGGCAGCGGAGGAACCTTCCCGCCACCGCGCTGGGTGACCAGAATCGCAGCCAGGCACACGACCGAACGCGCCGGGTCGCACACCGTCTGGCCGCAGAACGAACCCAGCAAGGAGGCGGTGTGCAGCCCGAGTCTTCATAAATGGACAAGCAGCGGAGCCGCTGCTGACCGTGCCTCGCCTCCCCGCTGCTCCCCAGCAGCCACCGCAGCAACCGGCGCGGGCGGCCAGGCTCCAAGCCACCCCCGCCTCCGGCCCCACCCAGCCGCACCCGGGGCCGCGCGGTGTCACAAAGCGCATGCGTGCCGCGGGGGATGCCGGGAGCGCGCAGTGGCGGCAGCGGTGGCGACGGCAGTCACAGCGGCGGCAACAGTGGGGAGGCGAGCGGGGCGGTGACCGTGTGGGAGGTGGTCTCACTCTTGGCGAAGCTGCTAGGCACCGTCGCCGCGCTGAAGGTGGTTCTGTACCTGCTCCGGGTGTGCTTAGCGATGGCCTGGAAATCCGGCGGCGCCAGCCACTCGGAGCTAATCCACAATCTCCGCAGTAAGTGCCACCCCCGCCGGGTGTGGGGCAACTAGGGCAGGCCAGGCCTGGACCGGGTCCCCCCGGGCCAACCGGAACGTTCTGTCTACACCCCCGTGCCTGCTGAAGGGCTTCGGCGCCGGGTGCACCAGCAGTCCCGAACCGCATGCGCTTGAGATCGCGTCCCCCGGGACCTGTCACTCACCGGCGACTCGGACTGGAAGGGGAGAGAAAGAGCTCGCTGCCCGTGGGGCAGGGGCAGGCGTCTCCCCGGGGGCCCGGGGGAATGGGAGTGCGGCACAGGTAGTGGGGCTGTCACTGGAGTCGGCCGGCCGCTCGGTCGGGTCGGGAGGGCGAGGGGCGTGCACTCGGGGTGGGGAAATGTTTGCCAGGCCTCCTAGACACTGGGCTGGACCTGAGGAAACTGCACCCTGGCCCCTCACTTCTCACCTTCCTCCTCCACAATCGACCTCGATGCAAGCGCGCTCTTCTGTCTTTCCTCCCCCGCCCTCCGTTTTTTCCTCTGGAGGGAGATGCCACCGTCTGATACCGGCGAGGGGAGGGAGGGGAAGATGAGAGGACTGTCATTGCGGATGCTGGGAGAAATTTCTGGGGCGGCTGTCCAGTGGAAAGCTTCGTGGGGAGGGAGGTAGAGGAAGAAATAAGCAGGGGATGCTGTTCCTTCTCAGGTCTTTCACGAGCCTTTAGAGATCCTGGGATACACGAACTATCGTGTGTGTGTGTGTGTGTGTGTGTAAGTGTAATGTTCTAACTTCTTTCAGGACTGTCGTATGCTTTACAAGGCTTGTATGGAAGTTTCCTTATGTCATTCTCTTTAGTCATGATAGTCCTTCCTCTGATGGTAATTTTAGGGTGGGATGAGTGCTGTGTCACTTTCTTTTTTTTTTTTAATTGAAATACGGTGTTGTTGTCTGGTTGGGATACCAGGAGAACTGCAGTCTGTAATATGCTCATACTAGTCAGAATTTATTTTACTTTCTTTGGCACAGATTTTGCAGATAATCACATTTTGACATATGGTGTTTTCTTTAATTTAAGTTTCAAGTGACATTTAATACCTTTTTAAAAAGATACAATTTCCATTTGTAACAAACGACGTAAGATACATAGCTCTCATGGTGCATTTCAGTGAACTATTTTTCATTGATGGGTTGTGTTCACTGCAACGAGTTCACTGAACTTTAGACCACAGTTCTGTCAGGGGAGGCAGCACAATGTAAAGGGCATGCATTATTTATGGTGATAGATATTTTTCAAGGAGTATTTCTTTTCATCTCCATAACAGCCTAAAAAGAAGATATGATATTTCCAGTATGCAGTCAAGGAAGTTAGTTGCAAAATTTGAGGCAAGTTCCTCTACCTGGGCTCTGCTCTAGGCAATGAATTCACGTCTGCCGGCTCCAAAGTCCACATACTTCCCACTTTCCACTGCCCATTATTGCCCTAATCTAATAAATAGTACAGTAATTAGGAAAGGGGACTGTAGGCCTTTGCCTTTCCTTCTAGGTTATTTAAATCCTGAAGGAGTTTTTAGTTTTTGTTTCTTTAACCACATACTACTTAATCTCTCAGATTTTAATTATAAATGCAGGCATTATATCTTTACTATGTGATTACAGACAATTTGAAAGTAGAATCACTGTTTAATTCTACTTTGTATCTTGTAGAATACCTACAACTGAAATGATAAATGAACAGACAACATATTAATAAAGAAGGACTTCAAGGAATATAGGTGGAAGGGAAGAGATAAAGATAAATTGGCTAGATAAAGGCGGCTCAAACAATTGGTCTTAAGTGGACTTAGTTTACAATTTAGACACATTGTATTTTTAATTGTAGTAAGTTACTTTTTGTGTATTTGTCATGTTTCCTAATTCAATTTGTAACCTCTGGGATTAAAAAAAAACACATCTGAATCCAGTCAACAAACTTAATACTTATTCCTTTTTTTTTCCTCATAAATTCCAATTAAATGTTCAGTATGCGCTTTGATGTGTGTTAGAAATACCAGGATGAATGAGAGAAATAAGTAACACTATCTGGCACACAGTAAGTATTTAATAGTTATTTGACTTTTAAAAAATAATATTTAAAACTTGGAAATTGTGGCCTTAGTGTTTAGTAGTGAAGAATGCTTGGATTTTAAAATTTGATCAAGCATTGTCAGTATTCCCTTTATGGAAGGCTGTCTGGTTAGAAGTGGGTATTTATATGCTGAGGCAGCATTAAGGGTGATTTAAGTTCCCTGTGGATTGCACCTAAGCTCATGTATTGTAAATGTTTTTGTAAAATTTCTTTAAATGATCTGCTTGCTATTGCAATATACACACCTGAAACATTCTGTGTACAGATTGTGGTTAAGTAATTTTCCACCAGTAGGTTATCTGGTAGTCACTTGGCTGTGGCAGAAATTTGTAATCAATCAGGCTCTTAAACGTCTCTCCTTTTTGAGCCAAATTTGTAGTTCGCCAAGACTAAAGATCTTTTCCCAGTGGGTTTATAGTCACTTTAATGTATTGCATTACTGTTCTTAGCTGAAATTTCTGAGGATGTTTTACTGTCAGCGAATTTGATAAGTATTTAGCATGCATGTTGAAATTGCAAATGTTTAGCTTATATTAAATCTATGGTAAGAGGAAATTAGAATTCTGTAACAGCTGATGCTTTTTTGTAACACTTGTGCAACTTTAGTTTCAACTTCTTGCTGCAGTAATTCCAGCTAGTAGATATCATTTTTATATGTTGCCTTATTATAAAAGTACTATTTGTTCATGTAAAAATTCCAGTTGGCACAAAATTTGAAAATTTCTCCCTTTTCCTAATTAGTCCACTGCTGTGTATTCTTCCTAACCTAAAGGCTTCTAATTAAATCTTGAGAAAAAGATTAAAATGTGATTGTGTCAATAGGAAGTGAAAAGGGATCTGCCAACTGGAAGAGGAAGCAAATTACAGTGTTGTTTTTTTTAAGAAATGAAATTCATGATTTTTAAAAATTCTTACCTGAGGATATGTTTTAATTGATATTTTTAGAGCAAGAGGGGAAGAGTGGAGGGAGGAGGAAGGGAGTCAGAGGGGAAGGGAGAGAGAGAGAGGAAGGCAGGCAGGCAGGCAGGCGTTGATATGCAAGAGAAACATCTAACTGTTGCCTCCCGTATGCACTCCAACTGGGGAGACTGGGCAGTCTAGTTACGTGCACTGACTGGAATGCTCATCTTCCTGCTCTGTCTGCAACCTTTTCGTGTATGGATGGCACTCCAACCAACTAAGCCACCCAGTCAGTGCCATGACTGGTTTCGAATGTTATAATCATTGAAAATACTGAGTTTTTCTTTTATAAAGCATACTAGAAACATGATTGTGTATGAGTTTCTAATGATATACCATTCATGGGTTATTTTAGGTTGTAAAGATATTTCCCGTGATATCTCAGAAGTTCTGTTGTGTGACAACTGCTTCTAAGTAACTTAGAACAGAGATCTAGAACTGAAGCCTGCTTCAAAGTCTCCTGCATCACCTGGAGAGCTCCTTAAAAACTGATTAGGACAGATTACTGTTGACCCTTGGACAACATAGATTTGAACTTCATGTGTCAACTTATAAATGGATTTTTCTAATAAACATACAAGCAGTCCATCATATCTCTGATTTGGCATCTGCAGATCTCTGATTGAAAGCAGTATTTCCCATCCACAGCTGAGAATCCAAGGATGCCAAAGGCTGATTGTATGCATTATTCTATGCTATTTTAAAATATGTAAGGATCCCTGCTCCCTTTGAGCAAAGTATCCCTGGATTTTTATATCTGAAGTGGATTCTGGAATTAATCTCTCATGGATACTGAGGGGCAGCTGTTGTTAAGTTTTAGGGGAGTCAAAAACTATGCACAGATTTTCAGCTGTGGGGGTCATACTAGTACCCCTAACTGCCACACTGTTGAAGGGTCAGCTATATTTCTCACGAGTTCCTAAGTAATTCTGCTGCTGGCCCAGGGACCAGACTTTGAGAATCACTGGCGTAGAGAATTGAAAATTATAAGATTAAACTCTGCCAGTATTTTAGCAGACTCAATTTTATGTCTTAAAATAACATTTTAGAAAAAAAGTTTATAGCAGTCCTGCCCAGCAGGAATCTCTGCGATGTCTGTATCTGCTGTCCACTGTGGTAGCTGCCAGCTACATGTGGCGTTGAGCATTGGAAATGGGGTCAGTACAGCTGAATAACTGGATTTTGCTATTTAAATTAATTAAACGGTCACAGGTAGATAATGGTTACCATATTAGTATAAGTCTATAGAAATGAAAAATATGGTTATTTTATAATTATGGGTGAATAATGTGCTCATGAAACAAAATAATGTAAAACAACTATGAGCCTGCTTAAGTTAGGGAATGTGACAATTTAATGTTTATGTTAGATTTATTTTCTATTTTTATGGGGATAATTTCATGCTGTGGTAAAACTGAGGAAAAAGAGGGGGCAGGAGTGGATGAGGTTGAGACAGGTGGTCTCCTAACGCACGGGTATACAAACCAGGTATTTGTGGAAGAGTGACTTTCGAGTAACAGACTTCACATGCTTTAATGGCCACTTAAAACAATGCTAACGATTGTTCTTTTACCTAAAAAATTCAA